AGGAGGAGGAGAAGAAGAAGAAGAAGAAGAAGAAGAAGAAGAAGAAGGAGAAAGAGAAAGATGAGGGTTTGGAAAGTATATAAAGAACCGATTTATTAGTTCCTCGAAGTCTAAGTCTAGATAATTAGGTGGTGAGTCTGGTGACTTCGCGCCAGATGCATTGTTCTTGATTATTACCCGCTCGCTAGCTGCCCGGTAGTTTTCCTCGATCACGAGATTGATTTTGAGATTTAGACTTAGACCTTGAAGTTCTTTCTGTTTTGAAGGAAAGGAGAAGGAGAGAATGGAGAAATTTCAAAGAATTGGGGTTTTGCTCTTCTGTTTGTCCCTTTTCGCTTGAAGGGGGGAGGGAGAGGGGTGAACATTTATACATGTACAGTAAGTCCATCGGAACAATATACGAGTCCAAAAAGATCCGAGAATATCCAAGATGACGATAGTGCCAACACAACATACCTCATCAACAGGCATCTCCAACTTCCTCAGCACCTCCCCAGGGGCCAGATTCCTCCAATAACCTACCTCCTTATCCCCACACTCTCCCTCACTACTCCAGATTCCCTCACCCTCTTTCTTCGTAATCAATACTTCCCTGTGGTCCGTTATTCGAATCTCCACCGCCGCGTATGTTTATCTCAGGTACATGTTCTACTCCCAATAAACGGTAGCTGAAACCAAAAATACTCTCCTTTCTAAGGCTTTCTTCCGCAAACTCCCAATTTATCTCACGCCTCTGATTTCTCGCTCGTGAAAATCAATCTCATACTAGTGATAACGTGATTTTAAATAAATGATTTAGGTTTTAGCTGTTTCTGATGTTTCCCGATGTTCCTACGTCTTGATATGATATGTGTTTTTGGTGAAATGGAGTGACTCGGTGTAGATTGTAGATTTCTGAGAGAGATGTGGTGTTTAGTATGGTATGGTATGAATTATGATGTGTGATGTGTGAGATGGACGATGATGTTTTGGGGTCGTGTTGTGGGGATTATTTATTGGGGATTATTGTGCTTTTATACTCGAGTATATGGGAAATAACATCTTAAAGTTCTTGAATTGGGTGTTGATATATATGTCTGGTCAATTGGTCCGCAAAGTTGGGACTCTGGACTGTCGGTCAGGCCAACATACTTCTGTAACTACCTAGTAATAATCCCAAATAAAAGGTCATAGGTCCCACTAGGAATACTAGGTATGAAGATGATGAGAAAAAGAGTTGTACCATATATATACTTAGGCCTAAGATGTAATTCGAATTCGATACGAGAGAATCTCTAACACTCGTCCGTTGACTGCCGTTGAACGATCGATTGGGTAAAAATGAGTAAGCAAACATGGATAGATTATACAGGCTGAATCATACTGCAGCTCAAAACTTTTTGATGCAGCGAAACCTGGTTACATTGCTGCTGCTTATCGGCTTACATGATAGATAATCTTCAAGTAAGCGGCATGAAAAAGAGGCAGACATATAATGGAAGGAGACCGGAATAGTGACGGGTACCGACCGTATTGTGCATCTTATCTCTTCGAAGTACTCGTATATATGAATTCGAATGAACCAATGGTAGGTAGATTTTGAATGGAGAATATACAATGCCACAATACGGAGGGGATATTGTATTATTGTATTGTGAGCTTCGACTTCGAGCCCTCATCAAGCATCCGGCATTTCTCAAAGTAGCTCAGACAAATCCAATAAATAACAAGCCGTGCACATTAGATTAGATCACCAACCAAAAATGAAATGCCGACTAGCCCTAGGTATTCCATTTCAGCTCCTATCCACAAGGATAGTAATAGCCGTAACCACTTAAATGCTCACATCCCGCAAGCGCCATCTAATTCACATTAAACTACTTCCTCATCCAACCTAGTTCTTATTCTCCACTCTCCAAAAAGCTTCATCCCCGCAATCTAATTGGTTCTATAAACCACACCTCACTCAATCTTTCACATTGAACATGCAGCTCGGCGCTTAATGAGCTTTTCTTATGGCTGGCTTCCTGATTGGCGGTTACCACCCCTTCTTCATTCACATCTTGTGCATACCGTTATATTAATAAATCATGGGCGGCCATGCTATCCGTTCATAAGCTCGTTAAGAAAGATTTCTACCCTCTTGAACTTTTGAAGAGACGACGTCCTGGTTTCTGATGTATGTATCGAAGTGAGGCTATCGACTACTTTATATGATCGCTGGCGATTGACTCATATATGAATGATTACGCAAACTTTCACGAAACATACATATATATACATATATATACAAATATCCATCAGGTCTATTCCCACCAATCCACAAGATCATTCATTGTATAGTACAGTAACACGATAATCCCACGCCATACTCTTTCCCCCAAATAACGAAACTTACAAAACATCACATCTTCACCATGGCACCAGCATGGCTCTCCTCACCCATCATGAAGCGCCAATGGCGATACCCCAAAGTCATCATCTGGCTCAATGTAATCGAGCTTGCCGGCACCGTCGCCGCACTTGTCTGTATCGGCATCGCCGATCCTGATCTCTACCGCACGAATCTATGGCAAATCGGGTACGATAATGGATTCAACAGTAGTCCGGATGAGATTCTATACGCATATGCGAATTATCGACCGCTGCCCAAGATTGCTTTTGTATGGAGTCAGACGTAGGTTTTTATTTCTTCGTGATATGTATGGGATGTAATAGATGAGGGAGTGGAAGAGTATCTGGAGATGAAGTGAAGTGAGACTAATGAGTTACCTTTGTTTTATAGCTTGCAAAATTTCAATATCGGAATCTCGGTTCTGTCCATGTTTATTCAACTGTGCAAAGTGGTCATGTTCATTATGCATATTTGGTATCCTCTCGTTTCAACCGTTATCAATGGTCTTCTCACCATCTGTTGGATCGTCAGCATATATGGACAAGCCGGACCAGATCACACGGATCCAAAACATCCAAGTAATGTCGCATGGTATATCGCGAAGAGCTGTTCATATGCTGAACCCACCGGAAATGGCCATTACTGTGAGATGGCCAAGGGTACCTTTGCCGTCACCGTTTTCATGATGTATGTTACCACCCATCTCATCTCCCCTCTCACTACCCCCACCATCGCCCTCCCCTCACAACTCCCCATCTAACAAAACCACCCAGGATCATCTACCTCGTCAACACCCTCCTCGGCATCCACTCCCTAATCCCCACACGCCTCGAACGGTCCGTCAATGCACTCGATCTCGAAGATAACCTCGAATCCCCCACCAAATCCACCACCAAATCCACCACCAAATCAAAACCGAAGAATATCGATTCGCCAGATTCGGAAAGACAGTGGGAAATGCACGATTTGCCGCATACTGCTGATGTGTCGAAACAACCTTTTACACCGAGAACTTTGGCGTTTAAATCGCTGGATAGACAGTTACCGTTGAGGGCTACTTCGGCGCCGAGGTTTGCGTAGGTGGTGTTATTTTTGGGTGAGGAGTGGGGAGTTGATGGGTTAGGGGTTTCTAGGTTGCAGGGAGGGGGTATTTTTCGTTTTCGTTTTGGTGAATGAATGAATGAATGAATGGGTGGGTGTTTGAGAATTGATCATTTGGAGGAAGGTAAGGTAAGGTATGGCCTGGCCATGTTTCTGGGATAAATTTGCCGTGTGAATTAAGTCGGCTAGGTAATAGGCAATGGATTGGATTGGATTGGATTAAAGGATACTAGCAGGAATGGATGGGTATATCTATTATTTCGCTATGTGCTATGTAAGGCATCTATCTATCTATCTGGATAAAGATGAATATGAAGATGAGGATGAAGATAAGGATGAGAACGAGAATGGAGAATTCAAATAATGTATCTTAATGTTCCTCCACGAATATCGGGTAATGGTATGGATTATTTCTCTTTTCTTCTTTCTTTGATTGTTTATGTTTGTGGTTATGATTATGGTTATCTTATATCCTCCAAGTACCTAATAGTTTTGGCCTACCTACCAATCAATCTGATGTTGAGAGTTACCTAATCACTCGGATATTTAATGTCATTTTAACTCTTGAGGGGTGGGTTATGGAGGTTGTGAATTGAATGGTGTGAATGGTGAGATGTGCATGGTGAGATGTGCAAGAGGCGGTTGGTTATATGATGATTTTGATGGTTACGAATGATAGCTATTTGCCGGGGTTGATTTGATTTGATTTGATTTGATGCTGAGTGTAGATTGTAGAGGTATATGTGGATGTATGGATGGAATGGATAGATAGATGGGAAGGTTATACAGTGAACTTGGCTAAGATGGTGGGTGTAGTGTAGTGTAGTGTGGGTTGGGCAGTGTGACTTGGGTAGTGTGAGTATCGGGAGAATTTGGGAGAAAGGAAAAGGTGGATATCAAGGAAACGGGAAAAGGGATAAGGGATAGGGGATAGGGGATAGGGGATGGGGAAATAAAGAGTGGTGGAGGACTTGACGAGGAGAGGGGAGGGGGCTAAGGACTAAGGACTAAGGACTAAGGACTAAGGACTAAGGATTGAGGTGGGGGGTAGGGTATAGGGGATAGGGATGTATCGAAGCTTGATCAGTGATGGTGGGTTTTATGTTGAGATATCGAGGTATTGAAGTATGGAAGGTTTGATGGGGGTTGGAGGGGGAGTGAGGGAGTGAGGGAGTGAGGGAGTGAGGGAGAAGGGGGATTAGAGGGTGGTTTAAAGGAAGGGTTTGGGTGGATGGGTGAGATGAGTTGATGGTTGGGCTTTATGTTGAGATATTGAGGTATAGAAGGTTCGATGGGGTTAGAGAGAGAAGGTTACATAGATGAGATTAGGTGAAGTGAAGTGAAGTGAGGTGAGATGGGATGTTGGGTATGCATATTTTATGTGTGGTGTGGGTGTGGGTGTTTGCGGGTATGGTATTGTATTAGTATCCGGGTGCTGTGTGGTAGTGTAGTGCAATGTAATGTAATATAGTAGTCATACGAGTAGGAGTGAGTAAATGCAATAGATTGAAGGGTTGTAGAGTTGTAGTGAGGAGGGAGGAGTGCAGAGGTGAGATGAGAAGATGGGGAGATGGGGGGATAGGGAGATGGAATGGAATGTGAAGAGCTGAGAAAGTAGAGAGTGAAGAGGTGAAAGAAAGACGGGCCCTGGGTAGATAGATCACTTTGTGTATTCTTCTAGAGTATACTAGGTAGCTTACAGCACCAATCACATCACATCATATCACATAAACGCAAATTCAATAAAATTGTGTAAACTATTATGCTATGCTATCCTAAGATTCGCCATCTATTATGCATGTGAGAAACTATCTCGAAAAAGAAAGAAAGGAAAAATAAAAGAAAAGCATCAAATGTAAGCATCCACCCATTTCAAATCCCATCCCATCCCATCCCATCCACAGATCCCATCTAGCAAAACAGAACAGAGTAAACCAACGCCAATAACTTAATGCCAGCAGGCTTCAACTCCATCCATCTAGATACTGTCTGAAAATCCATCATCATATCCATCATATCCCCCAACCCATTCCTATCTGCAAAATCCAACCTAAGAAATAAAATCGAAATGTGTTTTGTGGGTCACAGATGTAAATGTAGGTCAGGTCAGCCGATTACATCGACGTCTTCCCTGCGTGCATTTAACATCTTGTGTTGTTGAAGAAGACGTTTTGTTTTGCGTTTTCAACTCGAGTAGATAGATAACCAAAGAAATAAATGGAGATGTGCGGGTATGTGTGTAGATAGATGTGTGTAGACAGGTCGTTGTTGAGAAGTATTGATGTCCCTGCAAACACTCCACACGGTATGTTATCGAGAATCCTAGGAAACAGATGTGGAAAACTTCGTGCTCAGCGGTGCGTATGATATCCCAGAGCTCGCAGTCGGACGAACAATTTGGCGATGAATGAAAGCAATGATAAGCACCCATCAACCTCAACGAGTCAAAGCAGTCTACCAAGATCGGAAGGTAGAAGGTTGTCCATGACCATTGATGCGATCTGTGCGGAAGTAATCCCATTCTCTTTGCAATCTTCCACTTTCAATGGCCTTCTTTTCATCCACGGTTGGTGCTCGAATACCATAATGGCCTCGTCTGCCCAAAGCCTGGTGGTTGATTGGACGTTGAACCTCGTCAGTTTCGTGGAAAATCTGGCGATATCTCTCCTCACTCTCTCTAATAGAGTCAAGCAATCGCGCCAATCTCTTGACACGCTGACCTTGGGTACGTCTAAAAGCTCGGAGAAATCTGGGAAGATTTTGGGTGTTCCAGTCTCCAATAACTCGAGGATCTTCATTGGTGAGAGAGTAATCCCAACACCAATGCTTGATGATGGTGCGCTTTTCAATCTTGTAGTGGTCGCTTTCCATGTCTAGGTATTCGATTAGCTTGCAGGCCATGCACGTGGGACGATCTTGGTTGTCCATTTTGAAGTTGCGGATCATGCCATAGGAGAAGTAGAGTCCAAAATGTACGACGTTGCAGTCTTTACATCTGAAGCCTTCTTTCATCCTAAAGAAGCGAATGGTTAGTTGATTATACAGAGTGGGGATAATGTCGACGGAAGAGAAGTATTGACATACCATTGTGAACCCTCGGGCTTGTTGGGGACTTGACCAGGCTTTGACCTTAAAAACTTGTCCACTCTGCCACCAAACTCTCCATATGCAACATGGGCGATGACATTCTCGAGTGTGGATCGTGGATTCACAAGAATCTTCAAAGTTGCTTCGACGGCCAAACAAGGTGATTTATCCAACCATTGTCTAAACATGGTGTGTTTGGACTCGAAGTCAATGCCCTGCGATCTCGCCTGTTGGATAAGACCACTTACTTCTTGCCAAATGGCAATTCGAACATCACCGTCAACCCACATGCCGGTATCATCCCAAGAAACACCAAATGCGTGTGACTGCCCTACTTTCTTTTGGCCCTTTTTGGGACCTACTTGGTATGTTGAATGAGGACCGACGTGGTATGCTGGGTAGAAGTCTAAAGAGACTTGGTTTTCGCAACCACGGGGACGATCGCGTTGGATAATGTCGAGAATCTCGAGACCATCACCAAGGTGAATCAATGGGCAGTTGTAAACTCCAAGGGTTCTGAGTTTACGCAATGGAGGGATGACTAGAGCGAGCACATGCTTGGTGAGGAAAGGGATATGGTGAAACTGGACGTTCTGCATGAACTCGCAGAAGCTATGCATAGAGAGGCCTTATGAGGAGCATAATTAGTGATGCTGTTATGAAGGGATGTTGTTATGAAAAGAGGCATCAAGGAGAGAGAACTTACACATCTTATGCAAGTTTTTGACTTGATCAATGTATTTGATAGGCTCCTGATCTCTAGTGGGGGTGACGACAACAACTGGAGCAACACCGATAGAAAATTCGGTCTCTTCTCGTGGTATATCGCAGCGTTGATAATTGCCTCCGGAGACATCCCAAATATCCTAGGAACATCAGTTAGTCATGTATTGCATCATCGATGAATCAGAACTTACAGCTACACCCATCAAAACATCCCAAGATCTCTGGCTGGCTCGAGATAATGCGGAAGCGGTGCTGTGATGTTCCCAAATCAATTTGAGGAGGATGTAATTGACACCTTCCACCTGAAGCGCTCTGATCAATGCACTTTGCTTTTGATCATTCTTTGGCTTCTTGAACACTTTAACCGTGTAATTTTCAACAAATAGTCCCTGAAGTATGCACTTAGCATTAGGTTATCATAAGCAGTGAATGGGATATCATACCAAAGAGACCAACTTCTTCAATCTATCGTTGTCACCTGTGAAAGGCCAGTTGACCAATGTGGGAAACTTTTCTTCTGGCTCGAGGGGTGTCACTTTCATGTTTACCCAAGGATTTGGTGCGTTGGGATCTTTCTTAACAACTGGCTCGGGTGGACCCCAAGATCCAGAACTTGCAACAGCTCCATTAGGATTCTTTTGCTTGGGAGGGGTTGGAAATTTGGCAGTGGTTGATACTGCAGCCCATGAGTGTGAACGATTGAACAACTTCATGGCAGTCTTTTTGGTACACCAAGTGCTGACATTGATACATGATGATTTTTTTACCCATGATGGCAAAGTAAGCCATTTTGCGTTTTCAGGTACTGTAGTCCACAAACTTCGATTCAGCTCAGGAGTGTCGGTTTTGATACCACCTTTTCTGGAAGGAAGAGGGCGGGGTTCCCAAAAGGACTCCTCATTGGCAGGTACCGAATTATTAATGTAATACATCAAAACGAATGTGCTTGGGCCCGGACCGGATAGAAAGATACTCTGTTGAGTGCGGTGACCACTAGCAGTCTTTGCCGAGTTAACACTAGCTTGTGAAACTTGAGGTTGTTGAGCACCGGTGATGCCGATGATGGCAGAAGGTAGGGTAGACCATGTCCATGTGTCTGTTTTATTCGGAACTGTTGGAACAAACTCTTTGTATGGCTGTTTCCAGATTGGTTCTTTCTTTGAGGTTGGTCCGTTGTTTTGACCTGAGTTGTCCCTGCCAGCCTTGGCCTTGCCCTTCTTTCCATTCCCCATGATGATGGAAGAACCTAGAGGATTTTAGGAAAACACACACTTGACCAAGTAATAATGGGGAGAAAGCAAGAGTGAGTGGAGAGTACAATGAATGATGATCTTTGTGAGAGGAAGCCAATGTAATAAAGGGGGAGGCAAATGCTTGTGAGGGGGAGTGTAATTTAAAAAAAAAAGCAAACTCTGATGACATGATAACTTACAGTTATTCAAGATTGCAATCTATATGTTGCAGGAACTCCCAGATTATCAGCGAGAAATGCGTGAAATATCAAGCAAAAGTGATCGAAGGGATGAAAGTGAGTTATAGGTGCCTCGTCCGACACAACCTGTGCTGGATATTAGCATCGAATTTCGATACAAAAAGAAGCTGACAGGAGGTATGGAAGTGTGGGGTAATGCTGATGGAAATGGTCTGAGGTAGGAATTTTGAGCAGGTTCGAATCGGATTTTTAGAAGAAAGGGTAGTGGCTTGGGGGGAAGATGATAGAAGAAAGCTTTGAGAAGTAATATGTTGGAAAACACTTACAAATTTGTATGTTATTTGGACAGGGTCTCTTTTAAAGATGCAAAAGTGTCGCTGTAGATGATAATGCAAAATCTGTGTAGTATTGAGAGAGTGTATTCAGGTTCCAGGCTCGAAAGAGGCTCAAGAGAGGCTCAAGAGAGGCTCAAGAGAAACACAGAAACCGCAAAACAGTTTGTTGAAGTGAAGGTGAAATGCGTATCAAGTATTGCCAGAAAGTATCAAGGGAGTTAGAAACTTGAAAGGAAAGCAAAAGTAATAGCGAACTGAACTTGCAAATGTTTGTTCAAAGAGGAGGAAGTTGTAAGGTGTGACAAGTAAAGAGGAAGAGGGGTAGAATCTTTGAGGATTGAAGAGAGTCGGAGATAAGGGGGTTACTAATAAGTCACTTCCCCGGAAAGGGAAACCCTAGGTCATTGACTGGAGCCTGAGGGGAAATGGGATGAACAGGGTTATTAGAAGTGAATATCGTCGGATGTTAAAAGCTTCCTGCACAGCCAGCCACCCGGCTGCAGAACGAATCCGAAAGAATGATTAGTATTAGGCTGCGCAACGGGTACCCGCGGGGCGGATTATTGGCCTGGCGGGTCCCCCGCGGGTCCTCCGTTTGCGGGGCGGATAATAGAAAAATCTGAATGGGGACCCGCTGGGTATCCGCTGCAAATACTCCGCAAATACTCTGCAGATATAAATTTTATAATATTTATAATATTATAAATATTAATATAATATTAGTATAATTATGAAAATATATTAGTTTTTATATTAATCTTTATATTAATTATATTAATATTATAAAAATTAATAAATTTGCAGAGTATTTGCGGGGCGGATAATTTTGAAAGCTCAACGGGTCCCCCGCGGGGCGGAGTATCTGCGGGTCCCCATGGGTAGCGGAGTATTTTTGCGCAGCCTAGCATTGATTACAACTAACTCAAGCTCAACTTCAACTCCAAAGGTGAAGCAAAATCAGATGATATTTACAATTAAATCCTCCACCTCGTCATATAGAGATTCACTAATAATACTAAACAAAAGATTTGAGCAGATTTGACTTTAATATCACCTTATCACCTCCTCAATGTTATCAATATAAATCAAAGCCAATTCAACACCATTGAAAAACTAGATAGAGAAGGAAGTATTTTGATACCTCATCCCCACAAATTTAAATGAAAACAAGTACATGAAAGCGAAATTTGACAAGAAACTTCACTCCACATTCAACCTGAGGATCTTTTACTGCCATTGCATATTTCTCACTGTTACTGATCTCAATTTCCTATGAGAGATGAACTCCCATCAGACATTTTGACTAAATGAATTTGAAAGAAATCCTCGGGAAACATAATGATTCTGGAAGCTGAAGGAATCTAAATTGACTTATCATCTAATGATGAATCCGATGATATACAAAGGTGATACAATCCAGATTTATATTCCCTAGATATATATAACAAGCAAACTTCAAAGGGAAGGCTATATACCAATAATTATATAGCAACATCAATGGAAGTAAATCCCATCAACCTCAATGCCAAGAACCTCAATGCCAAGTTGAGCCTATGATACTAGTAATACTCCTGAATTCAAGATATCTTATACAAGCATTCAAAAACACAATGCAACAATAATCTCATCAACATCAATCAATAAGCGAGCCAAATAAAAAACAATCTTCACTTGTAAAAATGCATAATAGTAATTATGAAAACAAGTCTCATCAATATCAATCAACAACTAAGCCAAATAAAAACCAAATCCTCACTTGTACAAATACATAATAACAACTATGAAAACAAAGCTTATCAACATCAAACAATAGTGAATCCTGTAAATCATAATCCTAAGAACTTCTAAACAGTAATCTCATTGACATCAATCAATAACTTGAGTTGATAATAATGTATGCAGATAATCAAGAAAATGATGTAGTAGAGATAAAGACAGACACTGGAAGAACAAAAGCAACTGGGACAATGAAGAACAAGGCTCATCGGCATCATATCATATCAATGATCGGTGAATGAGGTGAGGTGAGGTGAGGTGATGCGATACCGATTGTGATTTTGGGTTGTGCAGGTCTTTTGGGAATATTGTGGTATGAGAGCAGCAATGACAGCAACAACAACAGCAACAGCAATAGCAGTATAAATCTCATCAACATAAATAAAGATATATCACCACAAAAGCCATATCAATATTGAACCTCACCATACCACACCACATCATACCCATTTCATCCAATATCCCAAATTCTCATCCAAGGAATACCTGTCTCATATGCCTCACCTACCTGATCTACCTACCTCACCTGTCCACCCCACTAGTACACTACCTTACCTTCCTATTCATAAGCTTCACCATTTCTCCCCAAGTCTGTTTGTTGAACCATCAGCATATATGATATGATATAATATAATATGCAACAATACAATAATTTTGATCTCATTCTGTAAATCCGTCTTCATCTCGGCATTGTCTTGTATATACCTACCTAGGTACCCATGTGCTGAGGATATAATATCTGGTAATGTACTCGAGTGCTGAGTCATGTAATGTAGATATCTATCTAGCATCATCCATATATCCATTCCTCTATCTACAAATCTTACAAGTAGGTACTTATGTAAAAGTGCGAAACATGTGATATAGGAAGGAGAATTGAGTTACCTATTGTATAGGGATTATTTGTGGTGGGGAGATTGATGTTGATGTTGATGTTGATGGTTTGCAGGACTAGTATATGTGTGTATGAGTCATGTAATCCCCTCGTATTAATATGCGCTTATCGCGATTACAAAGTAGTGTTATGCGATTTCTTGAACTCATTCCCCAGGTATATCCTATCTAGCAAGCAAGCAAAATAGATATCATATGATGATACGTATCAATTCGGTAGTCTGGACTGTGAAATTTGATCAAACTAAATTCCGGGGGTTGGATGCGAATATGGAGAGAGGGAGGGAGAGAGGGGTATATATACTAAGAGACCAAGGTATTATTAGGATGGTGGATGTACTCCTACTGTAGATGTTTAAGGAAGGTTGAGGTGTTATCATCATCTCGTGTCTTGTGATTGATTTTAGATTTTAGATTTTAGATTAGGAGAAGAGGAAGGGATAGAATACTCGTATAATGGTTTTGAAAGGAGGTTTTAAAGGTGGATGGATATTGATTGATTCGATATGACTAGGTAGGTACTCACTTCTGCTTCATTCATACCTTGATAGCCCATTCTATTCTCATCCATCCCCAAGATTATCATAATACAAGACGATGAAGATGTCATATATCTACATACATACCTATATATAAAAACCTCCCATTTCATCAAGTTATTTTCCATTTCTACCTACCTAGGTATTTACCTACCTGAGTATCTATCAATCAAACCTCCCCAATCCCTTCCATCTGATCATCAGACGATATTTTATTCTAATCCATTCCAAACTACGTACCACAGATCTGAATACCTAAGCAGTACTCTACTGCTGTAAGTATTAATACAGAATAAATGCCCCTATAAAATCATCAAATGATAGGTAAATAAATGGATGATGAGATACTCGAGTAGATACTATTATTTTATACAGTGAAACATTTGGGACAGAGTGGTAGGTAGGTAGGTACTTGTGGTTGTCAAATCTACTCGAGTATAGAGGGAGTATATACCGACCGACCGACCGGTATATAAAGATCAAGATGTCTAAAGGGTTAATTAATTCTATGTTCTAGAAGATAGAAAGGAAAAAGAAATACTGAGTGGTTTGGATTCGGTGAAGATACTTGATGTTAGGTTGGGTTGGCTTTGATATATAGTACAGTACTGGGGGAAGGGAGGCATATAATGAATACTTAGTGATTACCCCTGTATAACCCCTGGTAATGTTGAATATAAGACCATTGTTATTGCCAGTGGCATATAATTGAAGATTAATGATTCCCTCTACTCGAGTATCAGTAGAGTAGTACTATATAGAATAAATGCTTCTATAGAATATGCTCTATTATTAGTAGAACTAGATATCTATATAAGAAGGGAAAAAAAAAGTTGAAGATAAATCAAAATTAGAATATGTACTCGGTATTAAGTTAAATATCAAAGCTCTCCTTATCTACTAGTCTACTCATAGTCTCAATCAATAGAATCAGGGATCCACCCAAATCTCCCGAACCAAAATAAATTGACCCCCTAGAAATGAATCAAGAGATATTACTTGGTTAGGATAAGGTACTTACTGGGTATGTATGACACGATGTCATGCTGTACTGCTGTACAGTGGCTATTCGAGTATATTGCATACCTGTTGCTACTTTGTTCGCAAAAATGAATATAAATACTCCATACAGTACCTAGGACCTGGGTGAGTACAGGAATAGGGGGGAGGATAAGATATTAAAGAGGGGGCCTTTCTTTTGGATGGCCATATACAAGGGGCAAACTAGAAAATAGGAGGGAGGTTGAGCATTGTTATTTTTTTAATTTTCGTACACTTCTAGTCTCAACTCTCTAAGTAATAAAGAAAGACCCTTCTGACCATGTGAACAAAATTGTGAACGGTGTCTGTGTGGAAAGGTGTCTAACTTTATTTTATTTTTATACAGGACAAGACTGACATTTCTAGTACCAAAGAAGGTATTGGCTTTGATTTGATCTTTGGTAAAGGTGGATATGATCGTCTTTCTATTGGTTTTTGAACGGTCGAGATTTAATTGTAAAAGGGGGGGAGGGGAAAGTTCTAAGCCATACATTAAGTAACATCCAATCATCCAATACAACATCGACATTTGAGCATGACTTGAAGTATTTACTGTAAGATCGCCCTACAAAGTCTTGATCATGCGAGCATTTGATACCCTGTGAGAGAATGTGAGAGGATGTGAGAGGATATGCTCCGATACGGAAGACCTTAAACGGGTAAATGTTTCTGAAGTTTTGATCGAGTGATGCATGGTACAAGAATGTTTGGTTATGGCGTGTTTATAATAGATATATGGATAGATATATGGTGTTGTAGAGATGATGAAATTGAATTTGAAGAAAGATATCTAGACTTTATACTGTATGTTATAGTACAGTACAGTACCGGTATGCTCAAGGTAAAGTAGTAAGTTTATCGGAAAAGGCCTTCCTGGTGGGAGGATTTCTGGTACTGTATATGTATTGTATTGCCCACTCACTGTTAAAGTTGTCGATGAAACCCAGTATGCGGTATAATATACACGATACACTATGTAACTACTGTCAGTATATTATAATAATAATAATAATTGATCAATGGTGGGATGGTGATATGAGGAAATGATGTGTGTGTGTATGTGTGTATGTGTGTGTGGAGTTGTGTGTGCTGTTGTTAGGTTTAAGGATAATATAAATTTCGAGATTTGAAGATCCATCTATCCATCTTGTTCAAGATTTGAGATGAAGGAACCATTCATAGAACAAATATGACAAAACTTAGAAGACATTCAAAGACAGGAGAGGGGGTTAATATATGGTATCTCTGGGTGGCAGTTGAGGAATCTGAACATGTCCATGAAACTATCCATGAACATTATTGATTCCCATCTGATTCTCATATACTGGATAAAAAATAAAATCAATCAACAGGGGTAAGTTAAGAAGAGTCAAGACCCATTTTTATATGTATGTACCCTGTTAGATATACTCGGATTAAAATCAAAGGGATCAAACTATATAGGAGTTTGATTATATACACATTCACCAATCATTCTTTTGCATCCTTTTGTATGGAATCAATATGAAATCAAAAGAATGAGTTCATCTCAATACCTCTATAGAATTTCTGTTGATTATTCATAACGAATATGAAGAAAAAGCCTTGTTTGATTGGTTGTTGACTTGACTTGACTTGACTTGACTTCAAAAGATATGAATGGATTATCTGTTCTCGTCTCTACTGTTATCTATCTATCTACTTACCCAATTGAGTCAAAAAATACCTAATTTGTTTTATACAGCAGATGATTCCCTAATAGTGTCATCTTCTTTTTGTGGATCTGATGGTCCTTGCACTCTTAAATGGATCGGATGGTCTCTTCTTAGCCTGTAACCTTAGAGTAGTTAGTACCTTACCCGTGCCTACCCTCATTTCGCTAGTATTAAAAGTAATAAAAACAAATCTGCCCATCTCATAAGGAAAGGAAAGAAAAGGAAAAAAATTCTCTTCAACTTCCTTCCCTCCTTCTTCTTTCATCACACTTACTTACGTATCTTAATAAGCCTTCATCTTCTTCTTTTTTCAAAGAAGTTTTCTTTGTTTACTCGTTCAACTTAAAAAGGAAACTTACACCATCCACAACGTGAAAGTTCTCCTGATCATCCATCTATTCATCAACAAAAAAAAAGGATATTTGATTCATTCGATTTGATTCTTATTTCAAAATGTCGGAAGTTCAAAACCCTACTGTCGAGGAGCCTCTCACAGCTCAAGCTCCAGTTATCACCACTGAAGTTCCAGTTGTTGAACCTGTCACCGAGACAAAGATTGAGGAGCCAGTTGCTACAACTGAGCTAGCCGCCGAAGCACCAGCAGTTGTTGAGGAGCCAACCGCAGAGGTTACTGATGCCGCACCAGCCGCTAAGGAGGTTACACCTGTTGAGGAGGGAGTTTTGGGTTACAAAGGTCCAGGTTTACTCAAGTAAGTTATCTCTCATCGGAATGCAGTTCTATCTTCATTTACGAATGCGCCCTTTTGATTCTCAACTGGTGTGGTCCTCTCGAAGATTTGAAGATTGCCAGGAATATCGAAGACGTTTCGAGAATTAATTACTAATCTGATATTTTTATAGGAGCTTCATTTTCCAAAAGAAGTATTTCTGGTTCGGAACTGAGCCAATTGAGCACAAGAACCTTTCCAGCTATCTCCGTGGTGAGAAGCCAGATGTCGCCAACCACAATGCCGCTTGGTCATCCCACACTGGTAATGGTCTCTTGTTCTTCAGCAAGAAGGCCACCGATAAGGCCAGCCCAGCTGGTATCTTGAATTTGGTAAGTTGATCATCATAAGCGACATCTTGATAACGGTCTACTAACATAATGCTTCACAGTCCGAAGCTTCTGATATCTCCGAAGATGGCACCGTCGACTTCTTCTTCACCATCCACGGACACAAACACACTTTCCAAGCTGCCAACATCGTCGAACGTGATGACTGGGTTGCTACCTTGAAGAACAAGGTCGCTGAGGCCAAGGAAATTGCCGAGTCTGTCAAGGAGAGCGAAACCTACAAGACCAGCCACGCTGCCTTGACCAAGCCATTCTCTGGTGCTGCCACTCCAAAGAAAGAGGAGAAGGTCGAAGCCAAGGCCGAGAAGAAGGAAGAAAAGGCCGAGGCTAAGGAGGCTAAGGAAGAGCAAAAGGAGGAGAATGCCGAAATCAAGGCCGAGATCAAGGAAGAGAAGAAGGAAGAGAAGTCTGAACTCAAGGTAGAGAAGAAGGGACGCAAGAGCCGATCTGCTTCTCGCAAGGGTGACAAGCGTACTTCCATTTTTGGTGCCATCCCAGGTTTCGGAAAGAAGGAAGATAAGACTGAAGCACCAAAGGATGAAGTTGTTGCTTCTCCATCTACCGAGGAAGCCATCGCCGCCGACGCGTCTGCTGCCCCAGATCTTGATGCCCCAGCTGCTACTGAGGTCCCTGTCACCACTGAAGAAGCTGCTGTTGCACCAGCTGTCGAGGAACCAATTGTCGCCGCCGCTCCAGTTGAGAAGCCAGTTGCAACCAAGCGTAACAGCATCTTCGGTACCCTTCAATCCAGATTCTCTCACAAGAAGCCTGAGCCTGAGGCTGTTTCCCCGGTTGCAGCAAAGGATGATGAGCCAGTTTCCGAGAATGCTCCAGTCATCCCAGCTGTTGATACCACTGAGCCATTGACCGCCAATGTCGATGCTGCCTCCCCAGTTGAGGTTGCTGAGACCCCAGTCATCAACGGCGATGTCCCCAAGGCCGCAGAAACTCCAGTCACCAAGGCTGATAAGCGCAAGAGCTCCCTCCCATGGTTAAGCAAGAAGGAGAAGTCTACCACCACTAGTGATGAGGAGACTGAAAAGCCAAAGTCACCTTTCGCCAAGCTCCGTGCTACCGTCAAGTCCAAGTCATCCCCAAAGGCTGATAAGACTGCCGAGAAGCCACTCGAGCCAACTGCCGAGACCAAGGCCGAGGACAAGATTACCGAAGAGATCACCGCCACCGAGCCAGTTGTCTCTGAGCCAGTTGTCGCTGCTCCAACCAGCACCACTCCTCAAGTTTCTGCCACCGCATGAGGGAACTCACATCATTAAAGTTGCATCGCATCTCCGTAATGATTTCTTATTGTTGTCGTCGGGAAAACGGATCTCCTTGAAATACCCCCAAGATTGATTGATACCACTCTCATTTTGCAGTACTTGTCTATCTTTCTTATCTTACGCGTTTGTTATGTTTTGGTCTGCCTGCGCTTGCGGTTTCTGCTGCGTATTGATACCCCTATACCCAGACTGTCTTTTCGCAATCTGCCACTAGGGCAAACCAACTTCAACCTTAATACCTAATACAAAGTTTCTTGATGTTTAATGAATATTGATTTTTCAGATGTTTATGTGATGTAGTGATTGCCCTTTTGTCTCGAGGTAATAATAAGTGTCGATTTGTTTTTATATGCTGTACCATTGGACGAGGTCTCGAAAAATGAAAGATACTGACTGGTGTTGTTAATATAAGGTTACGATATTTAGTGAAGTTTACCATTGTCTACGGGGACTACGGGCACTGGCACTACAGGGGCACTACAGTAGTTTTTGGGTCCATCGTAAAGTTAACTTAGGTACTCATACCGCCAGAAAATCCGCTACTCGGGTAAGCTAGCACGTGCCATATGGTGGTAAACTACAACAGGAATAGCCTAGTTTCCAGAGTTGCAAACTTTCTGGCAGCATAAATCTATTTAGTGGGGCTGGACTAGACTAGGTATGGTGGGATGGAAGGGAGAAGTGAGGGGATGTGGATATGGACGATGAGGGAGAGGAAGAGGAAGAGGAAGAGGAAGAGGAAAAGGAAGGGGAAGGGGGTGGGAGGAAGAGGGTGGGAGGGATGAGAGGTGAGAGGAAGGGGAGATGAGAGGGAGAAAGGGGAAGGAGAGAAAGGGAGAAAGAGGGTGAGAGATGAGAGGGGGGAAGGGAGGGTGAGAGGGAGAAATGGGAAGTGGGGGATGGGAAGTTGCGGAGGGCTGGAGGTAGGAGGGAAGAGGGTGGGTAGAGGGTAGGGGGTAGAGGGTAGGGGGTAGAGGGTAGGGGTTAGGGAGAAGTGGTAAGTGGGGGATGAGAGGAAAGAGGGGTGAGAGAGAGGGGGCGAGAGGGATGAGAGAGGGAAAGGGGGGATTGAATTGAGAGGGAATAAGTGCGAGGATCTATGCATGTGAACATGAATATCGACATGAATATGAATATGAACATGAGATAGGGAACTCGAATCGAAAAATGAAAGTTGCAGAATGAATGATTTGATAATTTTAATTAACATAAATACGAGTACTATTGGAATCTATTAGATGAAGTTTATTTATAATAAACGTGGCCAATGAAAAGATATCGCTTTTGTATGTCGTCGCCGATTCGCTGATGATTAACTAACTAATTATATGGTATATGGTATACATAGATAAATAAGGTTAGTAGAGTACGTACTCGTAGAAGATTATTCGTTTCTTTTCTTTTATACTCGAGTATGTATTCTATTTCCTTTATAATCTAGAATTCATAATATTTTGTGCGCTAAATACTACTGGTATTACATTACGGCTTGCTGGGCTCTGCTCTGAACTTGGGTATTTCTGGAGGGATTGAGGGATTGTATATTTTGATGTGTGTATGTACGGTATGGTATGTATAGTGTGTATAGTGTGGATTGCGATTTCGAGAGGGGAGTGGGAAGTGGGGAGTGGGAGTTTGGAAGTGGGAGTTTGGAAATGGGAGTTTGGAAATGGGAAGTCAATAGTCGGTTGTGGGTTATTTACTCGTACTTGTACTTATGGATGATGGATGATGGATGATGGATCTTAGGATATACTAAGTAAGGAAGGTTGAATTGAACAAATGATGTCGATTGCCTGGGCTATAGTGAGGATGGGGATGTAGGATGGAGGATGGAGGATAGAGGATGGAAGATAGAGGATAGAGGATAGAATATCTTTGGGATAGAATACATAACTTCATATTCGTATACTCGTTTTCTTCTTCTTCTTCAATAAATCTGGTATGGATCTGCTCCAGCCTTGAGAGATTTGGGGTTTGTAATCTTACGAGAACAGAAGAAGAGGGTAGGAGGGTGTGTGGACCATTCTGGGGGGAACTTGACTCAAAAGTACATACCTATAATATGATGGGGAGAGAGCTTGGGAGTGATTGATTGATTGGTATTTTTGGGGGGATTCGTTGAATGATAGTTTATTGTACTCGAGTACTCGACTAAGAGTACTTTGTAATGTGTGGATGATAATGGTGTGGTTTTTGACCATGGAGTTGAATGGTGATGTTAGATTTTTGGATTTATAGTGACAGTGAACCTACCTGTCTGGCTTGTGGCATGCATGGCTTGTGACTACGTCTTGGATATCTATTTTTGTTATATTCAATAGAGATACCTCAAGTGAGACGATTCGATTATTTGCACTCCCTACTCGAGTAAAGTAAGATGTTTTTTCTCATCACTTCAGAATGATTTGGCTACTCAGCTTGAGCTCCTTCCTACTCGTATTACTCGGAGACTTCGCGGAGCTAATTACTTTATTGTACTGAGTAGGTATAGTGGAGTGAGTATATTCTACGAGTATAGACATCTTGATCTAATCTACTCGTAACAGACTAATACTAATGAATCCTTCAATCCTCCTCTCGTCGACTCCTAGAGATCTTTTGTTTTGTACGAGTACCGTATTTGTAGAAGAGGAGAGAGATTTCGATTGGTATGGGTATGGGTATACTCGAGTAGTATTGCTGTGTTGATCTGTTTCGGTTTCGGTCTCGATCTGATTGGAAGCTCGCAGAATTGCGCTTGTGTATTTTTATTTAATATCTGTTCATGATATAATATGATATGATATGATATGATACATACATATATGCATGCATGGATACATCTCCAACTGGTAGGTAGGTTATATTGTCAAAGTAAGATCTTACCGTTATACTCGAGTAGAGCTAATATTGGAGAACCCATCTTCCTTCAGATTGGATATACTAAGTTGAGCATCTTTGGTAAGATTATAAGAATGATTTGTACTGAGATCTATTATCTCTGTTTGTAATAACCGTGACACATGCAACTTGAAGTTGAGATTGGGATTGGAAGCTTTTACTATCTTCTCATTCCAACCTTTCACAGTACACCTCTTTATTACCCACCAATCTAAATCTCTCACCCCACCTCACAACTGATACCTAAACCCCCTATTTAACTCCCCCCCTCCACCGTCCCCTTCCCTTCCCCAATCCTCCTATTCAACCACTGATACGCCAGCCTCATTCCCACCATCACACTAATCGCCATAGCCGCCATGATAAAAAGTACCTTAAACCCCTTATGATAATACGGTTTATCATTTGCCTGGAAAATATGCGAAGCGGGCACTGCGCTCAGATTAGTCATGGCCATATAAAGCGCGATAGCGATAGCGCGACGACGGGGCGTCGGTTGATTGGCGTTGAGCCAGGCTACGTTGAGGGGGTGCCAGGAGGGTGATCCGCCGGTGAATACGAGGAAAGCGTAGAAGGTCCAGTTGCTTTTGGTGTGGGGGAGGGTCTGGGAGAGGGGAGGTTGGGTTAGTTGGGGAGGGGTTTGATGGAGAGTAAAAGTGTGTGTGGAGGGGCTTACATCGAGGACGATGAGACCGGTGAGTAACCATATTGCGGCGAATATAATCGGTATACTCCTTGAATTGACCTTGTCGCTCCACCATGATAATGTAAATGTGGTGATGATCAAGAGAGCACTATTTGGAATGACCAGTAGATTCGAATTGAAAGTGCTAAATCCAAAACTCTTGATGATGGATGGTGAGTATGTTCCAATGGGAGGAGAATATTCTAATCCGAGCAAAGCCATCGCACAATGTGCCCATACTTTCCAATCTGTGAGAACCGAAACCACAATTTGAAATTGAGAGAGATGGGAATCTCGAGGGTCGGTGTTGTATGGATTATCACGTGCGATACGTCCGAGAAGAATTTCAGATTCGCGAGGGCTAAAGGATGAAAGTGTAAGTTTGGCAATCGAGTTTCCACGGCTGGGATCACGGGGAAGGAGAAAAAGTGTAGCCATTCCTATCGTGAGAGTAGCGAGTCCATCTAGACAATAATTAGTACGAGTATATCATTGGAAGCACGTCGGTGTATCACAAACCAACAAGGAAAAGCCACTGCCATCCAGTCAACCCAGCTCTTCCACGAAGTCGCAGTAAACCGTATGCGATAAGGCCATTGAGCAAGTTTGCCATGTAGCTCCCGATGAAAAATAACACTGTTCTCTTCCCTAGCTCACGTTTCGTGTACCATTTTGTTAGATACCATAATGTACCCGGAATAAAACCCGATTCACATAGACCGAGCAAGAAACGTGTTGCTAGAAATCCAGCCTTATTCTTGATAAAGGCTTGGAAGGTGGCTACGAGACCCCAAGCGAGAAGTTGACATGGTAGCCAGATATCGGCACCGAACTATTGATAATTAGCTTTGCGAGTCTGTCTAAAGTATGGGAGATGGAAAAACCTTTTGAATCATGAGATTTGCGGGAATATCTCCGATGCAGATACCGACGTAGACGAGACTGTTTCCCGTGTTGACAATTTCCTGGGTCATGGAGAGATCCTTCATCATGTTATCCGTAAGAGCATTGGAGATGTTGCCTCTGTGTTTAGTGTTAGATGCTATACATCTGGAAGACGTGATTATCACAATACCTGTCCAAGTTCAAGGTGAAGAACATAATCATAACTAAAGGAATTAGATAAAGATCCAATCTCCGCAGGATGGTCTTTTCCTCATCTTCGTGCCATTCAACCGCTAGAAGTCGCTTGTTGAGCTCCGAATTACTCTTCTCTGTAGGATCCTCATCATTGACACTATCAACTCGAGATGTGATATCATTTGTCGGCGCCATTGTCTATGGTACTTTGGGTATGTTTCCAATAAGGTTGAAACAGTACTCTACCTCCTCAAGTAGAGGCCAACGATCCGCCCGAACAACCGGTCAACCACGGTCTTATCAAGCTCTTTCTAGCTTTATCTTATCTCAATACCTGCATTGCATGTTATCTGATTAACACATGGGCATATAGCAAAGACCATTTACAGCGCCTAACAAAAGGCGTGCTTCGGAGACGGTTTATGTCACTTCATTTATCCAGACCAATCAATTTAGTCAGGAAAAGCTGAAGGTCTGGTTGTGATCACGACCCAAAGGTACAAGCGAGATGTTGCGATTTAAACCCCTGACATCGCGTCTTTGCTCAAATGTAGACCTCATCGTTCTTTCGCATTTGATTGCTGGATTTTTTAATGTGACAATGTATGAGCTTATTGTGCTTTGCTCCATCGATGACATCCCAACATGTTTTCGGCATCGGTTTATCGATCAGCGATAGCTCGTGTTATGATTAACGGAATATCTCCGAGTTGTCAATTCCTCGACTACTTTTCAAAGGACTTTTGACCTCAATCAATTTCGATCCTGGGAAATATATTTGAGTATCTTCCAAACTTCAAACTTTGAAGTAGGTACTTTGCAAACAAAAACAATGGCGACAGTTAGTAGTAACTCTTCAAACAATGCCATTGCTGTGGCTGGATTCCCAGCAGGATATCCAACCAGCGACACATCCAGAAAGACAAAGCTTCCACCAAAACCCGAAAACTTACCGCATCCCGAATATGTCACGCCAAGAGGTGTATCTCCCTTGATATCTGTACCAAAAGCAGGGTTACAATATCCCAATTATACGCCTTTTAAACTCCCCGACCTAGTTGAACATCCTTTCGTTGATAGAGGAATCGATTCAGATCCAAAAAAGAGCAAACTTCTGGGAGCAGCATCGGAAATAAAGCATCTAACCCCAGCTATTGGAACTGAGCTCGTGGGGATTCAGCTCACATCTCTCGATGACACGCAAAAGAATGAACTCGCCCGCTTGGTGGCAGAACGAGGAGTAGTGTTTCTGCGAGATCAAAAAATGGATGTTCATGAACAGATAGAATTCGGATCTTATTTTGGAGAACTTCATATCCATCAGATGGCGGGGATCATACCTGATTTGCCATGGGTTCATCCAATTCATAAAGACGAAACTGCCAAGAATGGTAGATCACATCAAATATGGCATTCGGATGTGAGTTATGAGATTCAGCCACCAGGACTGACATTTTTGAGAATGGACACCCTTCCAAGGGCTGGACCTGATGGATATGAAGCTGGCGGTGATACAATATGGGCGAGTGGTTATGGTATCTATGAATGTAAGTTTGTATCGGTGTAATGGCTGATGCCCAACACTAAAATTTCGTTTTCATAGCACTATCTACAATCCTAAAAGGCATTTTGGAAACTCTGGAAGCAAAACATAGTGGCCTTGAACAAGCCGAGAAAGCACTTAAAGGTAATGGATGCCTTCGAAGAAATCCTATTGAGACAATAGTAAGCATCATCTATCATTTCGCCGTAGGATTGATTTGGCTTACCATGAATTATTGCAGCACCCAGTAGTGAGGACACATCCAGTAACTGGACAAAAAACTTTATATGTGAATGAAAACTTTACCAAGGAGATTGTTGACGTCGAAAAGCGATTCAGCGACTCACTTCTTGATTTCCTCAATCGAACCGTTGCTGAGGCATACGAATATCAAGTGAGATGGAAATGGACCACCAATGCTGTCGCGATATGGGATAATCGCGCTACTTTCCACACCGGAATATTTGACTACTGTAAGTATTTGTCGTCCAAACTTTTGGCAGACAATATGTACTGATAGTGATGTGCAACAAGATCCTCACCTTCGACATGGTTTGCGTGTTGCCACTCAAGCAGAAAAGCCCACCAAATGAAAGGGTGCGTAGTGGTGGATTATTCTGATCATATCATATCTCAATTGACGCACCAAGAATTCTCACTTGAGCAAGAATGGAATCCAATCGATTGGTCGGCGCCTCTAAGGCTGAACATACAGATATCTTCGCGCATACAATATGTAACAGACCTGAAATGTAAACGATGATTTCCATCACCTCACCGGAGTAAACAATTGATCATTGAACATCTTGTTGTCGTGTTGAGTGATATCGTAGATGCATTCTTTTGGCGTCGCACCTCACTAAGCGTTTATGCGACCGAAGACAACCGTTTAAACTGTTGTAACCAAGAGAAGCTAGAAAAAGTAAATATATAGAGTTGAGTAGAGACTAGATCATGTCGAATAAAGGGACTAAGAGACAGATAAGGAAATAATAGACGACTAGTATAAAAACATAGCGTAGAGATAGGTAGATCAATTGGAATGAGATTTTCGTCCACAATTTGTTTCCAAATCCCCTTTCCTCTCATTTCCTTCATTCCTCCAATATACTCACACTTGGATATATTAATCGGCCGTATATTAATCGTGAGACAGCAAAGACCGACGAGACCCTTCACCCTACGTCTCCAAGAAATGATCAGATGAATGTGGTTCGAGCAGAGTATTCAAGAAGACTTGCGAAAGGCCCACGCCACCAGCACTCAAATATGAAGAATCCGTAAAATCTTCACATCGCTCATAGTTGAACGTTTCATTCTCAAGCCCAACCAACAACATACATATTTATTGTTTGATGTCATTCTTGACTTTAAGGATGCTTCGCGCACGAGAAAATACTGTATTCTGGAATTGCGATACATGTCAGGCTTCAAGTGTGCCGCAAAAGTAAACGAAGGCAAGGCCTAAAAGGAACTTCTGCAAGCCTATGGTATTGGTATGGGTGGTGATGGCAAAAATCGGTAATGGTCAAGTTCCATACACACTTAGGTATTGTGATTGAGTCGAGAACGAGGTATGTTAGTACTAATCATTCCACTCAATGGTTGACAGATTAATGACTTTAAAAGTAGCAAAGATGCTTTAGGTGCTGTCGTCACGTTCCTTCATCCCAGGAGAACATCACCCACCCTCTAGCCTTCTAAAGTCCACAATATCAATATCAACATCAACATCATACTTCTTGTCAGCCCGCATTTTGTTTTTTTGACTCAATTTAACACCCATGATGCGTATGGATCTCCAAATCATGCCAAACAATATCTGTATACAAGCTATCCAAGTCCAAGTAGGCATCCTGGCAGCATCAAGCGGCCGCTGTGCCTTTGCGTGTTCTTTACCCCATGCCCACTGCCCATGCCATGCCCAAAAAATCTTGTTTCCCACAGCATGCGTAATCAGGATTAAGCTCACCAAAAGCTGCACCACACAAGCAAGATCCTGAAACTTGATCTCAATGACATCACCTCATGATGTTTTCCTGTTCTTACTGTATAATCTTTTTAATGTATGAAACTCCATTGCTGGTTTTCCCTCCATAATTCCACTTTAATCCCAAATTCAAATCAACTATAAAGACTATCCCATAGAAAAATTTACAATCCTATGTCCTTCATACTCGAACCATCATCCAAAGCCTATCGCGAGCGCAAATCCAAGAGACATCACTCGCAATCGCAATTGCAACCTCAAGATCAACAACTTCAAAGCCAAGCTCAACCTCAACCTCAACCTCAATCTCAAACACCACCTCAAAATAATCAACAAAACATGTCAATGCAACAACAACAAAATGGCGGGCAACTCGCCCACAATTTCCAACCCGAATTCCCCCAAGCAAAACAACCCGAAACCAGCAAACCCCGCTACAAAGGCGGAAACTACGGACCCGGCACCATCTCCCAACGGATCGAAAAAGCCATGACCGAACTCGAGCATCAAACCTGGCGCTGTCGGCTCGACAAACCCTCGGGGCTCCTAGAATACATTGACCCCAAAGCGGTGTTTGCCTCGCCCGAATACGGCATCTTGACCAACGATTCGGAACCGACGCTTAAGGAAACGCTCGAGGATGACGATATGCGGACCTGGAATTCGTACGAGATTAAGGATATGAAGATTGTGGAGGTGAGTATGATGGCTGCGACGGTGGTCTATGATGTCACGGCTAGTATTACGGATGAGAGGGGTGGTCAGAAGGGTGTTTATAAGGCTTATTGTACGAGTTGTTGGAAACAGGAGGCGAGTGCGGAGTGGAAGTTATGTACTTATACTGAAGCGCCGCATCCTTAGAGGGGTGGGTGGGGGGTGTGTGAAGGGGTAGTGGGGAGAAGAGAGGAGAAGAGAGGAGAGGAGAGGAGAGGTTGGTAATTATGATGTTATGGTATGTACGGGCATGTTTGGTGTTTGGATAGGATATGATCGGATGATATAGGAGTTTTCAATGAATATTTCTTCACCAGCGACACACATGAATTATCCCATTTTGTTTTTTTTTCTCTTATAATAATCACTTCCTTCCTCATTCTCAAATACATTTACAAACCATTTACAAATGGAATCCACACAACCTCGAGAAAATCAAATATCTCCAGAGTCAAAACGTTAATTTTCATTGATTCCCAACACGAGTACTTATAATCTATTTCCGTATCTCTATTCTACCCGTGAATACATATTTCTCATGCAGCTAGCTACTATATATAAAGCTACGCTTCACCACCGTAATCCCACAATACAGACATGGACCTCTGGCAGCCTAAAATGACCCCCAATAATGTTTATCATAATCTCCCTGCGGTTTCCACAGCGGCGCTGGCGTATAAACTGGAATTGGATCGGTAGCTATTTGTACATGAATGGATTAGCATTTAATTCACCCCTTTCACCCACTTCATCTCATATAACCACACCAAACTACACCACACTCCACCCCCACCCCCTCAAAACCCCCAAGAAAAGTAAAAAAAACTTACTCCCATACCCCGTAGTCGGCACCGCCCAACTCGGCCACGTAGGCGACGCCCACTCCACCGGCCCCCTCGTAACCGTAACCGTACTCGTAAACGTCTCCGTCCTAACATCTCCCCCCTCACTCACCACCCTCAACCCATTATTCACTCCATAAACATCATCGCCCTCTCCAAAAACATTCGAAATATGATTCCGCACCTCCTCCCCACTTTCCGTCCACACACTCACGTTCTTCACTGTGACATCTGTCGCAGGCGCATAGTCTGACGCTAGCATATAGAGAGCGGGACGAATGGCGCCGTTGACGATACTACCGCTGTAGTTGAGGAAAGTGATGTTGCTGAGGATGACGGCTCCACTGTCGGGAGTGAAGGTTTGTTGCCAGTATTGGTTGAGGTTGATGCCGTAGAGGGAAGCTTTGGTCCGGAAATTCTCCCAGAGTATGTTGCGTACGTAGCCGGAACCGCCGGGGTAGGTCTTGATGAAGCTGATTTCGGAGCCGCCGAGGACGGAGATGTTGCGGGCGTGCTAGATGGGGGGTTGGTTAGTTTTCTTTATGAAAAAGAGGTAGGGAGAGGGGTATGGGGAAAGAGGGAGACGCACTATATTTGATATTTCGGCCGAAACGTTTAGACTTCCAATTGATATCCCAGAGCCCACTTGGTTGCAAACGAGATTCTCCACAAGAGCATTGTGCGAGGGACTTTTGACAGATACGCATTCATCTCGATTTGTTACCTATGTATCATATCAACATCAGTATTTTCCTCATTTTCTTACCTCACTTCAAACTCCAACCGATCCAAGATTCAGAAACTACGCACCTCATTATCATGAACCCAGTAGTTCGTTCCAATAGCATCAATGCCATCATAAGAACCCAAATTAGCACCACGAATCGTGAGATGATATACTTCGATGTTTTCGGCAAAATCAAATATAAAGTGGAATTTGGGACTGTCGATGAGGAGCAGATCGTGGACTGTCGTATTTATGGGGGAGATGAGACGGAGCATCCGAGGACGATTTGTGCTAGGGTGAGGTGTTAGGTATAGGAAGGAGTATTGATCGAGGGAGTGGGAAGACGCTAAATAAATGACTGACTTTCCAGAAATACGGTACAGATAACCTTGTCCTTGGATAGCTCCAAGACCATTTGAGGAGTAGAGTTCGAAATCGACGGCTGGATGTGATTTAGTATATAGTAACTCAGTGGATAGACATTGTTGTCTCACCATTAATGATAACAATGAGATTCTGCAAGAACTTCCCATCGCCCTCCCCATTAATAGTACTATTCGATTCCTCAACACCCATATCCTTATCATCCAAAACTTCCCTGAGCATTACATACTTATTTAAGTTCTGCACCCCCGCAAATCCCTCTAGTATCCTGGATCTAGGCACAACATACGGCACCTCATACCCCGTGGAATTAGCATAATAAACCGCCGTAATCAGACCATCGAGCTGAAAAGCCCAATTCGTCGCATTACTCAAGACGATACTAGTTTGGAGTGTATAATTGCCAGCAGGGACAATAAGACGACTGCCAGCATGCTTTTGAACGCACGAGGTGAAGGTGTTGGTGATGGGGATAGAGACATCGTCGGTGAGGGGGTTGAAGGAGGGGTTTAGAGTGAGGATATTGCATTCGGTGGTTTTTTGGGAGAGGGAAGTGGTTGCACCGACTGGGCCGGTGAGTTGAGCTTGCGAGAAGAGACTAAGATGAAGGAACAAGAATAATGATATGATTGAAAACATCTTGAATACCTACCTACGAAATCATAACACTAATCATGAACCTAGGATGTTTTATGCTCGCGTATAAAGACATATTCAAGTAGACGTGCCTTTCTCGTTGTCTGTCGCAATCATCAATCCCCATAACTAACTTTGGGTCTGCAAGTTGGATGGAAAAGATTATGCACCAAACATGTATCTTCAAGAGATTATCTCATATATCATACCGCGCATTTGAAAGACGGGTGGGGCTGCATCCTATGAGCGTCATGGTCAAGGGGTATGGCGCATTGTGTACTCAGTAACTCTCGGTAACTCGGTCGAGTTGAGCCCGCGAGTCAGCACCTCCTTCCTCTTTTGTAACATATGATTTCAGACGCCAACATATGCGGGTGTATCTATAGTGGCATCACGTCGTGTTGCTCGTTGGGTTTGGGTTGGGTCGATTGGGATGGGCTGCATGCCTCTGCCGAAGTTAATGTATTTTTTGTGCCTTCATATCGGCGCCCCAAAGTACAATTTTGAAGATAGATACCTTTTGTATCTCGTCAGTCCATACTGCATATGTAATTTTAATTGCACTCAAAGGTGCCGCACATTAAATGCCTACCTAAGAGTGTCCAGGGCCAAGACTGATGACAGAGAGGTTAACTTGCACCAAACAGCCTGTAAGCCTCTATGAGGAGGGCGATATATTTGTATGTTTAGCTTTCCCACTGTCACATATGCAAGATGTCCGAGGGCATTGTCAGGATCGGAGCTGCGAAGAATAGATAGCCAGCAATGGTTACAATCGTCTTTGCTGTATCAGTGTAATGCATGTGCAAGTGAAAAGGTATGCCAAAATATGATCCCAAAGCACACAAAGTTGGCACCAGAATCTTGATGGCTGTTTTAGGGAGCCAGTCATATCATTGAGCATACTTTTGAATCTCCTTTGTCTGGAGCTGTTATCCTGTTGTTTGTTTGGCATACTTACGCAGCTCTGCTTGCACACCGGATAAGTTGTATGTAACGGATTCCCTATCCAATCTTCTCAGCTTCAGATCATAAGATATGGTTCTTGTACAATGAAAATGATAGAGGCAACACACTGCCACATAGGATTCAGAAGTAGGGGCACGGTGAAAAGAGTATAGCAAATGGCTTTTGAGCCTCGCGAATGGAGCTCCTTTGTGAATCCATCTTGTAAATATTGGATGACTGCGTAAAGCCATTGTTTACGATAGCGGGAGCAGCGGCGATTCCAAATTCGCTGGGGCCTGCGTTAGAGTTGCGGCAGCATAGTATGGCTGGAGTAAAAAGATCGAAGACTATTTGGAGTAGAGGACGAGATGTCCAGGATGACTGATGGCGCCGCTGGTTTAAGAAAGGGAAAGGAAACGTGCCAGGCAAGAAATATATGGGTTGACTGCTGTTCTGGCCATGATCTCGTTGCCTCATCTGATTGTATGAGTATTTGAGCATCCTTTCCAATATCCAAAGTGGTGAGGATAACGACATTGTTTGGTGATTAGTCAGATTGAGAGTATAGGAATGAGAATAGATAGGAAGTTTTTATGAAATCATTAATGGTAGGCTAAGCCTCAAAGGACATGCATCAATGGATTATCAGCCCGACCAGTTCACTTTTGTTATTCAACAACCATGCTAGTGACACAAAACACAAAGCGCACGCTAGCGACATGAAGTAATTCAAGTAATTCACTTCAAGATCGATCCTAAACTTCCACAAACCTACAAATCCTCATAACACACACCATCCGACCTCCCTGCCACTAATTCGCATAATGTCGGACCCAAATGAGGGAAAAAACACACAATCATTCACACACTTTCGACCATCACAGAAATTGTACAGAACAAGGGGACCGCTAACCTACGATTTTCCACATCCAGGAGGTCGACAAAACACCACTTGGACACATACTCCCAATCTCACAGAGAGGAGTTACAGAAGGCTTGATAATAAGCAACTAGCTCTCGCCCATGACCGCCCTCGCCTTCGACTTGAAGGTGACGCAGTTACTCCCCTCCCACAACCCAAGGACTACCTCTTGCCCTGGCAGAGAGAGCTGTTGGAGAGTCGTGTTCCTTACCATCACCGACCAGATCCCATTCCTCGAGCCAATCTGTTCTACCACTCCACGCTTCCAGATGCTCAAGTTGAACTCTACGATGATTTCTCAACCTTCATCCTCTTCGATCAACTTCCCAAGGAAATACGCATTAAGATCTGGAAAGCCGCTCTGCAAATCCAGCAACGTCGAAATGTCGTAGTAGAAAGATTGGGAACTATGTGGGCATTTGACATCAAGCAGCCTTTCTACTCGCCTGAGATGTTGGACATGCTCGGAAATCCGATAAACAGATTCTTTTCAAAGTCAAAAACTCCAGCCGTATTGCAAGCTAACTCAGAAAGCCGAGAAATATCCTTGCATACTTACATCCAACTATTTCCAAACCGATCTCTCTGTGCAAACCCTGTTTATTTTAACCCCGATTTCGATTGCATAACCATTCGTTACATGGATTGCCTCGATGGTGGCTGGTTCCTACGATCAATCTCTAAAGAACAGGCCAAGATATTCAACAAGATTAAGAGTCTAGCATTGTCCAGACGTGGATCGAGGTTTCCGGCACAGGTGCATAATAGGGGGCTTAGTTGGAAGACTGCTCCACTTGGATTCATGCTCAAGTGGTTCCGAAGTCTGGACTCGTTAACTTTGTTCACTGAATCTTTTCAGCAAGAAAATGCACATTTTACTGAGGGGTGTTTTGGGCGCCTATTGCGACTACGCAGAGATGCAGAGAGAGATGCTGCTGATAAGTTATGCTTTGACAACATATTACTGTGGATGAGGGAAATGAAGTTGGAAGACCCTACCTTCAAGATTCCAAAACTCAATCGTCAGGAACTTCGCCATATCCCCAAATCGCAACATCAGAATCCCTACAATTACGAAGATGGCGGGTGTGCCAAGGTTGACAGGGACGATGTAATCAAATGTATGGTAGTTGAAGAAGATAATCTGCGGCATTGATTTATTCTTGTGGAGCAAAAGCACTGGTATTATATCTTGTTTATGGAGGATTAGGAATCATACACATCGCAGTCGGATCTTTTTCCCTCTTGGAATGATAGTACTTGAATGAACAATAACCTTGTCAATGAAGCCTCTACATTATTCGTGAGCAAGAATGCAAGAGAATAGGTGCCGATTGATTGAGTTAGACATGCCGTGTGAGCATAGTAGCTGCCCGGAAACGGGAGAGAGCATTCTTGCGTTCAAAGCACTCTTCAATGTTCAATCTTTTAAATCCGTGACTGAGTCTTCTCTCTGTCGTCGATGCCAAGCCAGAGCGTATCCAGGCGACTATAATGAACTCCAAAACCTATGAAAGTCTTGTTCTTGAGTATATAATCCAGATGCAATCCGCATGTATGATGCCCTTTTCAGCCTCTGAAATATTGGCAAAAGGTTTTCTGGCATCTAGACCAAAATTGGCTGAACTTCCTCCGCTTGAAGAGTTCATTAGATTGCCGATACTAGTACCCATTCCATCAATTTCCCGAGTCAGAGTAGCTGTTGTGAAGAATAAATGCTTGGGAGTCGATTGCGACAATTTTTGGGTGCCTGATATGCTGATGAGCTAGGTTTTGAAAGTATAATGTCTAAAAACACCTTCTCTAAACATTGATCACAACTTCAGACCTCCATCATGCTCAGAAGTAGGTGATCAAGCAGCCACGTCAAAGTCTTTCTTTGGAGTATTGTGTTATATGTCAGAAGTGGTTGAATGTGCTCCCGGCATGCCAAAGCATCAGTTTCACCAACCACCGGAGCTTCTGCCGCATTCTCAGGCAATGCCTGAAGAATTTTCTCCATATGGGTGGCTTCAACTTTCTTCTTGCCAATACAATCTTACCATCGTCCCGTATCGTTGCCCAATAATTGTATAACAATATTTCTTTTACGAGAATCGAAGTGATACAGTGATGTGGTTTCTAGCTGCACAATAACGGAGTTGTGCCATTTGGGGAGAGTCGATCTTCAGCGAGTATATGATGTATTTTGTATATAATTTGAAATCAACAGGATGGGACCTAAATTTATCGAAATTAGTCAATCGTTAAATCAACAGAAGGCTCTTCCATACCATTTTCAAGCTAGGTAACCAGGTAGCTATCAATCCGAGAAGTAATGAGCTTCGGCAACTTCTACTACTATAAGTGAGCAGGTTTCCCACAAACTTCTCGAGGCCCAACCAATCCGGTTCTGCCTGTTACTACAACTTTCATTATTCTGTGCAATCTTCTTTTATTCATTCGATGTTGTCCATGAAAGCACAAGCTTTCCGGGCGCGATCAACTTATACGGTACCAGGGTGCAAGAGAGAGCCCGTCATCTCCCAGGTCTTACAATGTTGCGAGTGAGAAGTGGATGTCATGGTGGAATTATAAGCACTTGATTGTCTCGGCTCTCCAGGTTAACGCTTCCGGCTCTGAACGGGGCCTTATAAATAGCCTTGGTAATTTAAATGGTATTGACTTAGTAAAGAAGAGATCGCAGGTTCACAGAAGAATAGGTTATTGAGCTGTTCGTTCCGGGGAAGTGGTCCGCTGGCGCATTGTTAATGAGGGAGGAAAGGAGGCTATGACTGGTAGGTAGATGGGTCGTAAGAGAGTGGGAAGGCAACTGTACCTACCATTTCAGAAGGGTTATAAGCCAATGTATGCAGGAGGAAGAAGCTGTTTGTATCATAGAAGTCCTTTGATCGTGATTATTGACACTAATGACACTAATGTAAGCCAGAACTGCAGCTGAAGTTGCAGCTTGGCACATACACTAAGTTTTGCTCCCCCACCTTTTCCCCTTCACCAAACTTTCTTGTTACCGACTACAATCCTACCCCGATGACAATGACAACAACAGCAAATTAGCAAGAAAAGTAAGGCCCTATGTGTGTTCATGTGAATAAATGAAATGGTGAAATTTCAGTACTTAAGACTATCTTCTGACAGATTCTGCAGCCTCGAATGATTTCCAAGTGAATGAAGAGAAACAGCTGAGTCGTGACAATTGAATGTTTCACCAGGGACATCGAAAAACGTTGACACCTCTGTGGAAGGACTGTATATTAATATGAATAGATCTGTGTGATACACTGTTGTCATTTATTCCCATGTTGCTTATTTGAAAATTAATATGTCAAGTATTCTGTCTGTCTGTCACATTCATCTTTGCTCCGGGCAATCTTGACTCGGCTCATGAGTATAATCATCTTAATTTTTACTCTTTGATGTATACCACAGTTGGCAGCATAGATATTACAAGCTCAGCTTCTGTATCTTCCATTAAAATTTCTACTTTGGCTGACAATGAGGCTATCAACAACAAGCCTGTTCAAGAAATTGAACCTGGCAGCTAGCTTACCATCCTCAATTCATTCCCTCTCCTGCTTGTGTTCTACTTCTCCCACCTCTGCTCCACTCGGCTCTGACAAGAACTAGCACATCAACAGCACATCCATTTCTGTCCTCTCATGTCTCTCACCTTCTCTCCTGCTTCCCACATCTTCTCTGTTCCATCCAGATCTTATGATACCTCAAAAATCTCAACAGCAAAGGGCTCCATATTCTCTCCGACTCCTGCAACTTCTCATCTACTCTACTCCACATAGGCTTCACGACAACTGATACCTTAGTAACCAATCCAAATTGATTCCGAGCCAACTATGATCCCCACAGAACTTTGTCTTGGTACCGTGAGGAACGTATTTCTTCTCAGTTTGGGGTTTTAAGAGTATGGACTGCAAGCTGGAGATCTTCTAAAATTGACGCAATACTAATAGATGAATCCGCAGAGCACTTAGAAGCTTCAAAATCAACGGAACTCGAATTATTACAAACGCGGGCTTAGAAAGGACGCCAATCTACAAATGACGTCTCAATACTACCAGATATAATCATGGGCATGTTCAACCGCCCGCTTCATTTCCTGCCATAGAGTGTGCAATCGGAATCAAAAATCAAAATACTCTCGAAAGTGTGTCTTAACCTACGCTTTCTACTATGACTGCGGAACTCTAAATACGCAAAGAGAGTTCAAGCTGCAGGTATGATATCTGTCAAATCCTTCTGCTAATTTGAGTTCAACATTTGTGATATTGAGGAGGGTGTATGAACAGTATTGCTAACTCTGATTGCTCACAGTTCTACTACTTTTAAATTTATAACCCATTATATATTCCTCCCTTTTTCGACAACTCCTTAGGCATAAGAAACCAGCGACGCGAAATGAATCATATGATAGCAAGAAAGAAAGAAACTCATAATTGAAGAGGATTGGAAGTTTCAATACACCATTAGGCAGGAGCCACTAGGATTACAAACATCTATGCGTTAGAGAAAGGGAAACTCAGCACGAAGCTGAGATGTTATAACCAAAGCGAAATTACTTTGGTCTTCTAATATTTTCACGACGCACGTCTCATGGCTAAACTCATGGTGAAATCTACGCAAACCAAATCACCACAGCTGATCTATATTGTAACCAGGTCTTCTAGGCGCCGTCAGAGGATGCACCCTTTTACCTTTTGGGCCTCTTGATTGAGCGAAAAATCACCAGAACTGCAGTCATAAAACACTCCAATACATTCAAGTGGAAAGCAACAACATTGAGTGTATATATCTCGGGTGGAGTTGGACCTGTCTGAGTAATATGACGTTGAAGACAATAATAAGGATACATTGATTGATACTCATAGGTTCTAGTCCATTGGCAATTGGATATAAAAAAGAACCCTTCTGCGCTCTGTGGCACCCCCAAAATCCACGAACATTTGTTCTTCTCTACCCATAATCAGAATTGTGGTGTAAGTGGGACTGATACGTGCAAGCAATCTCGGGCTACTATACCAACTGAATTTGTATGTTCCATGATCTGTTTGCATGTGTTCGCCGTCACTGGAGAACAGGAAACCTTAAAATTGGAATGGACATACAGAAGCCTGTTCAGATTACGACAACCACACGCGGGAACATGACATTTTGAGCCATCATATTCTGAATACTAGTTTTATCAATTTCCGTAAGGCAACCTCCCGGCCAAACTCTCAAGCGGGAGCGTATAAATATCGGCGAACTACCATGCATGCAGAAATCTGTTCCCAGTATTGCGGATAGCTGAAAAAGCGAAAGCAGAAACCTTTTGATGCAACGAAACTTCTTAAAATACATCTTTCTGTCGAAATCTACTCCCTCCGCCCTGCAATTTTGGTGATTTTACTTTCCTGCTTAGTTCTTCATGCCGAGTCATGTCTGACTGCCGCTTGACTTGCCTCCACAACTGGCGTATTTTGCCTAGTCTCTTGGGTCTGTAAGATGGTATCTGGCAATAGATGGCGAACAAGGAAAATACGAGCTTCATCGGAAAAGTCGTCCAAATAAGAATCCTCGTAGAGATCAACATCATCATCCTTTCTTTCGTCTCCATTTATGACTCTCACCCTCACATCAAATTCCTTGCTGACTTTGAGCGCTCTAATTGCTCCCACAACGTCTTTTGCGGCAAGTTCAGAGTTGAGGAACAAATAGTGCAAATCAGCTGTGGTTATCGATATGTACAATAGCAAAGATTTGACATTTTGAAAATGCTCCGTGATAAATTCGCATAGGAGTAAGAATCGGCATACGCCGCAGTGGTCCGATACAATATTATGGACGGTGTGGTTGTTTGAGTGCCAAATGCTACTCAGACGAAGGCATATGTGCTTGACTTCTTCATGATTGTCCTTGGTAGTACACTTTTCTTGATTCAACTGCAAAGCTGTTAGTTTTGGACAAGTGGTGTGAGGGCATGATAATACATCTTTCTGTCTTGAACTTTTCATCAAATCAAGGGTATTGTAGTGAAGACGTTCGCCGAAGTCAATTATAACGTTGTCCCAGAAGAAAGCCACAACGTCCTCCCACAGATTGACGTTTTCAATACCAGCGCCGTCCGTCATTTGAACCTCTCTGCCATTTCCTTTAGTGTCTCTAGCCTCCATCTCTCTTTCAGCGTCGTCGAGTTGAAGTTTGGACTCAACTTCTTCCACAAACCAAACCAATCTTTGGATATTTCGATACTCGTTGAGCTTGAAAAAGTCTAGCAGACATTCTGCCTGTTCCCAATTTTTCTCTTTCGTCCAATCTGCCAGGTCTTCTTTCGTAACACCTAGTATATCATCTGATAGGTAATGGGCAGGGCGAAGAGGGTGGGCACTGGTTTTTCTAGATACTGCGAATCGTCTTCCGTTACGAGAAAGTCGAGCCCATTGAGCGTCTGGTGACCAAGCGAATATTAAAAGCTTATAAATCTTGTTTCGGACATAGGAAGGTAATGTTCTGAACAATTTCCAAAATCTTGGTGATTATTAGTCTGTAGTCTTCATTACTACTGATATAAGATATCTGATCTATGCTTACTCAAGTGAAGTTGGCCCATCCTTGCTAAAATCACATATAGCCTTTGCGGCCTTGAACTTGGAAGTGACCCTTTGTTCCTTTGGAGGTCCCGGTTCTCGATAGTAATCATCGTCAAATGACAAAAATGGAATAGCCCGAGATATGACTGGGTTCCTCACACTGCGAGGCCGGTCATCCGAGAGGTAGCAATTTGCGAAGGCTAGCTCGAAAATTGTATCAGGAGCACGATGACGAGACATTGTGGATGATTCGTTGCTATATGTAAGATTAGCGGTTAGTGCAAGTTGCGACGAATGAAGGAGGTGATAGATCGTGACAGACAGTGCTTACCCGAAGAACTGAATTCAGAAGTTTAGCAAGGTGGAACTTGTGACAGGATTGGAGAACTATAAGCTCCTTGAAGGCTACTGTCGGCGATGGGTAAAGTCGTTTGGAGATGGTGGAAGATTTGCAAGATTAGAATTAGACTTCTGAAATTCTGCAAAGCTTGTGCAATACACGGGGCAAGAGGTTGTGGAGGATCGAAATGAGGGTAACAAAGATGATGTTGACAATAGCCTGCGATATTTGCTGACAGCTGAGAAGTTTGTAATGGAAGATAGAGCTCTAAATTTGGCCAGTAGTCAAAAAGAAGCTGTTAAACTCTTATTTGCGGAATTGATGGCAGATGGAAGTTGTGGAGGGAGCTGCTGTTGGAATGTTGGTTGATGGATATGGATTGTTTAGATGTATTGTTCGCATGAGAGACACTACAAGAGACATGAGGCTACCTCTTCTGTATAGCTTCAACAAAAATTCACCATGGCGACCGCTCAAACAGTACTTTCAAATTTCCGATGTTTGGCCGATAGGAACTCCTTGGTTAAAAGGATCTACTACCTTTACAATTAACTGCTTCCTCACCTTTGCAACACATTCAGTCGATCCAACCAACAATAAACACCTGCCTTTATCTTCTTTGCCAACATCTGGACAAGAGGGGTGACTTATTCTCAGTTCATTAGTCGGCCCTCAGACCAGTTTTAATTCTTTATACAATTCCAAACAGAGAGATACTCTCTGGGCCTTTTCCCTTGGTTTTGGCTATCCCACTATCTCCTCTACATTCAACTAACAACATGATTGTATTCAAACTACTACAGCCAATACTACTACCTTTTCTACACACAAAGCTCCGAAGTACAACCTATTCATGCCACTTTCATTGGCATGTCTATCACTTTTTCAACTACAACAGCCTCCTCTATACAAACACATCAAGCAACCATACTCAGATTAACCTCGATCTTCTCCACACGCACCGAAAAAGACAGTGTTGTCTAACTCTTTCCTTCGACGAGACCTACCTCCTTTCACACGGACTTGAATCCAGCAAGACCGAGAACTTCTACACTCGATCTTACCTATCTCCTCTACCGGCATCAGGCAAAGCGATTCAATAGAACTTCTCTTCTTGGCTATACTACCTCTATCTACGAATTCTGATAACGCGATCTATCTCGGTTGCTTCCATCCATTCTACCCACCTCTTCTATACGCACAGAAAAGCCAGCTATGCTTTGATTAGCCTATAACCTTCTCCACACACGGGGCAATCTTATCTAACTACCCCTTTCAATTGTTGCTGGGACCCACATACAAGACGAGCCGCGGCCACACCTACCCCTACGATACGCATTTCAATAGAACGATATTCTCTGCGATCCTTCATCATCATTGCCCTTTTAACAAACATTTAGAAACCGATTCTATCTAGACCACTCCTCTCGGCTAAACTGATCTCCTCTACGTACATAAGTCGACGTAAGTAGCCCCCAAATTTGTTTAATATCATTACTCATCACCCCAACCAGAAAAACGAATACAATGGAGGAGCCACCTAATCTATCGATCCATGATCGTCATACTCAAGATACACAGACCGCTGAGGCTCAAGCTACTTCTTCATCAGCAAGTCCTTATATCTCGACCCAAATATCCTCCCAGCGTTTGGGACTGGATTCTGCAATACCGGGCTCTTTTGATAGTACGCTCGGTCGTCGATTGCTACCAGGTGGTACTCAATCTATGTCAAGATTCAACACTTTTACGAAGTTTCCGCAGTTACCCCGCGAGATCCAGCGAATGGTGTGGAGAGAGACCTTACCAGGTCCCAAAATTCTTCTTATAAAGCCTATCCTGCGCAATGGCATTCCGCGACCGAGGACAACACCAGGGGACACACCACCGATTATATTGCCACCACAGACCTACATCCGTTACAAATCAAATTATAGTATGCCGAGTACGATCTTGGCGAGCAAGGAAGCTTTAGATGGTAAGATTCACACACTCTCTCTTTTCAAACTGAAACTATCTTCTGTAGTCCCCTAAGCCCTTGCACCTTGCGCTTTAAGGGCTTTGGCATCATATGGGAATCAACTCTTCCGATCGCTTTAAGCTCGATTGAAAGTTTGCTTACAAATACTAATCTTTTGTACAGTGGTCTCAAAACAAACTCTGCCCATAAGAAAATCTTTTATTCGTAACCACATCCCGAGACAACCGTTTCGGAAAAAGATTTTGCTCGAAATCAAAAGCGACACGGTTTACATTGAGCTGGAGGATCTTGCTTACCTTTGCAACGCGCCGCTTCCTCGTAGGATCTTAGGGGATCTCTGGCCTTGGATGGATTTTGAAGAGAAAGGCATGGTGAACCTCGCACTCGTACCTCCCTGTAATTCGAGATCCAGAATGCTCTTGACATACGTCGGGGGAATTATACATATCCTCCCTTGTGTGCGTCACTTGACCTTTATCATTGCAGACGAAACGCAAAATCTCCTACCCGCAGAGAGAGACCTGGCGTTCGAGGACCCAATCGATGTTGACTACGCTCTTGACTTATTCGCCAAGGATCCACGAGAAGTAGCGTGTGAGGATTTGCCAAAACATCATCACGTCAGGGAAGAAGAAGATATCAAATTTGACATGGCTGAATTGAAAAAGATACGGCTCAAGAACGCTGATCAATTTCGCCGTCCCTTCATTATCCCTGAAGATCTAGTTATCGACTTCAAGATTGTGATTCTGAGGGAGAAGGCAGAGGAATTGGCTAGGAGAAAGAAACGCTTTTATGCATTGAAGAAATTGATTAATAAAGGGCTAGATGTGCCATCGCAAGGTGTTTCTCATTAGGGCTTGTTGGAGGCAGGTAGGACAGGCGGCTTTTATGAATCAGTTGATCTTCTCGTGGTTTCGTTATGGTCTGGAACATCTTCTTTTAGCTTAGTCGTCTTAGTCGCATTCTACTTCATCCTGAAAACATATTTCAAATATTCAAAGTTGCCTTGCTTAGTGGATTGATCACCTGTGGCCTATAGTAGGTGATGCAAGCTTAAACTCTAGAGCTACAATACACACAACTCCATTATCCGATCCTTGTCGATGCTACTGTTATTACCTTAAATCCTACTCGAGTAGTTTGAACTATGGTTCCATCTTGTCCTGTCCCCGGCCATGACGCGATATTATATTTGATGCCGAAAGATTCCCATACAAATGATCTGTTATCCTCTGACAAATTTCTGGACTGAAGGCATTTAGGTTTTACATTCTGAACTACATAGTGGTGTGGCTAGTTCATGTCTTGATTTATCTAGATGGCTCTTGAGTTGAGCGTGACAGTTCTCATTCCATTCGCATTTTCTTTCAGTTTGGGAGAAAGCGTATGAGCATAAGACAAGAGCAGTTCTATCATCTTACTCGAACAGGAATGATGAGAAGGCTGATCATCTGAGTAAACCACACATATCGTTTGATTGTACAAACCTGTTTGTGATATCAAAGTACTGGTGCTGTCCCGACTATTCTAACTATGCTCCAAGATCTAAATAGACTTCCCTCGGCTCTACCCAATCTTGCTTTTACTAGAGCACCTTGTGCAAATCATCTACCCGTCCAAAACTCCCACTCTTCAACAATATCCTCCCATCTGTCTCGCAATTCTCTCCTCCCCCTCTCCTCTCCCAAAATCCTTCAAGAACCTCCCCCACACAGCTCCCTTCCCACTCTCCCCCACAGCCACACTCCACAAGACCCTCGCAGCTCCATCCTCCCATCCAATCGGACATCCCTCCCACTCACCTCTCCCCTCTCTATTCTCAATCACCTCTTTCGCCGCGCTCAAATAACCTGGATCCACACTATTCATCGCTACTTTTCGATCTCGCCAAGCTGCTGCTGCTTCGGTTTCCGTAAGCATGTTAAGAGCGGCTTTAGTAAGATTCGTGTGGACGTGGTAGCCGTTTTTGTGGCGGTTGGTTGGGGCGGATTCGAAGATTCCTTCGCGGGCTGACACGTTGATTATGTGGGCCAGGGGCTTTGTGGGCTGATTATTGGTGGTTGTGTGAAGATGGGAGTTGCCCATGAGGGGAAGAAGTTCGCGGATGAGGATTAGTGGGACGAAGGTGTTCACTGAGTGGGCGGAGATGACGTCTTCGTAGGGTATCTCGTATAAGTTTTGGACCCAAGAAGTCTTAGGTTCTTTCTCCATCGTTGAGATTGATGAAATGTTTTCTGTTCGTCCGATTATCCCGGGCTCTTCGGAAAATGTCTCGTTCAAACGTTTTTGTTCTGTATCAAAAGCCAAAAGATTCAAGCTCTGGACGCCACCTCTAACACGAGGGTTGTAATTGGTGGTAAGGAGTAGATTATCGAAGTTGTTGTCCTCAAGTTGCAGCCGATGTTCCAGTTCAATAGCTTGTCTTTCTTGTTTCACTGAATCTGTCCAGGTTTGCGCCGCATTGTTTATAAGAATATCGAGCTTCCCGGTATTCTCCATATCCCAGTTTACCAATACCTGCTTAATCCCAGCGACCAAATGAAAAACATCGTTCGCTGCTCTAAAATCGGCTCCAATGATCCTCAATCGCTTCTCCCATTTTCCGGAGTCACCTTCAGCTAAATATCTCACCGCTGCATCTCGTGGATATCTGGACGATACCATTACTTGAGCACCGCATCTAAGCAGTCGTAATGCGGTATGAAACCCCAAGTTGATCCGTCCTCCTGTCACCAAAGCCGTCTTTCCCTCTAGGTTAAGAGCATCAGGCAGTGAAAGATCGCTTGATGCAAGATTGAAACTTCCGCACGGTTTGCAAAGGGCCGGATACTGAGGATGGGGACTCGTGATTAGATATTGGCAAATGTAACATTTTCGTTCTTTCCTTCTTCCTTTCGTTACATCTTTGTTTTCGATCGGAAATGGGCTTCCTAAACGCTGGTTCAAGGCTTGCATCACGTCTTTGAACGGTGTTTTTCCATTAAGACGAATGTTATCCGGACTTTTGACACAAAAGTCAAGCACTCTTAGTGCTGTTTCAATATCTTCTATTGAGGGTGGACTCTCAGTGACCTCTTCTATAGCATTTGGAAGACTTTCGTGTCTGGGCTGAGGAGACATTTGATGTAAATAGGCTTGAATTCCCTGTATTATGCCAGTATACAAAGCCGCTCCGATTGAATATGAGTATCGGGCTGGAGCATTTGTAGGATACAGCTCCTTCGAGATTTGCTCCCCCAAGGGGGATTTAACATGGGGAAGGTAGAAGACCAATGGGCTGGGAAGTCCTTGTGTATGGCACAACTCTTGATCTTTTCGGATCTGTTGAGCTATTGTAGAGGGGATTTGATCTTTGATATAATTTCGGCATGATTCTTCGGTGTCCAGCATAACTACAGAAATTTCACGGGGAGATCTTTCGTGACTGTATTGTTTTTGTTTGGGCTTTATACACTGGTGGGGTTCTATTTATGCTTATTTGCGGCGTGAGTAAGCCCCTCCTGTATAATACAATACCCCGCCTCAGGGGGCTGACTGACTGGCCAAGGCCACTAATGCACATCGTACTATACCCTGTAAATAAGCAAAGTCATTCACCCAATTTTCGTGAAACAAAACCGCAACATCACTGTTGATTGTGAGCTTCATCCCCCCCTTTATACCACGCTTCAGTATGGACTCCAATCCTTGGTCACTACCATGGCCTCGCGAACTTCCAGTTGTGGTTCAAAATTTGCAAAAGCTGCCAATCGAAATAGTCCATCAAATTCTGAGCGATCTGCCAGTCATCAAAATCCTAGCAATTCTATCGTGGAGGCTACCATTTCTGTGGCAATGTGTTCTTACTCATATAAACTACGGACGAATCTTTAGATCGTATGATGATATTTCGGATGCCATGAACCATTACACTCTCTACCGCGAAATATGCTGGTTTCGCCGTTGGCCTCCCGCAGACCCCAGCTCTATATTCGCATTGTCTTCCCAGATACTCATCAAACTCTTGGTACCCTTACATGGTATGATTTGTAAAATGAGAAGCAAGATTAGGGCAGGCTTAGATATCAGGGCTTATGACCTCGATCTTCTAATTAAGCATGGAGGGAAATTTCGCCCAGGCACTACAAACATTAGGCTTGATGGGTTAGGACAAACTCTCAACCTTCAAACGTGCTGGGTTTATTGGAATTGGATCAAGGAGTCCAAGAGGCAGCTAAACATAACTAAATCCGAACAAAAAAGGCTCTCTGCACGCCTGGTTGGGAACTTCTCACGATTTCTGAGGCAATCGCTGGATCCATCCCAGGGTAACCCTCGACCCAATACTTCTCATATTGTAGCCAGATTTGAAAGTTCTGCGATAAAATCTCTACGCGACCGAAACTTGTATCATAATTGGCTTCATAAGCATTGTAAACCCGGCACGGATCTCGTTGAATTAGTACCATATGACCGATACCTTTGGCTATTACTTGAAACATTAGACAAACATCCATTTGATATTGGAATTACTGGCCTCGAGGATACTCTGGCAAAAGTCACTTTGCACAACGAGGAGCAAGGAACAGATGCAGAAAACACTGGCTTATCCACTGTCGATAAAGAAAACCCCAGTAGATTCCAGTACCCGGAAGAAATCGCCGACGAATTGAGGACAGTGTTGAAAGGCCTCATGTATGTTTATACCGAGCCGCCGTCGCTCGTTCCACGCATTCAATGGGCCCCCGCCGGCAATGTCAGCTCTTCAGAGAAGTGGCCAAAGTTCTCTGTTGACAGAGAAAGACACCCAAACATCCTCTCTCCGATCAAGCATCAATGTGTCAATAAGCATATAAAACCACATGATGAAAGAGAGTACGGATGGTTGGAAGCTTTTGTGAAAGCGATTAGATGGATAGAATCGAATATCGGAGTGGCCAAGGGAGATTTCTAGATCTTCATATATTCAAAACCTGCATCTCACCGTTAACGTTTCAGTTATCTTGGGTGTCTTGAAATAGACAGAGGCGATAATTCCTACTGAGATGGTATTGTTAGTATATTGAGGTCCTACTAAAGGGAGAGTTCACGAAAACATTGAAGACAAGCGAGGGAATCATTTATCCCTCTATTGATAACTCACGACCCTTTTGAAATTTTGAATCTAGGTTTGACAATTGAATCTTGGCGAGTAGATACTAGGCCTAGAGTAGGCATAGACACCGACATTGAATGGGAGTAGATTTGCCGCGTCCGGATTGTGTGAATAGCTTTGTTCGACCAGTACATTCGGACCATTCCCTCGTCTAGCCATTGGGCTGCGACTCAAATTTGACGTTTGACTTGTTCCCAGGAGCGCATTCTGACGGTTGAAAGGTATCAGGCGGTTGCATCTTTCGATCTCGACGCAACGTCATCATTAATGACGCTTGTCAATCATATAGGCATGACGAGGTGAAAAGATTCTGTAGAAAGGTGCGGCTAGAGATAGATGAAATCTGGTCTAGTCGAAAGATCTTTCGAATTATCTATGTCGATCCTGATAAAGACATCTTTAGCTTCAACAGGTGAAAGGAGTACAATTGCTGTTTCAATCCTCGCAATGGCTATTTGACCTAAACTCAACTGGGTCTGTATCTCGCAGGACTAAGTCACCTCTCAGCGCTATTGCGTGAAGTGAGAACTATCAAGATGGTAGATTTCTAATTAGATGACCTTGGAGGCTTGGTGGCTGAACCACAGTCTCTGACGCCAGAGACTGAGAAGCGGCGTTGAGTTCAAATTCATGCCGAAACCAAAGAAGCTGATTCTCGTACCTGCCGCACAAGATTCACCTTGCGATAGCTTGAAGGAGGAATCTTTTCGAACCAAGGGAATCGAGAGTCATTTCCAGCGGGAAAAGAAGAAGAATCCTGCTTTTCTAATACCCATAATAGAATTCGAGTCATCGGCAGAAATTCCTTGATTCGAACCCGAGGGTAATGCGATCTATCTAGGGATTTTGGACAAGAATTCAGGGTGGAAATGAAAGACTACATAACGTCAAATAGTCCGAAAACCAAGTCGATGATAAAGGCATTTCAAAGATTCAAAGATTTTGGATGATTCAAATTATTTGGAAGACATAAATCATTAAGTCCAGATAATTCCAGATGAATTGCCATAAGTCACACCTCCACTGTAGATGATTTCATATCTCAAACCCAAAACTCAAAACTCAAAACTACAAAAACACACGTTTGTCCAGCCAAGTCCAGAAGATGCTTTTTGGTCGAAACCAAAGTGTGGAATAATGTAAAACAGCACAATGAAATCCCACACCTACACTACTTCCAAAACATCATTCCCACAATCTTCCATCATCCCAAGCTATTTCAATACCTGCACCTCCGAATCCATCCTCTTGATCATATAACACAGCCCATAAACCACACGAACGCCATCAAACCATCAACTCCTAAACATACATACACACGCACCACTCCATCACCGTCAAAATGCAACACCTCAACTACATATCCATCCATGAACGTGAAACCCTCCCCACAAGCCGCAAATCTCCTAGCCCTCCCCGAAAATCACCAACAAGTTCTCGCGAGAATGGGGTAAACATAGCCGAACTCTTTTCTCTTCCTCCACATCCTCAATTTTCAGAGAAAGGCGCAGAGGAGCTCTTGCTTTCGCAAAATATGGTAGAGATAGTGGATATGGGCTGGAAAGAATGGGTTGCATATCCCTTTGCTATTTCTACGAGACGGGAGGTACCTGGTGTTGATGTTGATGCTCATAGGAGAACACGGTTACTGTATGAGTTTATGGCGACCATGTGCGAGATCTGGATTGGTGCGGGAATATCGATGAAGGGATTTGCGTTGCGGGGTCTGATGGGCTTTAGAGGGTGGAGAGGTGCTATGGAGAGGTGGCTTAGAGTAATGCGTCGAAGTATGTGTAGAGTGCAGAAAAAGACGGAATAATTTTCTTAAAGCTTCGGTATTGTACATAGAAGGGTGTCTTAATCGAAGTTTTTTTATGGTTGTTGAATATAGGTATGCAAGTGTTTGTGTTGAACGTTATTTGGGTGGAAATATTAGACATTTAGCTCTATATATAAACCGTCGTGCTTCAAGTGACTTACAAAAAGCACTGAATTCTCCAAATTCATTGTATCTTAACCAGACATTATCTGCATTGAATGCTGACAGCAACATCCAAGATACGCCGTGTACGCCACTCCCAACCGCAACGCCGATAATCAATATAAAAGAGGTAAATAATACAATATCAAGAAAGCAACTCGCAATAAAGAAAATGTGCCATATCAACAAATCGACGCCATAGAATCTCCAGACGGAACTCTCACGCTATGGATCTCTATATCGGTCGTCCGCTGTATATATTTATCTCCATGAATATTTTGCGGATACACATGATCAGAAGAGCTACCCGTATCCCCAGAACTGTGCTTCATATACGACATTCGATTTTTTCTTCGAGCGCGAAATGAGCTGAGTTGACTGTTGTGACAGTTGCCATGGCCACTACCATATGCGGTGGGAGTTTTGCCGCTGACCCATCGGTCCCAGTATGGTTTGAGTGGTGGGATACTGCCGCAAACGATGATGACAAAGAGTTCCGAGCCGCTCCATACGAGCAGATCGTAAGTTTTCCCTGCACCTTGTTAGTATTCTGTTGTACTGTTGCCGAGATTACATTGGGTGAGCTTACAGGTGAGATCAGAATGGGCGTTGAGTGAGCCCAAGAATGTTGTTTTGACAATACAGCAAATCGCAGCGCTGATATTGTTAGTGCTTATGCTGCGTATATGAGAAGGAAGGGAATTTACATAAGTCCAAGACCTAGAAGGATGGTCAAATTAATACGCTTCTTCATCTCCATGTTTAGATTCATGATCACACTGGCAGGTACAAGCGCGAGCACAATATCCGCAAGACAGTTCTCAGCTAATATATATTGTCAGTGAAATTCTTTTGATTAATGGAAATATCGAGATACGAACCTGCAGTAAACATAGCAAATCGAGATTGAACGTTGGGATCCCAGCAAGTGTGTGCAATGCTTGGGTCCCATAAGGCTCGAGGTGGACTGCATTGTACGTAGGTGAAGATGCAGTCCAGGCTGTTGATTAGAGCAGTAAGCCCCATAGCTCCATAAACGAGCCATCGACGCCAAGCTGTTGAATCCCCACTCATGATGCGGAGAACTAGAAAGCCAACTGCAGCTTTCCCGGTGATGAAGGCGAACACAATGTTCACTTGAATGATATAATTCATCTTTGCGACTTGCATCACTTGGGCCGGAAGGAGGTAATATAGATGTCGAAAGCCGCCCAGTTTCCATTCATATGTCATGAGAGCGCCGTATGATATGAAAAGACACTACAATAAAATTAGAATAATTTCATTGTGGGTTGGAAAGCGACAATCTTACCAAAGTAACAAGCATGGCCCAGTCATCTTTCCCAAGTCCTTTAATCATGATTCTTGCATAGAATCTTGCCATGACAATCATAAAAGCGAAGGCCACCTGTGTCAGGACGATTATAGAAGCCGTCCTCCCCCTGTCAACATCCCCACCCCCTGGTAATTCTATGCCAGGCATATTGCCGGAACCAGATGTATAGGTTGCTCGATATCCAACAATTGAAGATCAAGCCGCAGATCAAACAATTCTAATCAAAGTCAAACCCGAACAGTCGGAATTCATGCGAGGAGCTGATGGGGTAGATCATCTCTTAAACCAACCTTTTGGGTCGAATCCCCGCGATGATGTTGATGTCCCATCGTAAGCACTGGTATGACCTACAGCTGATCCCACTGATATACTGGCGTCGCATGGCGACAAGGATTCAGGAGAATCATTGGAAGAATTTTCTTACTTTCACATTCAGTAATGAAATCCTTTCTTGTAGCCTAATCTGATACCGCGGGAGCAAGCGAATCGAAAGGGGGGGATTACAACTGTTGTGTTGGCAGAACCGATACACAGCATGCCCTGTCCCATAGCTCCATGCAGATAATGTTCTTTGTGTTGTTCTTGCGGGGGAGAAAAATATACTTACACTCGGGGCTATGGTACGATTGAGTTTGTACTGGAAGATTCCGTACGCCTCAATCCAGCCGCTGTTACATTTCCATATGGGGCTGAACTCACACAGTCAATTTTTATAGCCGGTTATTCGTACATTTACGTGTAGTAAGTGAACTCTTTCCGTATTACCGAAAATCCCAAAGGAGACATCCAGACCGTGACGCCATACCAAGCACGGGGATTGGTTCTGTGTTGGGTATACACAAATCCTTCTAAAGTCGTGTTCTGTGCATGTGCTGGAGCACAAAAATATCTTCCTACCTATTTAGTAAACCATCGTAACGCTGTGAAAATTGTTGCGCTCTGGGTCACACAGCTTGACTTGACTGTCGAACACTTGGTGCAATGATGCAGTATCACTAGCGATCGCACGGGACAGTGAAGGATGATAAGGCGTTGTGCCACATCCATATATACCGTGGGGATTCTGACGCTAATGTAATTTCAAAATAGGATCGTACGTTTCAGCCAATGATGCGCAAGTACTCCCTGTTGCCATGCATCGCTTCTGCCTACCCATGCAGCAGGGTTACCCAATGTGAGCTTCATTGAGTAGGGCTTTGCCCGTTGAGCAACACTTCATAGACGTGAGCTTTCGCTTCGCAATAGCGCATCCGAGTGTTATCACACTTTGCAATATACAACCCCGTCAGAAACCATCCCGATCAACCTTGTGGTTGCTGTATTTAAGGTCAACTTTACACCAAGCTTGTGGTCAATGCTTATCATCACGTCCCGTATTCGTGACGTTTTTCCACCTCGATTTCATGCATGGACTTGAATGGGGATCACCGTGGGAACGATGGTGGTCCAAATTTCTAGTAGAGGATGAAATACCCTGTTTGATGGATGATTAAAAGAGCCAAATAACCAGATTTCTGTCAATTGTATTGGTCGATGTCTTGCGCGCACTGTTGATGTCTTGGATGGCACACGTCAACGGGTGGTGATACACATTGTTGCCGGCAAAGAATGTATGATGGTGAATATTGGCTAAAAGACGCCGGGAACCAGCACAAATATTCGTTGCAAAGAGGGCATGTGGACAAGTACATTAGATGATCGATTTAGGTCGGTGGAGAAAGGTCCCTGGTGCTAGTCTAGCGCTAATCTAGTGCTATTTCAAATCGTCATTATGGGAGTGAAGTCTAGCCACAGTCCCATAATATTTGCAACTACAAATCCTAGGTCTAAATCAGACTCTGCAACCCCTAGAGTTTTCCTCTTAGACAGGAACAGCCACTATTATGCTATCTCCGAGAGAGGCGGTGTATTGGACGATGTTCTTTGCTTTAAGACCTGCCGAGGCCAAAAGGGCATGCCACTCGTCCACAGTCCGCTCAGTCGATGCCAGGACAGTCATCATAACCAAGTCAATTTGTGTTGCATGCCAATGTGCGCCTGTCTCGGGGATAACCATATCATCGATCAAGATAACCGAATCTGGACCCATCGCATCTTTCAGATGCTTTAGAATGATGCGGCACTTCTCATCTGGATAGTCATGGAGAACATTGCGCATGTAGTAGTATTTTGCACCTGGAAGTGTTTGTTAACGCAGCCATATTTTCACTAGTGGAGAGGTAACAAACCTTTGACCGTTTGAGGAGTGAAAAAGTCATGAACTTCGAGCTCCACATCCTTCATTGGAAGTGCATTCTCAATAGCATGATCAAGATCCTGCAAGATTACACGACCAGGGACTTCGGGCTTCTCCATTCTAAGCTCCAAACACTTGTGACCGAAGCCACCACCGACATCAACAAAGACAGGTTTCTTGGGATCCCAGTCCTTGGTTTCTTCCTCAACTGGATACTTGGAGAGCCAGGACGGCATTTCACCACGTTGACCGACCATAAAGTCGCCAAAGTAGTTGATTAATCTAGATTGTTGTTGGACCCAGTAGAAGTAAGGGACATTGGTATTGAATGCGATTTGAGCCGGTGCGCAAGTGTTATCGGTAATGTTCTGATATTTTCTCTCAGCCAGATAGTCGGGCGTAGCTTGTAATGTGGGGCCAAGCGAATGAAAGCTGTGAATATTGGGGTCAATAATTGACAAGGACATTCACGACGGTGTAAATGGATTTACTGACTAGTGGCCAATACCGCCTTTGGAGCCCCTCTGAGCTAAAGCCTCAGTGACCTTGTTGGCCTCGAAAGTATTTTTGCCAGTCTCTCGAATCATTCGTACCGAAGCAAGATATCGGAGTAAGCGGACTGATGCTTTCGTGAGAAGGAGTAAAACTTGAAGCTGAGGGGTGAACTCACCTAAGAATGCCGGATCTGACTCGGTCTCTCTTGATAGCTGTTCAACGGTCATGGGTTCCTTCTTGGCGACCATGATCTCAAAGAGCTTCATGTCACAGCCAATCTGAGCGCCCGTTAATTGAAATTGCTATAAAAGTCTTGATCAGCAGCGGTTACGTTCAGTCTTGTGATGCAAATCAAAATGATCCATACCAGATACATGATGCGCTGCATGGAGTCCCATGGGGTTTCCAATTCAATTGAAAGATCTCTTAGATCATCGATCATCTTCTTTCGTTCATTCTCGTCGGCGTTCGCAGCAGCGGCCTTCACGTGAGCAATCAGGTCGTCCATTTTGCTACAGATGTTGTTGTTCTAGGTTGTTGTATCAAGTAAATGGTTGGTTTTGGGGAAGAATACTATGAGGTTGATTTCCTAGACCAGGGGTTATTTTGTGGAAGAGTTCTAAGAGTATGCGATAATAAATATATAAGCACAAGCTGACAGCTCCTTCCTCAACATGTAAGTGAATGTACTTGCGATACAAAGCATAATTGATCCTCACATGATAAGTAATCAGTGAATGTTTGACCGCAAGGGAAGTTGCACAGGGCTTCCTGCGATATAATCAAATTAGGTAGAGGGGGCGGGGCTGTTCAATTGGATCATTCAAATTAGGGCACTTGCTATTAATTGGCTGAACTTTGTACCATACTACCATATAGACTCTAGAGAGACGTTGAATTACCTACCCTTCGCCTGATAAAAAGCTCTTTGTGATTTTTCATTATGAGACTTCAAGTTTTGATGCTCAATGAGTGGTTCAATATGCAAAGCTACAATGAAATTGGCTGCATGGAAGACATATTGAGCCCAGGGCCAGAAGAAGTACAACTGAGTACCTGGTAGGTATATAAAGGTAGAGTGGATTCAACTTATTCTAACAACGCAGACACAATTTCGTGAAACCATTCAAAGCATGTGGCGTCACACAACTCCTTTATGGATACTGTTGTGATCTTATTGTGATCTAATTGGTATTCGTAAAAGTAGCAAATGGATTGAGCTGAATGAGTAATTACTAGTAAGCTGCAGGAGACCATGGAACCACGCGTTACACACATTTGCCGCCTTATGGGACACGAGAAATGTATTTGTGGCTTTTCGATATTACTACTATACTTTACTTCTCTCTGGAAGAGGATCCTTCATCGATATTCCGTCCAGAACTTGTTTTCGTGCTCCTGATTGAGCTTGACACCGAGTCGGTAACCAAAACAATCGATTTTCCCTTGGATCCAGTAAGTCTAAAGGATCAAAAATGAAATGATGCAGTAATCTGTGATTGACACAGATGAAGGTGATTTTGAAGACCATGTGGAAGTTGTATAGAAAGGATGCGAATTTGCCTCGAAAGGAGCGTTTGTACTCGTACTGCAGCAAGAAAGGTTGACTCTGACGGCTAGGTGATGACCCGAGAAACAAGAACGCGAATGCCCAGCTGTGTAACTGCGAGTGATGGGATGAGGAATCGAATTTCGACGGTGATACAGTCGTATATTCTTATCCAACCTTGATGTTTTCTAGGCGGTTATCATCCTATGGCCGAGGAGACAAGGGGTATGTCCAAATATAGAAATCAAAAGATTTTTCTTTTGAACGCAATCTGTGAACAAATAGAAATATTTTGCGATGAAAAATTTTATGCTAATACCTTTGTTCGGCCAGACCAGTCCCGATCTTGTATCTTACAGCCGATTCAGAGAGTCTTTTTCATGATGATGGCCACTTTGTTCGACCTATGGAGAATTCTGATCTTAGATCATAACCAAGTCCTGAAAAATAACGGCAATTCTCATGGCCCGCTTTGGTTTCTGTTAGGCCAGCCATTTTTCGATGAACGGGTATCTCAACTCGTAAAGCTCTCCAACCCGGATAACGCCATAGTGTCTCGCCTTACGGTATCCGGCTTGAGTATGGCAGGTCTCACAGTAGTAGAACCACTGTCCAATTCTCAATGCCATTTTGCCGCTTTGTATTACCCCTTTTTCACATCGCCCATCCATTTCCCCATTGCTTTAGATCCCTCGTGTGCCGCCTTGAACAATTCCCGTTCCGCCTCATCCAAGCCCCTCAAGAACTCCACACCTTCTCCCCCACCTCTGCCATTACTCTGCCCTACACTGCCACTTCCCGCATGATCGCTAATCTCTCCAGCTCTTGTCCTCCAACTCTCCATCAAAACATCGCATAATTCTTCCTCTTCGAATAACTCCAAAACTCTGGCTCCCAATCCGTAGAGGTTTTGCGCCAAATTGCGTATATCGACACTCTTTGGGTCGGCTTTTAATGCATTCAAAACGCGCGGTGCGAGACAAGCAGGCAGATCAAGGGTTACGAGGGACTTCTGAGAAGAGGAAGAGGAGACGGCGAGGAGTTCGGCAAGCCAGAGAGGAAGATCAACACGCGTATGTTTCTTCAAAGGAGCGGTAGCATTGTTGTCGAGGTAGCCTAGAGCGGGAACGTCGAGCTCAAATGTGCATGGGATTTTCTAATATATATTAATACAATGAACTCGAGCAGAAGGAGGGGTAAATACTTGAGCGTCCGTAAGGATCGCGTCGACATCGTAGTAGGACATTATTAAAAGCCACAGATCTGCGGCAATAGCTTAAGCTTCACCTGATCGGCATAATATAACGATTGCTTAAAAGTCAATGGTATTTTGGGAAAGAGAAGGGTACGCGACTCTGATTGCGTTTGAAAAAGGTACCGCGCCGCTGTTTGCTTATTCATCGCTTACATAATAATAAAAATGACATAATGCGACAGGAGCTCCACAATTACTTCCGGAGCTTCCCCTCTGTCAAAAACGTCGAATTGATATCTGAAAGCCATCGCAAGAATTAAAGCAATCACAAACTTTTAACGTTAAATTCGCTCAAAATGTCGGCTACACTTCTTCGCACCTCTACTGCAGCCCGCTCTGCTCTCAGAGCCAGCTCTTCCAAACGAGCTGCCTCAATGGCAAGCACAAGCTTTGTCCGCGGAAAGGCTACTCTTCCAGATCTCCCATGTTAGTTCCCTCTAAAGCTATATGCGACAGCCTCAGTATCCCAGTACTTATACTAATGGCGTTTACAGACGACTATGGCGCACTCGAACCGTCGATCTCCGGTAAAATCATGGAGCTTCATCACAAGAATCACCACCAAACCTATGTTAACGGCTTCAACACTGCGAGCGAGCAAATTGCGGCCGCTGAATCCAAGGGAGATATTGCTGCCACTATTGCATTACAACCGTTGATCAATTTCCATGGAGGTGGACATTTGAACCACAGTTTGTTCTGGGAGAATTTGGCACCAAGTAAGAATGGTGGTGGTGGGGAACCTGCAGGCGCTTTAAAGGTATGAATATTCTCATTCGCTGGACTATATTTAGGGCCTCTGAACTTAATAAGCAACAGCTAGCTAAAACTTCTACAGAGTGCAATTGAAACCAGCTACGGAAACTTCTCATCTTTCAAGACCAAGTTCAACACGGCGTTGGCAGGTATTCAAGGTAGTGGATGGGCATGGTTAGTCAAGGATAACGAGACTGGTCAAGTCCAGATCAGAACATATGCAAACCAGGATCCAGTAGTGGGCAAGTACACTCCATTGTTGGGTGTTGATGCTTGGGAACACGCGTACTATTTGCAATACCAGAATAGAAAGGCGGAATATTTTGGTGCTATTTGGGACGTTATTAACTGGAAGACTGTGGAGAAGAGATTGAAGTAAAGCAGAGATGGAAGAAGCCAATAAGTAGATACCTAAGTTGTCGTTAAGCGGAAAATGAATGTATGATCAATTCAAGCGCCATGCATTGGGGCGTTTCTTGTTAGCTTCGTGTACTCGAGTATTTATAATGAGATATTATTACACACACATAGGTTTTCCCAAGCATAAGGATATCAAGCAGTAAGATTGAAGATGTTATTGATTTTTCCTCGAGACATTGTTCCTCCATCCTAGTCAAGCCGCTCTACTTGTCCCCCACACTTCCCGCTCACACTTCCTGCTCACACTTCCTGCTCCTCCACCTACGGTTTCAAACCGGCAAAGAATCAAGATACCCTTCTCCTTGAACAACACACAAGACAAACCTCCTGCGAACCCAAAATACCAAGCACATCCTCCTCCAATACGCGCCACGTAATCTCTTTGCCTAACATACATATACTGCACTCCCCAGACTCCCTAACATTGCACACATCACATCTATACCCAAAAAGCCCGCCCCCAAAAAAAACAAGTAAAATGAAAAACGGCAAAATGATGGCCGAAGCCACCATCCCAACTTCTCATGCGCATGAGGTTGTGGCCAATATCCTGTTTAGCGCATTCAAGTATTCACTTGATGATCGTGGATCATCGCATTACTAACTCCGCTAAACGAACACATATTGGTTAAGTGTGAGGTTGTTGTTGTGAAATATATCGGTAGTGGTAGCGAGGATAGGTGAATATGGAGAGGAGATGGTGAACCGAAATACAATACAACATATTTTTGTAGCGATATCGCCTTCCTTCGCTTCGGCCTTGTATGGGATCGTCATTTCTGGCGCGGAAGGTTCACTCTGGGATTTGTATCGGGAGTTGATTTGAACTCAGTAATCATATCGTTCGTGAACGTTTTGCTAGTTTTGTTCTTCGGGTCTTTTTGTTTGACCCACGTGGATGCGGTTGGGATTGGGGTTGATGACAGGCTGAATCTTTTCGGTCTGCTTGCTTTTTCAAACGGTGAGCAGCAATTTTCGATCGCGACCACCATCCATGGTATGAATCCGACATTTCCTCTGCCGATAGGGATATTTTCACTAATTCTCGCGCGAAGATGAAAAATCTCTCCTGTCCTAAATAGCAATGTGGGTATTGGAATCTCCAAACACGAGTAGTACTCGAGAAGCTGCATGCTACACACACTTTAAAAGATTTCCCGTTGATAAATAAGTCAAAGATCAAAGTTATATTCTGGAGGTATTGTCGCGTGCGTAGTTCCAATTTCGAGGAAAGAGTTGTCGCAGGTATCTCTAGAGAGGAGATATCTACAACCTTCTTCAATATATTATTCGTGGCTGACACAGCAAGGTCCTCCTACTTCTTCTGGCGACTTCTCCCACGTCCTCTGGAGTTCTATACATGATTCCGTCAGTCCAAGTCCCCAACGAATTCAAGAAACATCAGGAAAAAGGAGGAACTTACATCATGCGGTTTAGAGTCATGTGAGTGGCTGGTCACATGTGCTTCTGCCATATATCGATTTTCTTCATATAGCATATTCAATGGTGTTCCATCGAAAGTCAGATCAGAGTCGTCAATATTATATGGCAATCTCCATGCTTCAGCCTGAAGATCGAATTCAGTGTTCGCGTTACTGGTTGTTGTGACATTTGTGATCAAGAAGTACTGTTTGCCGTCGGCAAAGGTATTGCTTGTATGGCTTCTCGACATGACGAAAATTTTGAGATATAAAAGTAAGTTTTTGTTCTTGGTCTTGGTTTGCGTTGGGTGAGTATGAGAGCAAATATAAATATGAGTTAGAGACAAGGCTGAGGTTATTTATATATAGTTAGGGATGAGTTGGCAGTGTTGTTGAGTTGTTGATTTTGAATGTACAACATTAGACTTCAACAACAAGCTGGAACGCGGTGATACCCAACTTTATATCTTACAGAGAAGTTTATATATCCGATAATACCTCTCACATCGGGCAGTTCACCGGACCAAGACTCACCGGATTGAGAAGTCCAGATGATAATCTTTAAGGTTGCATGTGCTTTGTGTCTGACCGAATATCTGATATTCTAGGTAATTCTCCGGCCCAGCTTGAATGTGTCAGTGCGGGTGTGACCTGACATGGGAATAATCAAGGAGAGGCATTTACTTCTTTACTTCAAGTACTCGAGTAAACCTGGTGGAATATCACATTCCTGACTCGTCACGAACGGGCCCAGGGTTTTGGTAGAGGCTTAGAGCGGATGCTAGATAGGTCTTGTACGATGCGACGGAAATGTTGACACCGAAAAAAAAGCCACGACCGAAAGCCAAGCTTAGAGCATGACTCAGCTTGGCAACACCAAACAGTACCGGTACAATTTTTGTTACATTTCTTTCAAAGAAAACACGAAACAAAAGAACATCAAGACACGATTCGACTGAACATAAAAAGACTTTTACCGAAACTTTATCTCTTTATCTTTCAACATGTGATGAAAGGAATTCGAAATATTCTACTCAGACATTATCTCGGATTTACCCCTCCGATCTAAACGACCTGCCTCACAAACGGGAAACAGGGGGGCCCAGCAGAGATAAGTTGATATCGTGACCACGATGATACACAATCAATGACCTCCAGTTACCTTCCTTAATCGCCAAAGCCGCCGACACCATGCACGAATAAAAAGATTCAATAGGCAAATAAATATTCCGATATAGCAACATGCACTCCGCCATTTCATCTATTTCGGTACCAGACATATCAATAAAATCTTCATCTGGTCAAATCAACTTCCTTGCTACCCCTCCATCAGGCTAGAATACCTCACCGCTTATCCCCGCTACAATATATCGATCTCTCTTCTTTCTGGGGAAGTTCAAACTCAGCTGCCAATAATACATAGCCTCAGTCAATATTCGATGGTGGTGATCAGCCTCATTCCAGATGCTATCGGAAATATAATGCTGCAAGTCGCGCGAGATCGGGTCAGCATCACATATTTCACAAACAACCCAAAGTTTGGATCGTGAAACATATATCATTTGAACGGCGACTCATTCTCATCATTGTATGCATGAGTCCTTCACATGTATATGACTGACATTCAATACCAGTGTAGCCTCGCGGTGCCTATGATCATACTTGTTGGTGCTTCATGTTCATTTCCATTTGATAGCGTCAAATACTTCATGGGGAAATTCCCTTCGGTCCGTCTCTTTACCTTCCGGCCAATTTTACGGCAAGAAATCAAGAACAAAGTGTTTGTGCCAGCAAGTAGTGCTCTTTCACATTCACCCTATAAAAATAATTTCAACTATGTTTTCGGTGTTCTTACTTTTGCATTTGCTTTTCTATATGCTTATTATCGCATTATGTATTCCATCTGCATCGTGATTGCGTACTTTATTTGGGTGGCAAAACAATCTTCACGATGGCGAACTTCGCCAGTCTCGGCGGTAAGGTGTTTACATCACATCACAGATGTTAATGATTATTATTCGCCAGTCTCACTTTTTTCCTCAAAGGATTGTCATCTCCGCAGTACTTGAATAAGTAGCTAGATTACTGTGTTTTCCTTCACCGTTCGCGCGATGATGATGATATCGTGAGGAAATCAAGCTCTTGACCTTCGTCTGGCCATGATTCTCTAGTATCATTGCGAAATACAGGTATAGGGCTGAGCTAGATTTCAAGTTTAGTGACAATCGTGTTTGTAGTTCCGCGGAATGACCGGGAACATCAACAGACTTTCCTTGTTTTACCGTTGCTCAATCTGTATCCAATCAAATGCCAAAATTTATGTGCGGGATTTTGACTCCGCATTTCAGGACCAATCACGGCCGCATGATACCCTTATCCATCGCGTTTTGAGCACTCTTGCTTTGAAATCGCAGTACGAAATTGTTACAAAAGTAACTTTTAACGCCACTGTCGTCTTGTACATCCTAATCGTGACACGAAGTTCGAAAGGTTGGTGTTACACTTTCTAGTGATACAAAGTTTATGCTTGGTGTGCTGTACGGACTTATGATAGAGAGTTGTTTTCTGGTTAATGGTCGTACAATAATTCTTGGTGGTACGTTGCGCGAGAAACCTGTTTGTTGTAGGACAAGTCTTCTCCCCTAGGGGAAATGCCACTGACGAATATTATAATTGCCTTTCATCTCAATCAAACGCTTGATATTCTTGCAATTTGTCGCAAGTACTGGCAATTTTTCACCAGTCGTATTTCGAATGGAAACAAATGCATTGTGTGGCGGCATCTTGTCCTGACATTGGATGTTTCCAAACCCACAACGCTAGGCCATTCCTTAATCGTCTCACGGAAAGCTACGCGTTATCAATCCATGAATGAATTGATTTTGACACATTCCTCGAATGTATCAGAGTCACCGCTAAAGTGTGAACGACCTGTTCTCCCATCGAATATTTGCTCACACCCTCTGTCGTTCATAGCCGTCAAACTACCATAATATACCAGTGAAGGCTTTATTCTGATGCCCCTCTCTTTTACTGCTTCCAAAACCTCGCACAACCTGTCGGAATTTCCCTTACAAGTAGTATTCAATGTTTCTGCTCAAAGACTCCAGATCAACATCGTACCCTGGCGTTTTCAAAATTCTGTTTCACAAGAGGAGATCCATTCACCCAAAGTTGGCCCCACTCGAGTCTTCTATTCACCCCGAACCTCTTGGTTTTATTTCCCGTCACGGTTCCTCTCGCCTCATCTATCACCTCAATCACCTCAATTCTTCCCTAATTTCACGCTTCCACTTCTTCTCATTACTACACCACCGATAGACAATCTTTGCAATGCCGGATGAAAATTCCGAATTTCATTGAGTTCATCACGAAGACCACAGTAGATGCTTGCTATGATGCACATCTCGTTTTGTTAGATGTGAGTGATGCTGGTTATTGAGAACTTACTTACTTTCTCGTCATGATTGTGCTAACGTTGTCAGAAATGCGCGATATTCTCTATAGTACGATGCATACGATACCATGGTAGGTATTTGCAAGATAGTGTATTGGAGTTATTTCATATGTTGAATTTGTTCATTCATCGTACTAGAGTATTGCTCTATTCAGTAATTTTCTAAAGGTATGTTTGCAGAGTTCGAAACTACCCAATTCGGAGAGTCTCGGTACCTTTGTGTATATTATGTTACAATGAGTATGACTGCATCGATGTATAGTTCGAGTCAAGTACCCTCGTAGCCAACACTGGAGTCCCAATATTCCTTCTTTTAACTGGACATTGTATACTGTGGGAAAATAGTAATATAGTGAGAAAATAATTTTGGTGGGTTGTGCGGTCGATAGTGCGATCCAGCTTTCTCCATTTACTATGAAGATTTGGCCAGAATCAAATCTTCGAAAGCGGATCATGGAGAATGTCATTACGCGCATTTATTATACCCAGTCTAGTGACTAAACTGGAATTTTAGGTCAGATTCCTTCAATAGTCTGAGTAATTGCTCAGACCATGATATTGTCAATAATGAGATTCGCTATCCATATCTCCATGATGTCGAAGTAAAACTCGGCGAATTCAGGGGCTAGTTACGGTGAAATGGTGAGCTAATATCAAGCAAGCGATTAAGCGATTAAGCGAGTGAAAGCATTGAGGTGTATTTACCTTAACCCAAACCCATATCCATCACCACTTTACCATATCGCTACCTAATATATTACTTTTCAGTTTCTCCAGATAGCGCGTCAATTGAAGATATCATTCACTAGTCAACATGCTCGAACCACTGTTTGAGAACTCTCGCTTTCTTTTCCGTGCTCAAGGCAGGGAGTGCTTCTGCCTTATAAATATCATTTCTTTTTACACATTAACTCGGGTCCTTCTCCAGTTCGTGAGTACATTCGTTGTGTAGTGATTAGTCTCTAAATCCTCTACAAATGTCAGAATCATGATTTGAAAAGTCGGACGTAAATAAAAGCGTTATTGTTAAACTCACGACGATTGTTGCACAATGAGATAGTATGAACTTGTGAGAATACAATTTACACTAGCGATACGGAGACTTTTTGATGGACTCAATTGGTGAGAGGTTAGCATTAGTTGCTACTTGTACGCTTGATCTTGGTGGATATATCATGTAGCGTTGTTGTCGTATGGTAAGAAGGTGCGTTCGGGCGATTATGGTCAAGTGCTGCGTATTTGAGGTCTTCTGTGTGCTTTGTACTCGAGTATTTGTGGTAATCACGTTTCTAGGTTTTTTATACTCAGTGATAGAACTCAGAGAAAGAACAATGAGCTTTCACGATAAAAAGTAGCTATTCGAGAATCGAGTGATTCTTTAGCTACCGCGACTTGATATATAGATGAAGTTTAATACTGATGGTTTTCCAGGACGAATATCCGTACATGTAGAAGATAGACCGTAAAGAGCGGCAGAAGAAGTGACCCGAAATAATTCATGTCATGATGATGACTCTAAAGAATTGAATATCATTGTATTTTATGGTGGATCACTGGAATCTGCATCGCCTTTTGAGTGAAATATTTTCTGAGTTATTATTCTCAGGTTTCCGCATTCATAGAGAATGAATTTCTTTCGATCAACATTATCCCTGGTAGATTCATAGACGCAAATCCTTGTATTTTATCATCGTCGACTACTCAACTCAATTTATGTACTCGTACCGTGGGTTAAGAATCAAACGAAAAGAAAATCATCTAGTTTTGGTAGTAAAACCTTTCCTTTCTTGAAATCTCGCATTATTTGTATAAAGCGTCTGATCTCAAAGACTATCCCGAGGTGAACCACACATTTATGGATTACGTAATATATATCCATGTCGTGCAGCAGGCCCCGCATTACATCAGCCAACAGATAATCCTTTCGACCGACTCTCACGACACCGAGAACAAGTCATCCCTTTGAGCAAAAGCTAGGACTAACATGAGCGACTTGAATTCATCACATCTGGCATCCAGGCTGATATCTGCCGGCATGGTCAACGACTGGTCTCATCTGCTTCCCTATCCGGATCGGAGTGCATTTCTAGAGGCATGTACAGAAGCAGAAGCACACGATGGGCGCCTCAAAACTGCATTCGTTCGCTATTTCTCGGCGTGGAAAACAAGTCTGATGGCCGATGATCTAAGTAGACTTCAAATGCTTTCTACATGTGAGCAAATACTAGATTACGTCAGAGTCGTACGTGTCGAGGACGACTCTGACGAATTCGAGGAAACATTACCTTCCGAATCCTCTGTCATCTGGCCACGGTATGAAGACGGACAGGTTGCTGCTGAAGCACTCGGCGTAGGACTCCTCAAGTCTATGCTTGCGGTCAAGCAGCTTCGTCCCGATAGGCTCGAGATCAGGGATAAGCGCACCTCATGCGCGCCTTCGGATACAGAAACCGCAGCACTCCTCGCTCGCAACATCTTGGATGGTGCTGACCTGACAATCAAGGCGTTCAGTGTGCGAAAGGAATCACCCAATACAACCATCACCGTTGCTGAGCTGTCCCCTGAACATCAGGGCCGGGGCACGGGATTTTCTATCTTGCGAAAAGCGGAATTATGCCTCAGCAAGAACCTAAACTCGTATTGGGCTGACCAAATCCTCTACCATGCACCAGCTCTCAAAGAGCTCTCACTCTCGTTCTGGCAGCCTCATAACATGCCTCATACCACTCCATTAACCCTTGGCAACCCTCCCTTACCAAAACTAGAGAAGCTAGAGCTCTCTATAGCCAAGCTCTCCATCCAAAGTATCATGGCAATCCTGAGCAGGTCGGAGCAGAGCCTGACGGGCATATCGTTCCGTTTAACTACGCTTTTCAATAATTCAACTTGGCCGGAACTGCTGAACCGCATTGGGAACGAGTTCTCTCACTTGGCTTGGTTCAAACTTACACACCTCTCAGAAGGGCCTACTAGACAATCCCAGGTCACCTTCCATGGTTTTGAAAAGGATTCGGTTGTTGGAGAACCTTACAGGAACGGACTTAAACTACTGCAGAAAGGCCCTGCGGGTAATAAACGCATTCCTGGGGTCGAGTATAGAGGATCTGATGCGAATCATGTGCTTAGGATTGTTACTGGACGCGCGGTGACTGCATCAGTCACCAATGAATAGAATCACTCTATAATTAGCATGCGTATCGCCATAGATAGAAACAAGCAACTCGCGATTATAACACTGTGGATGCATTGTCTTCAATTGTGTGTTTCAGCTGTGATTAAATCCTCTCCATATTTAGGAATACGTAAGGTCCAGGATTTGGAAAAGACTGGGCCGCATGGGACCAGACTTGCGACATTGGCAGCTCCGACTCAAGCGAATCTTGGGGACTTGAGGCACGACAATAAACCAAGTGAGCATGACGACATGTCTAAAGTTCACTGTCACATAGAACATGATGAAAGGAGATTTTAATGGTGCTGGTTTTCGCACCGGTTGATCGTACGATTCTTAAATACAGGCTGGTTAGTCAAACTTACTAAAGTGTACTTCGACAAATAAAGACGACAAAAATGACCGGTTGGTGAGGATATATATAGTTGTTGTCAACGCCCCTTATCAAAATAAAAATAACCAACCTACGGTACACGCTTTAGCCATCATTCTTCTCGGTCATTGCAATTGCCTGCAGGTATGATGTTAAAGCGGACCATCTCTCGCTGGCACCTCTTTTTCAAGTCCCGTAGCTCCAAGCTTGCGGAAATATGCAGGCACTGCAGACTAGGCATCTGGAACGATTGTCACACCAACTTGGACTAATGGAAGCACGATAATCTCTTCCATTTTCTCGTCTGCTGGTTCATCAACTAGTCAATATTCAAGTACACCTTCAAGTTCAAGTCCGCCGTCTACTTCGGGACCTACAATGAGTAAGACAGGTGAAAGTATTAAAGGTGGATGGATAAACACAGCTGAACACACCTGGATTTTCAATATTGAACGATTAGAATTCTTCAATTGTTTCAATTCAGTTGTGCCAGTCTTTAATGCCCGAAGCTTCTCCGTCGAACGCATTCTCTCGGCTGTCGACTCCTTACTCTCAGCTGTGATCTGTTGTAGTTCTGCATCTGTGAGGTCGTAGACAATCTGGGGAGTAAAGAGACGAGGGAGCTTCTGAATCAGACATCTAAGATCTTTCAATGGTAACATCATCTATAACTTTTTTCAGGGCGACCTGACTCTAATTAGTTGTGTTGCAAAGAAAGACAAAAATCTCACTGACCTTATAATAATATCCTTCCATTATATCAGTAACCATAGAGGAAGAAAACATATCCATCTCAGGCTCAGTAGAGCAGACCATAATATCTAATAAAGATTTCATATTGAATTTGCAAGTACAAAAGCTATCAATAATCAAACAGCTCATCCACTTGGAAGAAGACTTCCAATTGCTCCTCCAGATCTTGACGTATTCGGGGTGGCCTGCCCCTTCTGTACATTCTCGGTTAAGTAATGGTTATAGGTGAATGGCACTGATGGGATGTCCTGACAAATGTGGCTCCAAGATTTCCTTTACTTTGATGGCCAAGCTCTCCTTTAGATCCTCCATCGAAGGGCTGATTTCGAAAAGTATATGACTAGATTACTCTCAATTTACTTCAATTCTTCCCTGGAGGATGAAACAAATATCTCGGTTCCTATTCTCTTCTCTTTCCTTCTTCTTCACTGAGACTACCTCACTTGCACATGTGACCAAGATCACCTCCAAAATCCATCTTCATCTTAATGCATACATTGTGAATTATAGCAAGATGATATGCTATTCGTATAAGTATTTGGGCGATGTTGGTTGATGCGAGGTAGTTGTGATGTGTAGTATATTGGTTGAAAGGTGGAGGATGGCTTGGTGTGAATGATTTCAAAGGAAGAAGGAAAGTAAAGCGGAATGTTGAGAGCTTTTGTGCATGTACTCGAGTACTTCAACGAGATTGACTGGAATTGCGCAAATGAACTTTTGAGTCATCCTAGACCCATTGGAAACAAATCGAATGGAAAACTCAATAACATTCACTTGGCAATATACTCACGCTGATAAGTCATAGCTTCTGATGTACCTTAACATCGGAGGGTGTGCGTAAATCAAACCACCGACTTCGGTGTTTTGATGAATCGATTTTGTTCAACCTCAGCATGGGAAATGTATCAAGTCGCCCGCTCATGCTAACCTATGCTCCAGTTCCATGATCTCGACAACATTGCCCGAGGTAGAACTCGATTTCTGCAACCCTTTCTTTTCTGCAACCCTTTCTTTTCTGCAACTTTCCCAAGTCTCAAGTCTTCCTCTGCATACACATATGGTCTCTGGAGTTGAGTAGCTATCTTATTCCTGTGAATAAACAATCCAGGATTAGTCTCAAAGAAGCGATCGATGTCCTCCAAACTTCTATTCGCTCTCTCTGGGTAGAAAAAGTAAGTTATCGGAATCAAACTCGCGCAAATAGCTGCCCAGATAATCAAAATTTCCATCCGAGATTTGCGATTCCGGATGGCGTCACTTCGGCAACCATGTAATTCATTATCCAATTAGTAGCCGTGGCTAGAGATGCACCCTTTGTACGCATCTCAAGCGCATTGATCTCGGTAGGATAGAACCATGGGACTCCGAGGACCCCATGCCAAAAGACGCGAAGAATACAAAGAAGAATGAGACGTAAAAAGACCAGAGCAAGAACTCTGCGTAACTGTCATAGATTTACTGCTACAGCACCATATTGATAACCACGAGCGGGATCGGATTCTGACAGAGCAAGTACGATTGTGATGATTATCCAGCAAGTGGAGCAGGCGAATGCAGAAATAATCATTACGCGTCGACGGCCGTATCGCTCGATCACAGAGTAGGCCAGAAAGGCGAAAATGAGGTAGTCAACAGATCCTGCCGCTGCAAGGATTCGTGCTCTAATGTTGCGCTAATCAGCCAATCAATAATTTCAGGTCTGAAGAGTCCTTACCTCAGTTCAGAGATTACAAGAACATGGATGAAGACATATGTCATGTCATAACTGGTGACATTTATTCCACTGAGTTTATTCATAGCTTGCATCCAAGCTCCCAGAATCATTCGTCTTAGGACCCCAGATGGACCTTTTCCAGAGAGCAATTTGAACCAAGAAAATGTGTTCATGTGTTCTCGGTCCAAGGCGTCTTTGATGATGATGTTAAATTGTTGCTTCACGGATGGAGAATCAACTGTCGCACCATAGCCTTCAAGAGCCGCGAGAACTTCACACGCCTGTTCATGTCGCCCTTTCCTAATTAGTAGACGCGGTGAATCTGGTAAAAATGGGCATAGAACCCAGATAATAGCAGTGAGAACTGTGTTGAATGATTAGTGTCTTGCTCGCATTCACGGATTCGAAATCTTACATATTTGAAAGGCTAGAGGGAATCTCTAAGCCACACTATCCCTTGTGAATAAGAAACTAAGTGTAAGCCAGTTAAATATCGAGAAACCGGTAATGCAATTAGCCATCTGGATAATGACAAGCTTTCCTCGACTTCTCATCTTGCTAGTCTCGGCTTGTCAGACACCTGCAGTTGCTGTATTCATACCCGTTCCCATTCCAGCAACGACTCTTCCTACCATCATTTGCGGAACGCCATAGCTCCTGGCCTGAATGAGTGCGTCCAGAGCAATAACGGTACTGCCTACGAGTATCACCCTAGGTCGACCAAGGAAATCGCCAGACCAGATAGTAGAGAGAGCGCCGAAGAAACAGCCCAAATTATAGACCGAGGTTAAGGTTTCTTGAACACTTGTTGATGGATAACCCATAGTTCGGAGAAAGTCATCACCAACTAGGACATTCCCAAAGACTCCCTAATACTGTCAGTACATCTAAGATCAGAAACCGGGCTAACAGAATATTCGCTTGGTCATAACCGTAGAAAACCAGAACTGTTGACGCAGTAATGGATATCCATACTGTCAGTGCCTCGCCAGAACCTCCAAGATATTTTCCAGCCATAACGAGAAATCTTGAAGATATACTAAACTTAAATTATGTGTGAAACTCTAAGATTTTGCAGACCCTGATTCCATAAATATGGAGAAGATTCATTTGACTTTGTATACTTGCCGTACTTCCACGCCGGACACATGCCTTTTGTTCCGGATACAACCCTTCATGCAATGCTCCCACACCGGGCCATACGAGGATACAGAGCGACGATCATTACCAGCCCAAATGTTTTGACGACTGAGCAGAGGGATAACCTCATCGTGATGCTGCTTGACAGGTACATCTCAAGCTAGGACAGCGGGACGAGTCAGTATTTCTCAATGCGGGGTCAGCAAAATCGCGGGGTCCTCAGATTTTGATGGATTCTGGCGGGAAACAAGCGGGGTACGTACATTGAACATGCATAAGCGACATTTGAACCCAGGAGGATTCGAGTCGGAAAACCTTCCTTCTCTAATGAAGTCATATGATCGATCTCCTTCGACCTTAAACATTGATTTTTCTTCTTGTCCAACCTCTCTTGTTCCTTGGCGTTGTGCTGTCTGGGGTAAAAGTGGGGAGTCGCGCTGTAAATAACACATGGTGGGGGTGATTTCAATGCACTCATTCTCTACTTCAACCCAGTCTTTGATATCTTCATTTCTGAGTCGACCGAATGCACTAATCTACAAAGAGTTGATCACACCTTCACGGTTAACTCACTCCGTCTGGCCGGCTCCAATGATCGCACCTTGCAGCCGTGAACGCGTATTCTGACCACACGGAGTGGCCCACGTAACAGGATATCGCAATGTGGAGTAGCATCGCAGGTACTCCGAGACTATTACCCCTCTTGTTGATACTATATATATGAGCTTCCAAATGGATTACAAGTACATTCAAAAAGAAACAACAATCATACCTGACTTCACACCAAAATGGCGATGAACATTGATTCCAAGACCGCAATTGTCACGGGAGGTGGTTCCGGCATCAATTTTTGTTTTGCAGAGCTTCTGCTCAGTAGAGGATGCAATGTGGTCATTGGAGATCTAACTTTACGCCCCGAAGCACAAGAATTGATTTCGAAATATTCCGCATCCTCAAATGGAGCGAGAGCCGTATTTCAGCAAACCGATGTGACGGAATGGGCCCAGTTGGACAAAATGTTCGAGGTGGCAACTGAACAGTTTGGTGGTGCAGATATTGTGTGCCCGGGTGCTGGCATCTTCGAGCCGGTATGGTTCCATGTTTTTAGTTCCGAGGTTTCTGCTAATAAGTAATAAAGCCATTTTCGAATTTCTGGTTCCCTCCCAATAGCCCTCCCTCAGTCGACAAAACATCCGAATCGAGATATAAACTTCTTGATATCAACATTACGCATCCGATACGGGCAACGCAAATGGCTATTGAGCACTTCATGAAGCGAAAGAAGCCTGGGGTCGTCATTCATATATCCAGTGTTGCTGGCCAGTTTCCATTCTTTCAAACGCCGATGTATGTCGCTTCAAAACATGCCATATCAGGGTTCGTTCGTTCATTGGCGCGGTTGGAATTCCCTACTCCAGACATTCCCAAAATACGTGTTAGTGCGGTTGCGCCTGGTATCATCAAGACTCCATTATGGACCGAGAATCCTGAAAAGATGGCATTTCTCCCCGAAGATGACCTGGATAATTCACTTTGGGTAACCCCTGAATTTGTTGCCAAAGCAATGCTAGAACTTATCGAGAGTGAAGAGCACCTTGGAGGAACAATTCTAGAAGTTGGAAAGGTGCTTAGGAAAGTAGAAGTCTGCAATGATCCTGGACCATCAAAAGAATCGACGGCGGTTGGACATGTAGATCGTGAGATTCTGGAAGCTGACGTATGGGCATCTTTGGAGATGCAATACCGGGACTAGAAAATTACAATGGAACTTAGAACATTCAAGAGGAAAATAGTAACATCAATGATTCAATGTTGAATGCAAGCGGTGGACCTAAGATGTCTTATATAATGCAGTCCAGATGTTAAAGGAGTTGGCAACTACTCCAGCTAAAGACGGACAGAACAGCTAATTTGCTCTGAAGCTCTCTAGAAAAAGGCTTCTGGGGCTGTCCATCTTATATGCGATTAAACAGGAATGATATATCACAATTATGACCAGTGGAACATCTTCACAAACTTCACTGATGTTTTGTGATCGAAAGACATCGCATCTTGATAAGAGAGGTCTTGGAAAATTCGAAGAATTCGGTAATCGTTACGATACACTAGTACAGGTGTCAAATTCTTCTTTGAATTCTTTCAACGGATATTCATTTCTCAGACCATCTAAGTCAGCCCCTCACTTCATGCATTTCATATTTAAGTACGCATCGCAAAGTAATGTGGTCATTCATGAAATCTTTGCGGTAAAAACTAACGAAACAAATCGTAACTATCAGTGCCTTGCTTTCTCTCTGCTTCCCTCATAATAAAAACGAACCCCCAGTTTGTGTTTGACTACCTGTATGGTAATCCATTCTTTCGCTATCAGAAATAGTCGCTCTTCTTCTTTTTCCAACTCGAACTAGTGGAGAGAAAAAACTCATCCATCTGAGTATACGTCGAGTGAAAATGCCATCCATCTTTCCATTTCCTATCCTTTAGATGATAGCAGTTGGCAAAAAGTAAAAACAAGTCATGTATGGGCCATCCCACTTGCCCTTAAAATCCCTGATAATTTCCTGTACCTTTTCCCCTATTTTTGGGTTCCATAACCTCCACTGACACCTGGGCTCATACTCATTCTATTACCAATTGCTTTCGCGCGCAAGCTATTCCTCAATGCTTCTCCCGATGCCGGTCTAGTAGTATAAGCATGAGTGCCGACATTCGCATTCATAACACCCAATCCCACGTTCTGTCTATCACCAGCACTCATCATCCCACCCTTTCTTCCCCTTCTCTTCTTCCACTGCAAACTCTCCTTCGTCATCTCCTCCATAATCTTCTCAACCTCACTCGTCCTTCTACTCAAACCCGCATCCGAATCACCAACCATCCCCCTAAACTCCTCGGGAACATCCTGCCATCTCACCACCACTCTGCATCTTCCCCGTCCCATACTACGTCGTATCTTTGCCCATTTAATCCGATCGGCACTCATTCCCCTATAAAATACACTCCACCAAACTCCTTCATTGGGAGAAAGTTCCTCGCTAATATCAATGCCCTGATCATCCACCATTATCTCCCCAAATGTAGCCAGTTTCTCGCCGCGAAGTCCCGATTCATATGCATATTTGCAGGCGATAGAGTGTAATAGTTCGGGATTTTGGGTTACTTGAGAGGGGAATTGGCGGTAAGGGTCTTTGGGATCGTAGGGGGGGAGATTGTTGACGGAGAGGAAATCGGCAATTGGTTCTACATTCTCGTTGAAATCCGAATTTGCGTTTGCGTTTGCGACTCCATTCTCGGTGGATAAAGAGGAAGATAAAAAGGTAGCAGCAAATAAACTCCGAGTCGAGAACTCAAAGATAGGAACACCTTGGAAGGAAAAGTCATAATCTTGACGCTTGGCGATTTTTTTAGTGGGGAGACCGTGTTTGTTCTTGATCAGTATGGTTTCGAGGAGAGAAGAGGGGAGTGATGTATCGGGTTGGATGGGGTAGGTGGTAATGTTTGCGAGGGGTACGGCGAGACAGAGCCAGGAAGTGGGAGTGGGGTGGGGGAAGTTTGGGGGTGTGCTGGTGGATGGACTGGCGGAGGGGGTGCTGAGGGTTACGAGAGGTCGTTGGATGAGGATTGAGAGCCAGGGGTGGAGGGTTCCGTTTGCATCGGGTCTGTTGGAGGAGGATGTTAGTTGATGATTTTTGTTGTTCGGAAGGACTGCGCGAGAGGAAATGGGGAAATTAAAAGTGAAAAACTAGGAATGACAGCAAAAATACTGCCAAAACAGTTTACAACAAACGGAGAAGAGGAGCTGTAAATGACAGCAAAAAGACTCTTGAGCTATCAAGATGGCTTAGGGTAGCTTAGAAACACCAGTGATGAGAAGAAGTTAGAAAACAGCAACTTCGCCATCTCATCTTTTAAGACCCAACATCAAGTCAAGTAACACGACAGCGGTAAAAAGGCGAATAACCACTCCACCACCATCATCCACATCAAAACTTATATACCGCACCAACTCCCCATAACAGACACCCCTAACGGCAACAACAAATAGATATAGAAGAAAAATGAAATCCAAAACAACTTACAAACTCAACTCCACAATCTCCACCCTTTCATTCTTCCCATCCACTCCAAAATGCTCCAACAATTCATTTCGAAATTCTCCTGTCCTCACATCCGGCGTGAAATCATGAAATGAGATACTCCTACACTCTCTCTTCTTGGAGCCTGTAATCAGCGCGCGCGTGAGTAGGTAGTCGCGGAGTCCTTGGCCGGTGATGGGATTAACTGAGGGTGGGAAGGCCGGTGTTATTGTTGGTGTTTTGTAGGCTTCGCTATGTTGCGTGATATTATTGACCATGGGTTGTGTGGTACTTTGTTGGTGTTGAGAAGAAGCATTCGAAGCGGTAGAGGAAGCCGGCAGAGCGTTGAGAGCAGCGTGAATATTGCGTACATGACCTGTCGTATCTGAGCTCTCTCCCGTATCGGCATTGATATTCTTCATATCCATATTCACATTCGCATTCACATTCGAGCCACCTAGTCCCCTCACCTTGCGCCCTAAATCCACCAATTCCCTATTTGGCCCAAGAACCAGATTATCTGCATCGTTTTTTCCAGTTCCCATCAACAAATCAAATTGCAAATCATTCCTCACCCCAATCACAGCCTGGAGTCTTCTGGACGTAGCACGAATAAACGGCATTCGATCTGTAAAATGTTGGCCCAGCGTCTCAGAAACGTCAACTTGATCCTTGTGTGCATGGTTGACGTGGGGAATATTTGGCTGCGGTCCGACTGCATTGTATTGCCGTGTGAGATGATCGAGAATTGATGAGTGGGGTTCTAAACGGATTGGTACGCTTGGGGAAGGTAAGTCTGCGGGGAAGATTTCGGATTCTGAGGCTGCAGATACCTGTGCAGATGCTTGTTGGACTTGAGGCATAATTGGAGAGTACGATGGAGCGCGAGGTAATTCGAGTTCCTCTCGTTGCTGCTGTTGCTGATGATATTGTGCAGATACACGTTCCATTTGTTCAATTTGTGAGGCTTGAGGTGTGACGGCTTGTAAAGTGATTGGAGATTTTGATGGAGCGCGAGGAGATTCGAATCCCTGTCGTTCCTGCTCTTGCTGGTAATATTGCGCAGATACACAATGTTCCATTTCTTCTTGAAACCATTCAGCGTACGTTTGTTCCATTTTATCTTTCTATTCCGGTAGAAGATTGTGTGCTTGGATTAATTGAATCAGCAGAAAAATGATGGTATCGCCGCCGAGGTAATGGTAAAGACTAAGGATCGGTTGTAGTTGCAGGTGTAGTCGGAGATAGAGAAGGGCTTGGTGTAAAACCAAAATCAGATTCACTATCGTCGGTCTCGTCAACCTCGTCACTATCGCCAAACTCGTAAGCCTCGTCAGTCTCGTGAGTCTCATCAGTCGTCGATCTCGTCGAAATCTGAATCACCGTCTTCGTAATCTGAAGGTGGAGCAAACCGAGGAGTAAGGTCGATCAAGGATTTTCTGGGATTGTAGATGTATCCTTCCTCCTTTGCCGTACGACTGAAGTCCCACTTTCCCGGAACTCGTGTTGGAATATGTGCCGGGGCAGATATTGGGGAATCCTTTTCCTCGCTTCCACTCGGTGTATCAGCAGAATCTGAGCCCTCGTCGTCGGCGTCTCTATCCTGCGATGTGAAATGATGTGCGAGATCGACAGGAGAATCGCATCTAATCTTCTTCGCAGGCCTTTCTTCTGCTTCTTCTTCTGCTGGTCGTTTATTTGGAGCGACAGCAGAGACCGGTGAAGGGAATGGAGATGGTGATGGAATTGTGATCGGGGTGTTATTCCCACTAAACGTTTCTGCTCCTGAAATAGGTGGCGAAATGAGGGTCGATGAGGTAGGAGACTTTGATGGGAAGGAGGTGGAAATATTGTGGAGATCAAGGTGATGTCGAATGGGAGGGAAAAGCTCTTGGTTCAAATTCCTTTCTTGATGTTGTTCTTTGACTGTGGATTGAGAAGAGCCTTGTGCATCTGAAGAAACTATGATTGTTAGTGAGGTCTCAGACAAGTAGAAAGTATGATATAAGAGAGGGTAGAGGCCAGTCCATTCAATATTAGCTTCAAGAAGAACAATAGATCCTTGTCCTTCTCACTGCCATGGACAGGAGATTGTAAATAATTTATCACAATCACAACACTGGCACACTCTCATCCTCATTATCACAGACAAGAAGCCTTAGATAACTGATCTCAACACATCATCACTAACACCACTTTCCCACATTGCTTGTAAAAAGAAAAAGGAATCTTTGGAATTAGCACTCACCAGGTTCCTCTTCGCCCACAGGCTCCAATCTCGGACAAGAACAAGGACAAAAAAGAGAATAAGTTGACATTGTTGCTGGTGCTGGTGCTGTTGCTGTTGCTGTTACTGTTGCTGTTACTAATGCTTCTATTGCGATTGCAAAAATATCTCTCTTCAATTTCCGTTGTGTACTGTAAAAACAACAACAAGCAGAAGCAGAAGCAACAACCGGAGCAGCGACAACTCTGTAAATCAAACCTTTCTATTTTATTGTATATCAAAACCGCACAATTAAGGAATCAAGCGACGTGCTTCACAAACCTATCTCTCCTATTGTTTTCTGAAACCTAAAAAAAGCGAAGCGAATAATTAGCGACTTCTTATTGACTCTGCTTATTGTTTCCTGTGAATCCCCGCTTCTTCTACGAGTATGGATCTTTTGCGAGTGAAGTGAATACACCTTAACTATAGTTATCTCCACTAGGGCGTTACTTTGGAAAAGGAAAGATGAAAAGAGGGAATTGTGAGTGGAGGTCTTGATAATTTCGTTGGTTTGCTTGAGGCACGAGAAATTTTTTGATCAAGATGTTGTTAATTGGTGGGACCAAAAGATAATTAGAAGGAGAAAAGCAAGTTGATCGTTAGATGTGTTATGCATAGGGGAAAGAGAACTAACTATATAAGCAGTTGTACTAGCCGAACGCCACACGTGTTTTTATTATGTAATAAGCCCACTCTCCCTCCCTTTTGCCCGGCAAAAATACTTTCCTACATGGACTTAAACATGTAATCATTCTTGTACATAGTACTTAGGATTTTGAAACTTTCACATGTCCTTACTTACTATTATTACTATATATAAAAGTAAACAGATTATTTTTCGCAGGTTTATTTAATCAGGAAGGTGGGTTCAAACCTTGAGACTTTGAAGTTTTTGAGGTTACAATGTCTCCTTTTTCAAAATAAGCGAACTCTTTCAAAAACTCCATTTCTGTCAACTTTAAATAGCTATTACTTCATGACCAAATTAGATAAAAATATTCTATATAATTTTTCAGTGACAATAATTAGTTAAATACTCATGTATCTAGATTTAAAATTTTACATAGCGATTTCAAAGTGTTGACATGGGTTTCAAAACGTGAAGAAATGAAAGTTTTCGATGATTAGTCATAGACTTTGACAAATTTTTACAAGGAAGTTAGTGATATCAGCGCTGTATTTAACAACTGCTGGTACAAGAGCGATCTAGGAGACCTGCATTTTTCTTTTTATATCTGGCGTCTATCACATTATGAGGACTTTCAAAAGCATATCTATCAAATCACAATCATTTACTAGAATTAAACATCGTTGAGTAAGTTAAGTGTATCCGCATTGAGTGTTTTGAGATTAGTATTTTGATTCTAATAATCGAATGTTCCGACTTCGGCGTAAATGTTTTCAAGTCAAAATCATTCGAGTCAATGGGAAGGTAGCAAAATCAATATTAGCCACTTAAAGACTTGTATTCCACAAAATTAGATTTCTGGTTAATGTCTATACGGGGATATTTCGAAAGATAGGCACAAAACAGGCAATACAAATGAGAGGGTTAGATCAGTAGATGGAAACAAATCAACTGCAAACTTGCCTCTTTAGACCTTGAATTTCGATTCGGTTTCCTAGTAACTATAACATCAATATCAACAAAATCATGTCAAGAATTCAAGTTACTCACAAAACATAATCAAAAGACATACTCAAGCAATGTATATAATATCATCATTTACTTTTCAACAATACATCTATTATAACCATGATTACACTCGTATCGAATCCTTTCCTTTTCCTTTTCCTTTTGTATTCCAATTCAAGTTTCTACTCAAAATCCAATTCAAATTTCTCCGGGCCAGCGTGTGGAATATCTTATTCTCCTCCTCTCCCATCCTATCCTAGGCCTAGAATGAAGCTCCTCCTCTTCTATATCCTATTGATTTTGTAAATATGAGGACACATCACTCACCAAAATATATAACATCACGTGACCACAAACATATAATTAGGGTAAAAGAGATGATATCATGAAAATCATGTGAGATGACACCATCCTATTGTATTATACTCGAGTATATATCCAACCATAGCCTCTGAGAAATTTGAAACTCCTTATTCTGCCTAGCCTTTCAAACTCTATCATCCTTCCTATCCTTATCTAATTACAGAATAGAATCGATGGAATATTTCAAATGCTATTTCTCACCAAATCTCATACTCTCTCATACTCCCGCATATCTTTCTTCTCCTCCCCTCTTATACAACTTCTTCTCATTAGACTCAAATATACCAGTCATATTCCCAAGTCATCACATCCAACTTTCCCCCTCAGATCATCCCATCCCAATACCTCACCTCATCTCATCTCTTTATACCCAGTATTCAAATCATATAAAACCCAGCTAACAACTACCCAAACATACATCCCCATATACATCCCCATAAATATTCCCACTCCCATTCTCATTCTCATCCTCATCCTCATCCCCATACCGTCTAAACTCGAATACCGTAACTGAGAACAGGTTCAGCCTTAATTGGCCTAGCTATCGATCAGTCCAGATTTCAAATAGTCAAACAGATTATATATTTGGAAGAATTATTAAGATAAATTATCTAAGGGCTCCATGTTTCTGTCCAAGTGATGAAAAGTACCTACCGGTCGTAGGTTCAATCACTCGAATTTAGATGATATACGATATACCTACTTCCACATGTACCTCCATACCCTCGCCACAATTCACCACCCCATCAAATCTGAATTCTACCCAAAAACACAACCATCCCCTTCTCTCCTTCCCTTCCCTCCATCCCCATTCCCATCCCCATCCCCAACCCCATCTCCATACCTCCTTCCAGTGCTTGCCTTAGTCTTCCCCGTATTCTGTATACGGGCCTATCCTATCATCTATGGCATAATTAATCTTTATTTTTAATATTTCTATTTCCATATAATGATTGCTTCAAGTTTCTGTGTTAAGTGATAATTATGTATAGACATTAGTAAGGTATAGTCATCCTTCATATAGGTATACAATATGCTGTATCAAACCTTCAATATATGTTATTGTTTTACTAATATATACTAATGCAAACACTGTCTCCTTCCTCCACTCCCCCCCTCCTCCTCCTTCTCTTCCGTCATTTCCTCCATTCCCCAATTCCCTTTCTTCCATCTCTTTTTCCCTCCCTCCATCCCTCTGTTCCCTTTGCTTCTTCACCCCCTCTATCACTCCATACCCCTTCCCCTCTTCTCCTCCCCTCCCTTCCCTTCCATCCTTCCCTCCCTTCCCCTTTTTCTCCCCTCCCTTCCCCTTTTTCTCCCCTCCCTTCCCCTCTTTCTCCCTTCCATCCTTCCCTTCCCTCCCGCCCCCTCCCGCCCCCTCCCCCCCAACACCCACTGGCACATATCCAACCCCCAACCAACCCAACCCAACACTATGATTTCTATACCATAATTTCTATACCATAATTTTTGTACTCAAGTACCTGTATATATTTATAACATTCAAATCCTTTAATACCTACCAACCTACCAATTATCTGAGTATCCACACCCTTAAAACTCACCACACCCTTCAACCTCACCACATACTACAGTACACATCCTCACCACATTGAGAAGACTATTCTAGGAATCTGGAATCTAGATAGATAGATAGATAGATACCTACCTACCTAACCCACCTACCTACCTACCTTACTAGTATTAGTATCAGTATTAGTATTATTACCTCCACAACAACAACATTCCACTTCTTTCTCTACTTGCTCATTAATATACAAGTGTACTTGCAAATATCTTTTGCTTGTCAGGGTTTAGAGTTAAGTTTTTTGTTGCTGTATATTTATTCTCATTACTTGCCAATGTTGTCATCAACGACTATCATCACTCACCATCATCACTTGCCTTACACCGTCGCCACAAAAAGACAACCGACATATAATCTTACTATTATGTATCTATTATTGTTGATCTATGATATGATGTGATAGAATAATGATCAACTTATGCCTTTCTATATTTACAGGATGGCCTGTATGACTCATCTAAGAAAAGTGACCCACCCAATGAAGTCCGAAATGACTTCATTCAAATTAAACTCCGCGCTTTCATTCATCGTAATGCGGTCATGTACTGAATTAACGTAAAGGGATTTTCTCCACGTATCATGACCGTTTATGCATATCAAGCCATCAAGGCTGACGAAAGAGAATTTTTGAAATTGTACCAAAACTTTACAGCCAGTACATGAACCCAAACATAACGGCAGCTAACCCTACGCTCATGCCAGTAATTTCTTTACCACCAGACGCGCTACCCTTTGTTGAGGTTGCAGAAGCAGCTGAGCCAGTTGCGCTACCGGTTGAGGTTGTCGATCCAGAAGTTGTTGTTGCGGTACTAGTTGCTTCTTTCTGACCAATAGATGGTAATTTGACATCACCGTCAACTAACCAGCCTCCAGATGTCGATGCAGGACAAGCGGGCGGTGTAACGGTTGGAGAATAAGCAGAGCTTGCAACACCAGTTGGAGTCAAGGTTGACCATTGACTTTGAAGGTTGGCAAAATCTGGAGAAACAGGGGTTGGGGTTCCGGCACGAGAGTAACCACCCGCAACACCTGAAGCAACTACAGTAGCCGATACTGGTGAACCATAATTGATCAATCCATAGTCATTGGCTTCTTCGATCCATTCATAAATAATTGCGCCAGACCATTGATCATTCATTTGCGAACCGAGAATAGCTGCTTGATCTTGGAATGTTCTTGGTTTAACAGTGTTGCATCCGGTTTCCGAGAAGAAGATAGGAATGTTATAACCTTCGGCATATGTATTAAGGGTCTTGTAACCAGAAGTCGAGATGTCACTGTCGCCACACCATTCGTATGCGTTCAAGCCGAAGAAGTCGATGGTTTCGGAAGTGTTGGTACCACAAGCAAGATAGTTTTGAAGCATAGGACGTAATTCTGCAATGTCTGCCGCAGAGTAACCAATGGGAATTTCTCGATATCCTTTGGAAGTTCTATATGCCTTCATGTCCCTAGCAGCGGCTTTGATGAATGGTGCGGCTAAAGATTGGTTGTTTAGAGCAATAACTTCGTTTCCTACAAAGAAGCCCAATGTATTCTCGAATTTGGCGAAAGCATCCATCACCTTGCCAAATGCAGTGTATTGACTTTGGTTCCAAGTCGCGTCAGTCTGTAGAAATGATTAGCCATGATTTTATTTCCGATCCCCAAAGAGTATCATACTGGAGTGATTGCGGTAGTGAAAGTATCCAGATCCAAGAAAAGGTATACACCAGCATCTGCGAAGGCAGACATACACCCGGAGTGATCTCCAGAAGGGTTCACATGGTAAACACGAATGGCATTTGCGCCCAAAGTCTTCATCAAAGAGGCATCGAGTTGGCATTGCTTGGTATCGATTAAAGGATCAGCTTCGGTCAATTGGTATGCGACGCCTAGATATTATCAGCCAAGGATCTAAGTGTAAAATACATACAATCTTACCTTTGATGAAGAATTGGTCGCCATCACTTGTGAAAAACTTGGAACCAGTTGTAGAGATTGTGGCAATAGCATTAACGGCAGTGATAGCCAAACTGGCAATTAAGCCAGCTCTGGCAAATGACTTTGAGAACATGATGCAAAAGAGGAGATTTTACTGTGCACTATGTACACTATGTACAAAGACGGAAATAGCGAGTGTTAAAGGAACGAAAGTCGATGCGATGTTGAAGATGAGAGGACTGCGAACCAGACAGTTGAAGGAAAAGATTGTAGACTGGTCAGATGTGGATATCGAAGTTTAAGCCTTCAAGGAGGTAAGTAGCAACAATCCACAACTTCCAAGGTTTTTTTCTTCTTCGTCCCCTTCCTTGCAAAGGTTAAAAGTAAAAGGTAACGACCGGCTGGTATGGGGAATGGAAGCAAGTGTAGTTGTGGAGATCCAAATGGAGACTAAGTAAGAATTCGAGATGGGGGATTTTTCGGGAGGTTAGAAGTCTGGACCGTCCCTTCGTTTTATGAAAAAGACCACACTAGATCTACAAATTAAAATTATGTAGTATTTATTTACAGTACTCGTATATACATGTACTGGAAAGAGGACCGATGTGCTTGGAAATATAAAAACGAGGGAGTCGTTCCTTGGGTTGTTGTAAGTGAGCGAAGTTGTGATAATTGAAGAATATGCAGGAGCAAGGAGGAAGATTGTGAATACCTACCTAGTATTATTAGCGTCGGTCGTTTTAGAGAATCCCATGTAATTTTTAACCAATGATAAATCAAGATAATAACTCAATTCAAGGATTTTGATCTTATCAGAATTCAATTGGTCAATCATGCGGATACTATTTCATCTTACAGCCAATCACCCCACTCACATGCATTACACTTGCATACCTCGAGCGGGCGGAGAGAAAGCTTGAATTAAGGCGTCCTTAGAAATTCCTTATCGTAGCTTCTATTATTCCGTAATCCTGATTACCTAGTATGCACAAATAAGGAGGTAGGTAAACTCAGTCTATCGTCAAAATAGTTTAGCGTACTTCTGTGTCTCATTGGTAAAGAACTTCTTCTAGTAACTCCAAACAATAATGGATGAAACCGAAACTCAAAAAAAGATAACTCTCAGAAAGTCAATCAATCCTGCACATAACTCATATACCATTTGTTTCAAACTAAGATCAAATTCATTTACTTACTACTACTTACACTACTACTCGAGAACCGGTACATGAATGAATGACTGACTCTTCAACTCCAGAGCATCCCCATCCCGTTCAATGTCAAAGCGGTCTTCATCTGATGTTTTACGCAGCACCACTTACCTATTAACATTGATGGGGTTATGACTAGGTATGATGTTGGTCGGAACTGATATGTAAATCTCTCAACAAAGTCAACTCAATTCAGCATTTCACGTCGTCGTTATTGGTTTTTGAGTGGTTGTTAGTGCACCCGCCCGCATCGAAGCTGATATATTGGACAAATCATTCTAGCTGAGGCTATCTTATTGTGCTTTCATGGGGAGCTAAAAGACGTGGTTGGGGAGAATGGTATTAGTGCACCATTGGTGATTGCCCGTATGGCGCTGTTATTTCGCTAGCCCCCTCCCTCCCCCCAAAATCTTCTCTTCTTCTTGATATTCGCGTATGCTGATAGTATTTGAGCTATGCTGCAAATTTCTCACTGTGGTCTTCTCTTCAAATGATCTTACAGCACACCCGTGCATCAATGGAATCGAATGATCAATTCGCAAAGCAAATGTTCTGTCGAGATTTGACAGATACCCCGTGCACTACATTTGAGCATGACTCTGAGGATCGAAAAAGAATAGAGCGATTTGGCCAGACTATTTATTTCGTTGGCATCGGTTTCGTGGCTGCATCTGTGGGACTTTACACATGTTGTTTCTTTGGGAATAATATTTGTTATTCCTCCCCTGCGCTTCGTACTTTCGACGTTGAGGATTATTACACGTCCTGGCAGTCTATGACGATTTGAGAGATATAGGTATCATACTATTACTGTGGTGGCAGATAAGGCTTTCAGTAAAGTTATTGCTATCCGTTGATGACGCATTCACGACTGCTCTCGACAACTTCGATGTTGTGCCAAAGTTTTGCATCCTGGACAGAGGCGGTTGACTCAGTTTTGAGTAATCAAAGCATTTCCTGTGTTGAACCAACCGCTCCTGTCAAACGCAATCAAACCAGGCACAATCAAATTCAACATCATAGAGACTGGCTGATCTTACAGCTGGCAGCACTGATGTATCACAGAATCGATTCATATGATTCTTCACAGAACAGCCTCGATGTATATCTAACGACTATCCAGTAAGTACCCGCCGCCATTGCAAATACGTTTTTCGTCGTTAAAATTCTTGCCAAGAATTTACCAAGAACCGGAAAATCCTCTTTGATTATGGGCATCTATAAGTCCCTCGAATAAACACCCACTGCTTGAAGACCAGCGGATTTCAAGCATCACGTAGGTCTATAGCAAGGCTTATTTGGTGGTCATGTAGACTTTTGGTTTGATTCAGTTGTTTTAATCACCTCATCCTGACAATATTCTGCCTACGAAATTGGAAGTGAGAAAAGGATTTTCTATCGCGCCGGTAACCATCACAATTAAAAGCGTTCGACATGCAGAGATTAGACACGTTTAAAGCGACAGAAACCGATTGCTGAAAGTCCTGAATATTGCGACTACTCTAATTCAACATTTCTGGTCGAATCTTTGAACGCAGCACGAGAGAGCTTGTGACGTATTTAGTCTAGTACGAGGCTGTGGGCTCCATCTCTTATGGGGACCGAGTACACAAGCTTGGGACAAGGCTTGAATATATGAGATCTAAGAACAACGAATGAATCACGACGAGAGGAACTTGTGGTAGCGTAGAAGTTTAAAAGGTCAGGAAAAACATGAAGCTTAGAAGGCCGAAGATGTCAGCTTTCCAGGAAGGAAGGAATAGAAAAGAATGCACAGAAAAACAGGAACAGTGGTAAAAGCAAAAGGGAGTGGAATAGCACAACACGTGTACGGGTGAAGTAGAAGATGGTATGAAGGGTCGTCCAAGTCTCCGAAAATGATTTCTACGTTCATGCTGACCACATCTACAAAGGTCTCCTCAATTTGTCTAACGATATAATTTCTACCTGATTTCTAAGATACTTTATCAATCCAATTCAATCCTCCATTGATTACAAACGGCCTTCCTATTTCGCACCACGAACATGGGTTTAGTTCTCGCTTGAGCATCACATACAGCAGTGGACCCTGAACACTTGGCATGTCAGCCCACATATTACACGAATCACACGAATCAACGGCGATGACTCTTACTACGTGCGACGTTGTTCGCGCGGGTTTACATACTCGTATAATCTCATCATCGTCATCTCTGGCATATATGTTCTCAGTCTCTATTATATTTCTGTTTCCCATTTATCAATCATCTTGATATACCATCATTCGAATCCAAGTTTCTCCACCAGCAAACGCAAAATGCCCATCCAACATCACCCCATAAATCCCAGCCTCACCCTCAACTCTACCAATCCAAATCACAAAAATATCATCCTCACACGCCCACGTACCTCAGACGCAGAATTAACAATCCCAGCATTCAACCACCCATCCATCTATCTGAACCTCACCGGACCCCCTTTTCCCTACACACAAGAATCATTCGATTCATTCTTCAAGGAAGTTTTGGATAAGAATGTACAAATTGCAGTAGCGGAACTCCGAGATGCGAAATTATCGGAGGAAAACGGGAATGGAAAAAGATGGGTGGGGGCAATACCCTTTCCGAGTATTAGGGAGGTGGTTGTTAATGGGAAGGGGGAGAGGGAGGAGGTTTTTATTGGTCAGACGGAGATTAGGAGGAGAGGATATATGACTGTTTTGGGGGAGGATGAGAGGCAGCGGTTGGTTAAGGGGAATGAGGGGAGGAAGATTGGGGATCCGGAGATTGAGTGGGAGATTGGTTGTATGTTTTTTCAGGTTCTTGTCTTCTGCTTTCTTGAACTTGTGCGTTTTTGTTTTGGATGATGGCGAGATACCTGGCTGTATGGATGTGGCTTTGGTTTGATCCAGTCTCGTGAACTTTTAGTGGATGGATTGTCTATCGGTTATCTATGGCTAAGCTCAAAGCCAGAACTCAGCTTCTGGAAGTATCAAAGCGAAAGTCCCTCTCCTAAATCCCAAAGCCAGGTCAAACGACTACATCCATAGCCCCCAACCCCCTATCCTGTATCTCTTCTCTCCTACAAAATCATCCCCCCTCCCCAACTCAGCCTCAACTAACACCCTCCAGTTTTCCTCCTCCCCTCTCACCACGGCCGCAGCATCATGCCCGCAGTCCTCCAAACGCTTCTCACGGATTTCTTCATCCCGTATATGAATATGCATCACATGGAAGGAGAATATTTAGAGTTTAACGGGGCGAGTAGAAGGGTATTTGAAAAGTGTGGGTTTAGATTTGTAGGGGTGACCGAGAGGGTAGAAGTGGTTCCGGAGGGAAAGAGGGGGGCTTTGAGGGAGTTGTTGGAGTTGGAGAGGGAGGGGAAAGAGGGGAAGAGGAAGAGTTGGGTGGGGAAGGGTGAGAAGTGGTTGCTGGGGGAGAAGGTGGGGCTTGGGGCGTTGAGGTGGGAGAGGGAGAGGGAGAGGGAAAGTAGGGATGTGGGGGAGGTTGTTGGGTCAGGGGTCTAAGACTGAGGACAGTCAGAATCAGAATCAGAATCAGAAGGCTGTGCAACGGGTCCTCGCAGGGCGGATAATTGATCTAATAGGTATTCTACGGTTTATCTGCTAGTGGAGCAGATAATTGGGAAAACTGAATAGATATTTACAGGATATCCGTAGTTCATTAATCTTATTAATCTATAGATCTATTAATTTATAAACATATTTTATAATCGTAATATAATATTTACAATTGTGACTGAAAGGGTATAATCAGGACTCCAATTGTGTATTTAGAATCTACAAGTGAAGAGCTATCATAGTAGGGTGCTAAAGGGAGTGCTTATAATATACAGATTTGGTAGGCCTAGAGGCTAGGACTAAAAGAGTGAAAAGAAGAGAATAGAGATAAGCATCGTACGATGCCTAGGTCTAGAAGCTCTAGGCTAAGAAAGGAACCTTAGGTCTAAAAGAACTGTCTTATCATACCACGTAAGGTATATGTATGAATGAGCTAATAGTGGACGGAAGAGAGCCGTCGATTCCGTCACATATACGAGTATTATGCAAAATTTACCTGGTTCTTTTTTGAAAGCTGGATGGATTCTGTAAAATTCACATATAGCACGGAAAAAAACGTATCTCTTTTAATCTTGGATATTATATATTTCTATGATTTTTGGTTCAATTAGGGGTTAAAAAAGCAAGTGAAACGAGGTGAAAGGCTTTTCAATGGAGAGTATTCAAGAGTTGTTACTCTTTACTCGTAGATGGTTTTTCGTTACAGTATCAGTACGTCATCAGTTGAATAGCTAGCTAAACTACAATGGGGAAAGCTTCAAAAGAGTTACTACAGTACGTTTCTTCAAAGCTTTGAATAGCCATTCATTTAAACAAAAGTGGGGGGGGATAGCTTCAAATCCTTGTTTTGAAAGTGTTGGTTGGCCTCTGGTGGTGCGAGGAATGGAAGGTATTCTCAAGTGGCACCTCTATGAGGCCGGCCAGGGTGACAGCGTAACAAACACTCTAAATGTAGAATAATCATTATGCGTAGGGGGTGAAAGAGAGATCTCCCCCAGCACCGAGTACATATATATATTGAGGCATGTCACGTGCATCGTTAAGCGATGCACATGACATACCGACAGAAAGTATTCGAGAACTCCTACTCCTCCTCTATTGCATCCTCTTCTTCCACCTTCACCTTCACCTTCACCTCTTTTTTCATCTCCACGTCTCCCTCCATTGCATTCTCTTCCTCTGCTTCTATTACATTCTCTTCTCCCACCACATCCTCTTCCTCCACCTTCACCTTCACCTTCACCTCTTTTTTCATTTCCACGTCTCCCTTCATTGTATTCTCTTCATCTCCTTCTATTACATCATCTTCCTCCATTACATCCTCTTCCCTCACCACATCCCCTTCCTCCACCTCTACCTCTTCCTCATCTATAGCCTGATCTGCAGTCCCTATGCTATCATCTTCATCATCTCCCATTTCCCACGGGGTGTCTACTACTATCTCATCTCCAGTGTTTTCTTCATCTCCATTCCAAAATTCAGCGAAGTTCGGTTTTGATCGTTGATCACCGCTCTCATCCTCGAACGCATCTGGGTCCATCCGGATTACATCTGCCTCCAACACTGGGAAAGGTATATTCTCTTTTTCCAAGCGATCAAGATGATAAAAATATGATCTCTCACCAAATACATCCTTCTCCCTTTGTACCATCAATTCGAATGCATCCACAGCTGCAATCACAGCAGTTGCTCTCCAATTTTTTATATACTCATCGGCAATTTCTCGAGGTCCCAAAAGAAGTATATCTCGATCATGGAGCACAGCCAACGAATCCCATCTACGAGCACACACTAAAGCATTGGAAAGATGCCCAAGCCCACTGATTTCAACGGCTGCAGGAAATTTGTATGGGATAGCACCATAGCTATTTTCTAATCCAGATGGTGTAGCAATAGGTGCTACCATATCCCTGTGCGTTTGCGAAAGCATTTCCCATGAACCTGCATCTATAATCTCAAGCGTCGAGAGATCATCTTGCACATGGACAAACCATGGGAGCATCGTCCTCCGAGTGCTCTTGGTAGGACCATCGGAACCGTGAGGAAGTTGGGGGAGGGTGATGCGTGCCTCACCCCTCTTGCAAGGTGTAGCTTTCCAATCAATTCCGAATTCTTTAGCATCCTCTTTAGTAAACATATTCTCTTTGATACAATGCACTAGACCATGTCTCTCTTGGCCACGCTCCTTGACCTTTGCCCACCACTTGTCGATGTGCGTGTGCATACCTGCAAGGATAACAGTACAATTCGATTCGTCTTCATCATCGAGAGAAACAGAACCTTGGATCATAGAGCCCCCTCTTCCTCTTTGTATCAACTCTCTCACATTAAAATTGATGTGCCGAAAATAGGTTTCATCACCCTCCTTGGCAAACTTGGCGTAGTGTGGATAGGTTACCAATCTCCATGCCGAATCAGGTCTCGATGCAGCGTATGTACAGTAATACATCGGATCCTGACGCATCAATTGTTGCCCAATAGAGTAAGACATATTCCGGAGCCACCCATGGTTATCGATCCCATTTTGTTTCTGGAGGTGGTGATTGTACATATCAAACTCCTTTAAGACGATCGCCCCAATTTCGGTTTTGAACCACCACCCAAAGATATCAAGATTCATGGATCCATCTTGCGTAAATTGCTTGAGAATTTCATCGCTCACTCCGACCCATTTTTGAATAAAGCGACTGTCGAATTTAAACTCGGTTGGTATCAGTGTGTGTATAAATTTGTAAGGTCCCAAACCATCCTCTGGTCGTGCTGGTCGATTCTTTACCCGGAACATCTGATATGTTTTGGCATCGGTTTTGAGTTTGCCAATATTATCTCGATGTTGGTAAACGCAATGCAATATGTAGATCAATGCTGCACGATCCTTTCCTCTAGTACGTAAACCGAGACAACTTGCCATAGCACGGGAGTGATCATAACAAGGGTATTTTGCATTACAAAATATCTTGAGCAGTTTGAAATTTATAGATTTCTCATATCCAGCTTCTTTAGTGACAACCGATTTCCAATTCGATGTAAGTTCACGCGAACAAACGCAGTTGGTGCGGGGCTTGATAGTCTTGCTGGGCGATGGGGTCTCCCTGATTTCCCGAGACCTGCCTGAGAAATCCCGCTTCGCTTGTGATTGGTTGAGCGAGGAAGCGTCATTTGCACGCGCGAGATTTGCGCGGGCGGGATTGTTTGAATCTGACTCTGGCTTTGATTGTATACCACTGTCTTCTGATACTAAAGCCAACCCTTCTTCCAAAAATCCAAATTGACCGATACGCAATCCGAATTGCTTCATTTCTTGCGAGGTAACATCATCAAAATTCGTGAGAGCTAATGCTTTTGAGAAGTCATCGGGTTGAAGTTCGAGTTTAGCAGAAAACCCCCTTCCGGCTTTTGACAATCGATTTAAAAATGCTCTGTTAACACATCGCGCGCCGTCGCTTGATGACAATTTGTTTGCTAATGCTCGGATTCTCGTCATAAACCATGCAGAAGAATTTACTGCAATCAGCCACTCAACAATCTCGGCATCCCAATGTCGCAACACTTTTTTTTTGGCTTTAATCCCACGGTTTCTGCGGTTTTCATTCGCATTGCAAACCGCGATCGCTTTAATCCACAATTCCTGATTGACCAATTTGATTGATGCAATATCACCCGAGTTGTCGCTTTGAATATAGTTGAAGAGAGCTTCAATGTGATCAGCGAGACCGTTGTGACTCTCCAGCATCTTTTCCAAAAGCTGTATTTGAAGATCGCGTCTTTTTGCGCTATCTTCTTCGTTTTGTAAGAACTTGATCATCTCACTTGCATCCCCAAAGTTGTATAGCAAAGCCAATTGTGATTGGGAGACAAACGGGGAAGACATAGAGTTCGATGGAGGCATTCGACGGGATCTTTTTGAGGGAGGGGGTGTGGGTGAATTCTCTGGTTCAGAGTGGTTGTCTCTTTTGTTAGGCAAATGCGTTCTGATCGTGGGTGGCCCTCTACGATTAATTGAAGAAGTAGAATTACGGGTAATCATATTGAATAATGATATCCAACAGGGAGTGTTTGCATGTGTATCTATATGTATGTGTGTGTGTGTGGTGTATAGAACCGGTGAGGAGGGATTGACAAGGCACCTCTGGGGCGCTAATTAGCGTGCAGAATCTTCACAACCCAACTAGGGATGAGCATATAATAGTATAATATATCGTATAATGATCATCTTTATATATAATTTAAGCATGAGCTATAGAATCCTTGATATAATCTTGGCATAATTGAAATTATATAAACCTCCTCCAGATTGTATAATCTGTTATCTCAGTTCTCAGACCTCGTGTATTTTAGCGAGAATATTACGGGATTCATGCTACCCCATATAGCTTTTATTGCCTAGTTTATAGATTTTTATGATTATATAATCGCTGTGGGTCTGAGGATCAGATAAAAAAGCACAGGCTTTTTGTAGGCTTGTTGGCTTATAGGCTTGTAGGCTTGCTGCCCAATTCTGGACTCAACAACACGTGCAATCTGCGAGTATACTGGATTGAAGGTTCAGAGGTGGCCGAGGGGAGTGATCGGAAATGAATAAAGGTTGTGATAGTGTCTTATTGAGGCCAGCGGAGGTATACGAGGGCTAAGGATGGGGGGACGCTTTTGGCACTGCTTTACGAATGTGTAAGAGCAGTATCACGGCGGCGGAGGAACTCTCGAAGGAGGAAAACGTTATTAGCAAGTTTCCCTCTTGTGCGAAGCATTCGGCAGACATCACGGCAGCGGGTGAGCTCTGGCAGAGGCCACCTTACAATACGTATATGCGACGCATTCCCAACCCTCCGCATTATCGATCACAAACTATACACTGGGGGAGTGGACTTTGTAGGTTGCGCTTTGGTTAGTGAGCTGGAAACGCTGTGTTTTGACTTTTTAAGCTGCCTGCTAGGGGTTAATAAGACACAGCAAAGCTTGTAAGGTACGATCGGTTTTGTTGTGCAGGAGAGATCCGGCAAAGTAATGCGAAACAATGCCCAAGCTTGCGGGGTTATTGTGTATCATGGTAGTGATAGTGATACTGTCCATACGGCTCCAGAGGACAGATGTATGTATCGGTCTACAATAGGGTATAAGGCAACCGACAATAGATATATTGGGTAGTCTTAGGGAGCAAACAAGTAGAGAGATATGAGGGAAAGCTTCTGGTTCTGGGCGGAATCTCCAAAGGAAAATATCTTCTGGAAAAGTGTGGGTAGGCGTTGCGAATCTATCTTGGTTCTATCCAATACTTTATGTACCGTATTCTTTTGGAAGATAAGACCTTAACTTTATACCCTTGCAGTGGCTTTCCCAATTCCTCAAAAGAATAATACGATACGGTATAAAATTCCCGGTGGCTGAAATCCTCCAATCAAGACTGATGTTGTATTGTGCATTAGGAATGCAAATGAACGAAAATATACAGAAAAGTCTGGAAAAAATGGTAGCAGTGAAACAGACGAATCAGCGAGCGTCAGTCATGATGATGAGTCTATCAAGCAATTTCCGATTTTATGATAAAATTTGATTGGATTGGATTGGATTGGATTGGATTGGATTTGATTGAAAATGAGAATGGGAATGAGATAGATTTTTGATATGATTCAGGCACGCCAAGCATGCATGCCAATGCTAGATCAAGAAGCAAGTCGCTCGAAAATTGTCATGGCAACCCCCTTTTTTCATCATCTATACAGTAGTATAATAATGGTGTGGCTCGTATACCCAAAGAAAATGATGTCAAAGAATGCATCTTTTCCCAAATTTGTTTATGTTCATATCCAAGCTTTGGTATGTGATTGGGGAAGCGAGGTGAGACATCGGATGAAAGTCCGGGGTATATGTACATCTCTTATTGATGTGACGAGACCAAGCGGGGAAATTACAGGGAGAGTCAAAAACTTTTATCCAATTCCTTTGCGTTGCTATGGTTGCGTTGGCTTGGTATTGGTGGTTACATGCTTCGAGGGGAAATTGGATGGATATAAATAAGATGGTGAAGTTGCACTTTGGGAAATTATTGTATTACCTTGGATTTTGTTCATCTAGTAACCCAGTCTCCCAATTGTTTTCACTTCCCATCTCTCTACCTTGAAATTCTGTCTACCTACCCACTTCTGATTCACTTCTGATATTCACTTCTGATATTCGTGATAATTACTTCAAACCTTCTTGTCCAACGAATTCGATCTGAATCTTCCATCCATCAACCCAACAAACACACATAAACACAAACACTCCAACCAAAACTCAAAATGCGTTTCCAAATCCTCGCCGCCGTTCCTCTTCTCTCTCTTGCCCTCGCGCAATCAGCTACTGAAGCCGACTCCATTACATCCGCCGCAACTGTTCCTACCGCAACTGCAGCAGCCTACACTCCTGTACCTGATATCGGCGCATACTCGCGTGCTGCCCAACAAGACGAAATCGCACTCTCGCGTCTCTCCGCCCAACTAGCCACCGAAACCAACGCGGGTCAACAAACGCAACTCAACGCGCAAATGTCACACTTAACCGTTCAACTCGGCGCTATCAGTTCGCAAGCCGCACTTGCCAGTTCTGTCTCCACCGCCAACGCTGCTGGTGCTAGTTCCGATGCTATTTCGTACATTGCCAGCTTGAATGCGATTGCGGCTACCGAGACCAATAGTGCGATATTGAGCCAGTTGAGTGTGCAGATTAGTCAGATTAGTAGCCAGGCGGGTTTGCAGGCGCCGACAAGTAGTCTGACGGCAAAGGCCACGGGCAGTGTGAGTATGAGTGTGGTTACGACGACGAATAGTGAGGGGAGAACGGTCACTTCGACGGCGAGTGCAACGGCAAGGAGTGCGGCGAGTGGGAGCTCGAGTGCGGGTTCTTCGAGCAGTAATGCGGGGGCGATGGCTACTAGGGTTCCGGCTCTTGGGGCTGCGATTTTGGGGGCCGCGGTTTATTTGTTGTAGGGGATTGTGGTGTGCTGTGTTTGCGATGGGATGGGATGGGATATGGTGAAGGGAAGGAACAATAATATGGGAAATTAATTGACGGAATGGTATGGCATGCAGAGCGGTGATGGGGTTGAGGATCGTGTCGTAATTAATGGTTATGTATGGTGGGATGCGTCGACACGATTTGGATGATAGTTTTCAATGTTAAATACCTTTACGAAGATATTTGGTCTCTAAAAACGCATCGGGTTGGGTTTAATAATTTTGAAACCTTTTATGAACCTCGGGTGAAAACTTCAGCACATGTTACTGTTTCTGCCATTCATTCATTCAACGCACAGTTTAACAAACCACCACCACTTACTTTCATATTTCATGCTACCAAGTGAAGTAGCTGAATCTACTATTGTATAATGTTGTTGTTGTTTTTACAAGATGACTCGTAAAGTCAATGGGAACGTGACAAGTTTCCAGTCAAGTCAAAGCTCGAAAATCTCTAGTATACGTGACAGTTACAATTTTGACAATAAAAAGCCGTCCTTTTGCAGAAGTTGGAATACCCGACTCGGATCATATTTTGTGGCAATCTCCTTCATGGTCTTGATATTCGCAGCGGGATATTGAGCTAGAGATTTTGATCTGCGTAGCAATCATTCATGTATAATTAGAGAAGATTGGAGTTTCGGCATGTACCATGTGTCTCGAACTGGTCGTCAATTGATTTGACGGCGTTCAGTACAATACTATCGTCGTCTGCAGAGGTCCAGTCGGTGATTGTGGTCCACCCTTTTAGCAAGGTTAGCAGGGGTTTCGTCGTCAAGTAACATTTGGAGTGGCTGGGGAATGCAAACATTGATGTGCTTCAGATGGGATACCCATTGGGTTTCCCCCTTCGTGCCTCGCCTGCTGCGACGAGCGATGGTGGGATTGTTTGGAGAGTAAAAGTCATGTTAACGTCTACTCCATCGGCTTGAAGACCATTGATCGTATCCAGAAAATAGCTTGACGTTTCATTGTAAAGTGTCTCGTCTATCAAGCTAGCCGCTGAGCGGTACACATGACTGAATGATCGTATGAGTTTCGGATACGAACATTGAGATGGATCATTTACTTACCGCACAGAGGTAGTACAAATGCACTGAAGAGAATGCTACTGAGGAGAGTCACAGTTGCGTTCATAGGTGGAACGCTGACAATACCATTGGGAATTGCGGCAAAAGGAGCGAAAGCATCGGGGTAAGTGGCAGGTTCAGAGTATACTAGACCAAGGGATCAGCCCGTTTTCAAAATATTAATGAGAACTGACGTTTTGGGGTCAGTTTGTGCCCCGTTCTTTTGCCATTCGGTGAAAGCAGCTAAAACGTTCGGAAGCTCTGTGAGAGTATAACCCTGTCGCTTGAAACCAGATGTTCCTGACGGGTATGGTGCACATATCGAATCACGTTACGACACCTAGGATCTCGATCAATTAAATTCTACACCCTGAGCATCGAACACTTATAATTACCGAAATTAGGTCCACCACCTTTCAATGCCCAGAAAAGATCCGAGTTGATTGCTGCATTCGCATTCACGATTTCACCACTCGCGAGCACGACCTGTTATTTCCCACTTAGCACGATTGATGCTTGAGGAATTCATACAATTGATACTCATCCTTACCTCGAAACTCTTCACATTATCAGCCGCGAGTCTGTACTCCGCCCAAAAAATGAGACAAGCCACCTGCGATCAATCAACACGCGATGAACGATATAATTCGTACTTTTGACACATACCACCCAAAATCAACCCACCCACGCCAACCTGAGGGATCCTACCACCGATCACCGATACGCCGTATGGATCAAGTGCTTTATACACCGCGCCACATCGTAGTCCCGGGCCGATACTAGCTATTGAATTATCTGAGCTGACAGTGATGGAATTCAAATTTGTGGTCGAGATCAAGATTCCGTTGGAGCCGATACTTGCAAAGTAAGGATTGGGAGAATGGCCTCCGCTTCGAACGGCAAATGGGACGTGGAGAAATGAGATGATTTTCATGAGAAGAGAAATCTCTTCTGTGGAGTTTGGAGAAACTATGCATTATTGAGCTAATTGACAGGCCTCGGACCTGGAGTTGCTTCGTTAGGAAATGCATTTGGGATTTCAAGTCGAAGGTAGAATGGTATCAGTTCATTTCGGCTAGAGATCCATTGGTTGAGGGAAACGTGACAGTATTAGTTCCAAAATGAGTTGTGCTGTCCAGCAAGCCAGCGGTGTCAATTCCGGTTTTAGAAACTTTGTCGTGGTGATGCTTTTGAACTCATTGACAAGATTCTCATCATCGATATATTTGAAAAATATGATCGACGCATTCTGGATCGAAACATCAAGCATTCCAACAAAGTCAGAAATCTTGGATTCCATAACTACTGATGTATACCGGAATTGAAGTTCAGCAGAGCTAATACTCGTAGATTGGACCGAAGTTCGAAGATCGATGGCTTGTACAGAGGGGAATATAAGTATGAATATGAGCTGTAAGCATGAGGAAACTAACATCCTGGAAAACTACTTGTTATTTATGATGGTGAGTTGCGCTGTACCATTAACCAATACGATGTCGGGGAGAAGGCTGGGTACGGAGTACAATGCATATGTAACCTAATTTCCAACTATTGGTCATCCATCCTATTTATATGCAGAATCACGGACATCGCCTCCTGATTCATCAATTACTGCAGTAATTTCTTATTGTTCATGTATATTAGGAAACAATAGCACTATACTCCCCTATATATCTTAGGAAAATGTGCAGAACGAAGTGATCTAGTGTCCATCTCGATTATTCAGACCCAAAAATATCCCTGATATAACCGAATATCATCAACTACACATAAAACTACCTACCGAGACTACTGTACTGGTCCGAAGGTAAACTCTATTCTTCCTGAATATGGTAATAAAACCCATGTAAGTCGCTGCTGATATCACACTCCATATATATCACACTGAGCCACACGCATCACATAGTATCGTGCATACAGTAACTTATAAACCTATGTAAACCCACCCGCCATCTTCGAGATTCACTCAAACAAACAGTTGGAGATTTTAGGATCACTTGATACACAATTACAAACACTACAATTTTAGAAAAGGCTCTCACCTATCATCAATCCAACCCAATTTGCAATGCTAAGTATACAAATTGGTGTTTGTGGGAGATAGTGAAATATTTTGGGTAAACGTTGCCGAGATATTTAGTCCTACTTAGTGGACCCCAATTTCCATAATATCCGTCTCATCTCTCTATCCTATAAACAAATACGTCCCGGCAGATACTCGAGTATATCATTGAAAGCTCTTCAATGTGTACTGCAGTCCAAGATTTTTCAAACCCTGATCACGGGAGAATTTGATGAATTGCGACTCTAGTTTGAGGACAGATGATAGTCGCGGAAGATTACTAATGAATAAGGTGAGATATTGCTACATTTCATTGAAAACTTGCTTTTAATAGCGTAGCCATCCTGAAGAAACAACATGTACATGTGTGGCAACTCATTCTCTGAACCGTGGTAGATCTAACGAGCATTGAGCAATGTAAAACAAGGCTAGATCATACTCAGCAACTACTACTGCATTGTAATATGTTGTGACTAGACACATTGATAGTACAACATGATATGATGTAGCTGTCCAAGCTCGCCTCAGCCCCCTTTCCACAGCTCATATCTTCACCTCCCAACGGTTCCTCATCTCAAATTTATGATATCCCTCTATTTCCCAGCAGGAGCAACCTGAGCGTCAATCGTACTCTCAGCTTCGTCTCCACTTACATTGTTATCTCCACTTCCATTCTCAAACCGGTAGCAGGCCGGGAATCGATATTCTACATGCATAACAAATTAGCACACTACATATTACTCCTTTTTCCCTCCCCTATTCTATCAAAAAAAGATAAAAATAAAAATAAAAATAACTCACGATCAAACAAGCTCTCCCAAAAATCCACCTCCCTCACATAACAGAAATCCGTCGTAAGATACCAATTCGTCTCATTTGGATTGGTCGACACGGCATCCTGATAACACTGCACCCAAACCCCGTGATCCCACTCATATTCTCTCTCCAAGTGACCCGACGAACTGGGCGTACTATAGCAACTAGCATAATCTTCACCTACGGTGAGATTGAGAAGATAGCGTTTGTTGAGATTATGAGAGAGAGGAGGCGAGTGTTTGACAAGAGGGTGGTAGGATTCTTCATCGTGATTTAAGGGGACGGATGAGCGTTTTCTTTGGCTGGTGTAGTTCAATTGGACGAAGCCGACTGGACCGCAATAATCGAGGTTGCTTTTGTCAGCGGGTTCTTCGAGACCAATTTCTGCGACGTAGCAATTATCCGTTGTTTTCAGCCAGGTACTATAGTTCTCTCTGTTAGCTGTTTTGCGTTTGGAAATGTGCTATTAAAAGAAACGAGATGGAGGAAGGTAATTTACCTATCATTAATCACCTTAGCTCCCAAATCAGTCCAGCAAGTCACTGTGATATCAGTGCCATATTTCAAATATTTTACAACCTCGCAACTTGTGTTATCATCGCAGATATTGCATTCGGTATTGTATTTTGTGGTTGCTGGGCCGGTAGTTATATGCTCGACTGTAGAATCTTCACCACAGAAGCTGAGATCAGTTTCATCTATGTGGCGGGTATTGGTTAGTCAAGTCACACGAGCATGTGAGCTAACGGGGATCTTACATTCTCCGGCGTAGTCGAGGAGGTCATATTGGGTGATGTAGCAGTCGTCGCTTGTTCTCAACCATGTACTAGAAGTTTTGTTTTGTTAGATGGGGATTGATATTGCGAAGTTCCAGAGAACTTACCTATCGCCATCGATTACTGTTCCGCTGGTCCAGCATATGAGCGTTGCGACAGTACCGTAGTCGTAAAATTCCTTGTTGGTACAAAGTGTATAGGGACAAGTCTTGCATTCTGTTGCTACTCCTTTTTCCAGGGTATTGTTGAATGGAGGTTTGAATGCAGCATTTGTGATATCTGTAAGAAGCATGAAAATCCCGATAGCGGGAAGCGATGAAATCATCATTGTGATGTTTGATTTTCCGATCAATAAGTGTATAGATACCTGCTCTTCGTTTACCTCAAGCCATGTCGGAATTCGGACCTATATATACCAACACCATGTCAGACTCGTACAGAAACATGAACCGTTCTCCGTTGATCAACGGCTGTTGCCAAGACAAAAATTATTGAATCTCTGCCATATATCTTTGAAACCAAACCACCCCTCAACACATTACTGCAGGTTCCATGCAAGAAATGCTGTACATTCATCACCCCGCAGTCCTGCAGCCTTGGCAAGCCTTGTCAGCCAGTCTTATCTTGCTTTCGAATCGGGCCAAGCAAACCTCGTATAGCTTTGTGGTATTCCCGGCTGCAGCTTATCACAGTGCGGCTCGGGAAGCTCTAGTCTAGTTGGCCATAAAGTAAAAAGTGGTGTTCAGGCTAAAAGCAGGTACGAGGTCATGCTTTCGACGCTAGGGCTGATAATCATAGTGAAGTAGCATTCGGAGCCTTTCCGAAGTAAAAGGTTACGAAAAAGGCTACGAATGAAATTAGCAACGCTCAGCTCAAATCCTGTTGTTACTGTGTTATTTCTATACACGAGGTGATGCATATACGACAAAGCTTTACGAAGGCTCCCATCTGGTGTTAATATTTCTCCTGGCCAGATCCAAGTCATTGAGAGTCCCCTTCCCATTGTACTACCGGGGGATACCATTTTTAAATTTTAGATTGACAACAGTCTCTGGGCGAATTAGGCTCAACAAGGTTCGATTGATTACCTCGAGAGTCTGGTTGTTTTGTTCTGCCATAGCTTCTAATCATCAATCTGATTGTCCTGCCTCGTCTGGACTTTCAGTGCAGAAAACACTAAAAAGTTATATGTTCCTCTTTGTTACTTTCTGTCTTTTGATTGTTCGAGGAACAAGCGAAGAATCAGAATTCGACGGCAAGTCTATCAGATAAGACTAAAACCTTTCAACTTGAGATCGCGATTTTGATTATTTAAGGTCTTCAGAGGTAAGTCCTAGATCATCTCCTGTTTCACGCCAATTCTTCATTGACAAACATCCGGGAAGTCTTTCATTCCTGATCTAGGTGTAGTAGTTTAAATTGCTAGCCTTTCGAAAGTGGACCAAGTTGAGGATCATCTTTTCAAGGTTTTGATGATTCGGAGTCAGGTTGAAGGTATGGCTCCCAAGGGTTTGTTCCCGCTTAACAAGTCGATTTTCTCCCGGCAATGGACAAGAAAGCTTCGTTTGATATCAAATCGTGTGTATAATGGATCCCTAGATTTTATAGCAGTCATTCTCACAAGACTTCAATAAGACGGGCTTGATTGCACCAGGAAAAGCGCATATCACATCACCAGAGATGATGATGCCTGGCGATAGACCATTGATGCCCTCGTGTGTGGTAAAAAACGATCTTCTGTAGGAAATGTTACGGCTTATATGAAAGAACGATTCTGAAAGAGTCTGTGGTTTCTTCAAAAGATTATCTCGTGGTAAGGACAAGCCTTGAAGAATTCGAGATATGATATCTGAACGTACCTCGGACCTCGCCCCTCTGAAGTGTAAAGCGTATAGTCTCTAGGAAAGGTGACTGGCAGCAAGTGTATGAGTGAACAGCTTCTAGCCAATTTTCATTCCTTGATAACAAATAGAACTTTGATTTTTCCAGAATATCAGCCCCAGACGCCTTTGATTAGCCGGGGATGTATAGGATCATAACGGACAAGATCAATCGGAAGACCAGATAGGTATTGTAACTTCAGTGCGAGTCTCCCCCGGTTATAAGACCAAAAGTAGCATAAACTCTACTCTGTCTTTGGAACACTTATCCAAGTAGAATACTGCGTTTTGGAAAATATCCCCATAAAATGGGATGTGATATCAATGTCTCAAATTAAAAAGGCATCGTCCAAAGAATATTTCTTACCTTATTCCCTTGTAAGACGACGACTCAAGAATAACATAGAGCTTCTAATCAAAGACCACTCCATGGTATTGCCCCACAAACAGTAGTCGCAGCCTGGCTGGGAACACTTCTTGCCAATTCCACAAACGTTGAGGACAAGACCGCTGCAAAAATGAAACTGATGATAAAATGCATGTCATGCTGAAGATCTCCTCGATCATTGTCAGTTTGCCTCACCAAACTTTCGTGTCTGCATGTATTCCTGACTTTTATGGTGCGGTCAACCCATCCACTTCCACATTCGACACAATTATTTTCGGTGTTTCAATCGTGATACCGCTATCATCTCCTTATTTCAGCCCGAACCGGACAATGTCATTTTCGACTTTTGAAGAGATATCTAATAGTTTTGCTGTCTGAGAGGCTCGTTCATGCAGATTATTCTGTTTGATACATATAGCATCAATACAGAGCCTTCGCAGCTTATCTGAATGGTAGGTGGTGCAAAACAAAACTCCTGCTAAATTTCGTGTAACAGCGAGATGCTTAAAATATCTTCTGGTCGCTCATAAAACCGGATGGGACTTTGAACTCTGTACTCCCCAAGCGTAAGATAAAGCTTCATAGCTTTAGAAGCAATTTTGAATTTTCGAGTTCAGTAATGGAAATATGTAGACCAAGAGGCTCGACCGGCGAAGGGGTGTTTCCTGGTATGATTATGTCTATGACTCTGATTTCTCTCGCATCTTCGTACGCGTGCAGAGGACAATATTCGTATGCCGGTCGTTGATTGAAGCCATGCACAGTTATTTTCTTCCGACGAGTCGTTCGAAATCCCGTTCTGATGCTGAGATGAGGTTAAGAACTTCCAACGAGCGCGCGAGGGCTAGCTTGACATCGTGATCAGCTGATTTCCAAAACACATGACGTGGACAGAAGATGTGCGTTAGTTGTTGTGTCAATATTATCAGATATCAAGTGGAATGTGTAATGACATACTTCAAGTGCAAGAAACAACAACAAAACATCAAAATATCAAAATGAATTGAAGTAATCGGATAAGATCTCGAAACAGTGCAAACACTCATGAGTGGGGGAGGGGGCGGGGTCCAATAATATACCCCGCAATCCAACGCCCATCAAGTGGGTATCATCGTCCTTTCCATTGCTTCGTATCACGACTACAGTGCTAGACTACACACATACAACCATTCCTCCAAACATGACAGCCACCTCCACATCCCTCTCCCCCTCCACCAACCCTCCCCGTTTCAAACTAATATTCTTCGTCCCCCCCTCCTCCCTCAGCATCTGCAAAACCGCCATCTTCGCCTCCGGCGCCGGCCAATACCCAGGTTTCGGTAAATACACCGAATGCTGCTGGACATCAGTTGGCACCGCGCAATTCCGACCCGGTAAGACAGCTACTCCGAATATTGGCACCGTGGGGGTGCTGGAAGAGGTGCTTGAGGTGAGGTTTGAGACGTTGTGTGTTGGGGAGGAGGTGGTTCGAGAGGCTGTTTGTGCTCTTAAGAGGTAGGTGTGGTTTTTGTTGTGCGTTGTTTTTGTTTTTTATTGTGGTTGTTGTTTTTGTTCCTAATGCTTTTGTAGAGTACATCCGTATGAGGAACCGGGTTATGAAGTTTATAAGCTGGAGGATTTTTAAAATCTGGTGAAGCTGATATGCGATATTGTCACTGTGGGAGAGAGATGAGATGCGTAGGAAGAAGAAAAGAACTAGGGTTCTGCTCATTCTGAGGTTTCGCTACGCTCGTCGGCAATAGCGACGATTAGTCTAAGAATGGGTTCTGCTCGTAACCAATGTCTAAGTTACCCGACCTTGGGATGTACGGATTGAAGTATAATTGCGCCCATTGACATTGAAAACTTCTCTATTTTCTCAACTCGGACTCGTCCCGAAGTCCAATCTGTTTCTTGATCGTCGTTGATAAATTAATCTGATCCTTCATTTTCAGACTACAAATCATCTAGCAGGCATCGCTTTCCACCCCTTATGCTACTCGAGTATTCCATTCTATTTTACCACCAATATCCATGCCTTCAAACTCCAATGATCCAATAATCCACAATTCCACAATTCCAAGGTACAAATAGAATAGTAATCCTACACCATTAGATCTCTCTAAAGGTTTTTGGTTTTTGGTTTTTGGTGAATGAGTGAGCTGCTAGTATTGACTTTAGACTTTAGAGAACTACAGTACCGGTATCCGATATTTGACTACAAGTAGGACTGTAGAAGGAACACACACCACTTCGAGATAAATCGCGATGACCGGCACCGGGTTCACCATGAAGATATGGTCAATATTGAACTACGAGATTAAATAACAAGTTCGATATAAGTAGGTAAACCCACATACCAAGGAGTGACAGATTATCTTAGCGAGGATGACATCCATACAAATGAATCAAAACAAAGCACATACGAGTAGATATCTTTTTTAATTTCTCAGAAATAATATTCATAGACATGCAGGTTGCAGCGTCCATCTGGTTGAACAAAAAATCATAACTCATCCTTGAAGATTTCCTCACTACCCTCATCTCCATTCTCATCCTCATCTACAGTTTTATCGCCTTCCCTCTTGTCTCTACTGTTTTTATCTGAATCCTTTTCAATAGGTCTTCCCGCTCCCTTCTCATAACCCTGCCCTGCATCATCCTCAACAATTCCTAAAATCTCTCTCACCTGTCCAGGAACATCTACAACCTCAATTTTCCATCCCTTTTCCCCGGCTAATTTCTTGACTTCCTCCGTCAACTTCTCGATCATTTTCGGATCGAGATCCATCTTAGCCAATTTCTGCTCACTGACGACTTCGATTTGTCCTCCCTCCGCTCGACTCTTGGCCCGCGCAATAACTTCACTTCGACTTTCGTCCTCGCCGAAATTAGCGGGGATAGGTAAACGTTGTCCTTCTTTGCCAATAAAATTACCGGCGCCGACGGTTATACCGCCGATATTTATAGGCTTTGAGGAGGTCGGGATGGTGGATGAGCCAGAAGCGGAGGCGGCTTCGATGCGGGATGGGAGTTCTGAGGAGGGGATGACGGGCTTGCAGATTATGCTGTTGGCTTTGTCTGCTTTGGGGGGCATGAATGCTACATCGTTGCAAAGACGGGGTGTGTATACAACCATAAGGTATGAACAGGTTGTCATTTCTTTGATATAGCCGATGCGATCGGTGACGTGTGGGTTGCAGTGAAACTGAACCTCGACTTGGCGAGGTTTCCCTGTGAGGTCGCAGGTTGTGCCACCTTCCATTTTCTGAACGAGGTAGCGGGTATCGCCCTTTACTTGAAGCTCTGTCTTTGGCGATTCTCCACTTTTGGGTCCTGCATGAGCTTCTATTTGGTTGCCCCATTCGTCCTCCTTACTCCTGCTTTTCGGTGATATCTTCACTCTTCCGAGAACGAATTCTTGGGCTGATGGATCCGGTTGGGGCGGGAATGGGGCCTTTCCAGGTTGTGGAGGTAGTTGATGGAATTGTGTGATTTCATTGTTGTAGCAAAATGAATAAGACCACCATCCTGATACGAAATATAGGCAGTTTCCTTCTAGATCTCCGAGTAACTCCCAGCCACGGTTAGTCGCTCGGGCGAGTTCTTTTTGTTCAGCGGCGCGGGCTTCAGCTTCCGAAGTTTCGTTGCGTGGAGGAAGAGAAACGATGGGAATTGTACAGAGGTGCGCTTCACCATTTAGCCACATGAGCTCGTAGACATGTTTGGAGGGGTCGAATTCATGGTCTTGAATGGGATGTTGGGATTGTATACTTCTGGTGTCGCATGGTTGTGGTGTATCATGAACAGGTGAGGAGGGATGGTTAATTATGAGATCTGCTTCCTGTTCCGAGAGGAAAGAATTCGAAAATACCACTTCATACTATTGTTCGTGAGCTTATGACGACTTTACATCAGAGTGGTTTATGAGCCGGGCGCATACCTGGGGAAATGCGAGCAAGTCATCGTGGACACTGAAAACGCTTTGACTTGCTATTACTATTGAAGTTGTAGCCAGCACGGTTGGAATTAGTTGACGCATTATGCCATATGGCAATTGCGAATTTCAAATGGACAAATCTTCAAATCTTCATCAAAATACAGTTGAAGTCAGGTATGATCGCATTTCCACAAAGCTGTCATGATCTACGGAGTAAAGCGGGCATCGGGATTCGGAGAAACTTGCTCATTTCTTTGCCGGGCCTCCGTACATGTTTTTCCGGATCGCACATGACTTCAATCTGCTGGTTATACTAATGGGAGAGTGATCTTCGTTCGCAACATAACGCATTAATAGGAGCAAATTTAAATCAAGGATATCTTGACCGGCCAACGGTACGATTTGCAACAAGAAAGATTCTCCCCAAAATTCGAAAAACGTACGTCACGTGATGAATCAGAGGTCCAGGACGGGGGAATCTAGCAATCTTACCCACCATGAGAGCTTGAAGAACGAAAAATCCTCTACCGGTATAGGGAACGTAGGATATCTTAATCGGACTTTGAAGTTGAATCTAGATTCTGGGCATTAATCAATTCTATGAGCATCGCCGATGAGAATGAATCAGGCTCTTTACAAGGCATATCTCCTCTAAGGTGACAAGATCACATCTCCCCCATCTCACTCATGCTGTGAAACATGTCTTTGCGACCATCGACTCGGGTCCAGACCCTAGATACAATCTACACAATGTAAAATGTTGAACGCAACGCATCAATCAGGAATGCACCCGGTAGATTCAACAAACTTTGAATATCAAGCCCAGAAAAGGCCGGCGAGATATTGGGCACCACAGCATCCATCGTGCCATCCACGCGATCGATCCCACAAGAGGGTGTGGTGATTGTCCCAAAGGGTATTGCAATGCCCCCCAAACTTTCTCGTACCTTACGTTTACAGCGTACACTTCGTCTGACAACATGGGGGATGGGGAAATGCCGCGTATTCGTGGGGTTTGCACATAGCCATTACAAACAACTATGCTACTTCACTCCATGATAGAAGTCAAATTCAATGCCCGATATGCAAAGGAAATAAGCGGCTACGCCCGACGAGAAAGAGGGAATTTGTTTGTGTTGTTTCTGATCTCATAATCTCACCAATCATCAATCATTGCGTTGACTTGGCCTGATTGGAAAGAATATATCTCAGTTGTCTAGTTGGTTACAACGCAGAACCGATTCAGCCGAGTGACCGTTAAGAGAAGCAAAGGATGTGATGGCTTGTTTTGGGAGGACGGGATTTCCGATGGGTGGACATCAAGGTTTATCTGAGCAGAAGCGGTCGCGATTAAGGCAATCTTAAGAGTTGTATTTAACCTGGGCGAACCATTTTTAGACAGCGTGATGTGTTAGTTCGTATAATCACCGTACGTGTCGAGTCTGTGGTGGAACACGTTGACGAGGTCAAGAAGAACGAATAGGAAGAGAGAATTTCAATCCCTTTTGATTGGAACATAAAATGTGAGGCGAACTGGCGAACTGGCGAACTAACGAATTGTTGCCTTAATTTCCAAGGTTGTTAAGCATGTCTCTTCGAAACGAGCCAATCGGGTCAAGCCGCAGTTTTGACAGGATGGATCCCATTCGTCGCTTCACTTTTTTTTTCTTCTAGAAGGGTTTAGGTCTTCTTCTTTTGTCAATAAGAATAAGACAGGGGGAATAAAATTGTTTATGCAAAGTTCTCAAACACAAATTCGGCTTCATTGGGCGATATAAAAAGATTCGGTATAGGAAATTGATAATACCGGTAGGTGAAGGGGAAGGGGAAGGGGAAGATAAGGGGAAAGAAATTGAACAGATACCGGTACCGGGTACATCAAATTGTGATGATCTTTGTTGTGATAAAAACGAAAGAGTATCGATATCCATCTTTATACGGAGTAGACTGATGACTTAGTTATATCGGGAGTTAGTAGATACCAGCTAGATATTGATCATGAGACCGGAGGATTTTCCGATAAGACCGATGTAGTGACTGAGTAAACTTGTTAAGGTAAAGATTGAAGTCGATCAGTAGTTCTAGAGTTATGATAAGGCTTGAGATCATTTTTGATAACCGCGAATGCCCTCAAAATGCCCAAATGTAACTGTCAGCACTTGAGCCAGCACATAGATTATCAATCTAATTAATCCAGTCAATGATTTAATTGAGGAAAATGTTGTGAACTCTCATATCTATATGATATGATTATCTGATGGATAATAATACTTAATAAAACGCAAAATGTCTTGCTTCTAAGTTCTACCTACCTAGGTAATATTCAAAACCTAGTAGGTACTTCTTTTAGGGGTGTGTATATCATTAATTACTATATATAACCTAACGACAACCACAACTTAGAGTACACCCACTACAACCACACTCACCATATGGATAAAGATTGGACCACAACAATCATGAACTCACATCCACAACTTCCATCCACAGCAAACTCCATCCTTTCCTCTTACAGCCTAGTCTTCATCATTATTTTAATCCCTTATCCCATACGAATATCTACGATACGAGAGAGAAGTCTAGAATACATCCACCCAAACATCCATCCATAGTTTCAACTTTCCATACGAGTACATCCCATCTCATAACCCATCTCATACCATGATACATCCCACATCCCAAACCGTTCGGTACATGCCCCCATTGCCCATATCATCATTTTGTATAACCTCAAAAACAACCTAATCTGTCTCGTCATCAAAATTTATCCCAACCCACACTTCATCCGTTACTCTGCCGTGCCATCCATATCCCCGATCTCAAATCTCTGTGAGCCCCATTTTACCATGTTGCGCTGTCCAAACAATACATAGTTCGCCTTTCCCATTTCCATAATCTTTCACTTCATTATTTTCGCCTTACTTTTATGCCTCTCTATCTTCTCATATCGATAATTCATACTGCGAACTTGTCATTGCCTTCACCGTTCGTAACATTGTTACTTTCATCCTACATCCATACGTATGTCATGGATCCTAATGTTCATCATTCAACTCTTCTCTGCAGCACCCACTACTGTACGATACATGCTGGTGATCATACCATTTGCTAACTATGTGTGAGGCTACAGACAACGTTACAAACCCACGATACCTTCTCCACTATCATACTCCATCGATTCGAAAAGTATCTTTAAGATTACCTAACAAACTCGAATAGACATCTGCGATGTCGTCCCAGTTAAGGCTCGATACTTCTTCAGTGGATCAGGATCAACTTCAATTCCTTCTGGCACAGCAAGAACAAATCCAAGCCCAAATCGCATCTCTCACATCCGGTTCTTTTTCGACATCGACCTCATCCTTTCCACAACACAGGTCTCCCATATACAAACAACAAATACATCGAAGGCGCAATGTCCCCCGAAGCATGTCAAGCAGCGGAGCTCCCATGGCCCGACAGCCATCCTCTGTAGGAGTTCCCCTTTGGTTCCCCTCCCTAAGCTGGTTCTAATGATACTTAGGACCGGATTAAAACACCGGCGATAACAAGGACAATATCCCAACAATCCGAGCCTGCCATGGTGCGAACGAGTTCTATGTGTAGTACGTCCGCACGCCCCGGAAAACTCCCTTTCACCCAGAACGGTGCGATGCCTCCTCCACTTCAGAATGATCAGCGTCGAGGAAACCCCGCCTTCGAAGCTTGGGTTAACCAAGATCAGCCCTTAAGCTCTTACACCTTCTCGCATCAACCCCCAGCTCCTCCCCTCCAGCGGTCCATGTCTCAACGGAAACCGGAATTAGAACAGGTTTTGGAGGTTCCACAAGGTTTTGAGAACCCCGGCGACTTTCTTCTTCGTAACGGCTTTACTGGTGTCTCACCAACACCAGTCTTCTCGATCACACCCTCGCCTGTGTTGATGCAGTCTTCAACGCCAATGCAAAATCAACAGTCTCGACAGTCATTCAACATGTCAAGCACACCTACAACAACAACTCTAACCGATGCAACTACGTATACAAGTAACATGAGTCGGCAAAACAGTCTCTTCAATGAGCCTCTGGTGGAAAGTATTGAAATGATGAAGTTCAATTCAAACAATTCCTTTTCTACAGGCATCAATCATGATGATTTTGTTTATCCCGTTGCTCCTCAGTATAGTTCTTCTCATCATAGTCGTCGGTCTTCCGACGAGGAACAGACTCAACTACTTGTTGGGGCTGGCGGTGTTGGCAATGATTCTCAGTTCTCTTTTTCTTTTCCTTGCACGGAAGCATTTGCTCAGTCTCAAATATCTGCATCTTTTGGTGAAAAGATGGAAAAGTCACAATCGATTGAAAGTGTTTCATCGAGCATGTCATCATCATCCCGCAATAAGCAGCGGCTACAAGTCAGTAACATGGCCGCTGCACGACTACTCATGCCCAAAGGTGGCTATGAAGATAATTCGATGTTTCGAGTCAACTCGTCACAATCAATGACTCGACTCGATTCGAAAGATGGGTCAAATGATAAGGTTGCAATCGAAAAACGTGCTTATCAGCGACCCAAACACGAACGTGTGTTTTGCAAGTTGTGTGATGAACACCCTGATGGGTTTCGTGGCGAACATGAGCTTCGAAGACATTGCGATCGACAACATAAGAGAATGGTGAAGAAGTGGGTTTGCATTGAACCCCCAAGCGGTCAAGGACGTGAGAAGCCTGTGCTACCGCTTTCAAAATGCAAGGCATGCGCAACACAAAAAAAGAAGTATGGAGCATACTATAATGCTGCCGCACATCTTAGACGGGCGCATTTCAAGCCAAAGTCTAAGGGTAGAAACAAGAGTAGCAAAGTTGAGGATTCTCAAAAGCGTGGCGGGAAGGCCGGAGGAGACTGGCCTCCCATGTCAGAGTTGAAGAATTGGTTCAAAGAAGTGGAAGAACCAGCAGCAGATTACACTCAGCAAGAAGAGAACGATGACGAAGAAGACATGAGCGAAAACATGTTCGACGATATAGCGCCAAACGATCACACACCAACCGAGTTCGACAATGCTTTCAACAATGCTTCGATGACCGGTCTATATCCCTCGATCAATACACAAAACTACGTCAACAACACTACTTTCGACAATGCGATGCGACAGAACACTAATTTGTCAATAAACTTTCCAGGTCAAATAACCTTTGACTTATCCTTTCCTATGAATGAACCATCAGTGGCATTCTTTGATGCTACTTCTTCTCTTCCTCAAGTTTTTGATAATCAATCACTTGTCGGCGTCGATCCTGTAAATTTTTCTTATGATTCATCTCTTTCATTCAATTAGGTATAATTCCTACTCATTCATAATGGTATGGTTCGAGTAAGGTGTGATTATAATTTTCCTTTTTACCGTTATTATTTTGGCAATTCATTGGTTAGATGAATTGGGAGATCTAGATAGGCAGGCGCACTCTTTTTCTTTTTTTCCACTATTTCTTCCTTCTCACTCACGGCTGTTATGAGTAATGAACTGAATATCATGGCGGAGGTATTTTCTTTCTTTCTTTCTTTCTTTGGCTGGATTGGGCTGGGCTGGGTATTATAAGGCGTTTACTTTCGACGACTAGTAAAGAGTTGTCGTGGATTGGATGGCATTATACCTATAGTAATAACTTGACTATACACAAGTTTATTTCTCTGTCTTGATCGAGTTATATAAATCGACTTTAGATATCGACTTTGGATATCGGAGAAGTTGGGGGGGGGGGGGGGGGGGGGGTTCGGTTAAACTGGATGGGCGAAGCAAGACCATTGCTTGGCTCGAATTAGATTACTGTGTTAACACATTGCGAATGGGCTCTCGGCTCTTTTTGTATATACTTGATAATCGCGCCAGCGTCAGCTCCAATAATGAATGTAGAGCTTTTGTTCTTCAAATGTGCTATGCTGCGTTTTTTTGTTTTGTGTGGTTTGTTGTGTTGTGTTGATTTGTGAATTGTAAAATTTTAGTGTAGTGTAGTGTGGTTGGTTATTAGAATTGGTTTGATTTGACTTGTTGATGTTTTTGGGTTTTGGATTTTGGGGTTTGAATTTTGGATTGGAAGATGAATTGGAGGATGTATGGGTGAGGATGTATGAGGACGTATGAGGATGTATGAGGATGAGCTTCTGATGCTTGATTTTGAGGATTGATGCTGATATGGGTGTGGGTGTGGATGCGGGTGTGGATGCGGTAGTCAGTCAGTCATGTACTTTTTGGGTGGGATTTTGAAATTATTGATAGTGGTTGGTTGGGAGTGGAAGGGAGTGGAAGAGAGATATTGGAGCATGTTGGGGGGGTTGGGACGTGAGGATGAGGATGAGGAATCGGGAGAAATAGGACAGGGGTAGATTTTTAAGGAAGTGAGAAGAGAAGAGAAGAAAAAAGAGGCAGGATATGGAGGAGATGGTGGAGATGCTGCAGATGCTACAAATGCTAGAGATAATGAACCTTTGAGATCGGGAGAATACTTGAAGTGTGCTGAGGATCTGAGGATCTCGGATCTCTAGGGAGTAGGTTAAGGTGTTAGGGTTAGGGAGGATAGCTCTGCCAGTATCATGATAGAATAGTTTCTCTACCTTTGAGCATGGCATGGGACGGTACTTAAATCATAGACCACAACTTGAGTCGCGCGGCGTCGAAACGGCAGCCACCGCGACCGCGATGTTCACTCGGAGAAGAGCGGGAGCCTGGGTCTTATCACCTTCGAGCATCATACCGTACGTAAGATCTTACCATCGCCTGAATCAGAAGCGCTATCCTTCAAAGCAGTGTCGTCTTCGATGAGTTTTGAGTCTCCTCGCAAAGAAGCGACTGGCAATCATTGCTTGTGCTTGTGCTTGTGCTTGTGCTTGCGCTTGTGCTTGCTTGATCAAGGGTACCAATGTTGACTTGGAAGTTAGGTTTCATTGTTTAGATTCATTGAAAGTACCGGTATTGATGGAATATGGAAGCGCGTTTTTTTTTGTGGTGTCTGCGATATGATTGTGTGGACTTGAATCGCTACGATACAACGGCGTCGGCGAAGGACGGTCATTCATTCATACCTGTCTTTGTAGCTGGAGAATGAAGAGTAACTAACCAGTGTGGGCAGTAAGTAGTACGAAGCGGTTATAACTTATTAAATTGGCAGTTTGGAGGGTCGTAGTTTAACTGCCAGTTGGAATCACGCAAGCTAAACCAACTGCTAGCTGAATATCAATAAACTGAACTGTCAGTCTAACCAGATTTTCAGTTCAATTAATTAGCTACTGCCTACACTGAGAGCAATCATCTGCAAAATCTGTGGGCTTCAGTCAAGTTCTTCGAGGTTTTAACTAAACAAGGGGGAAGAGAAACGTTGAGGAGAGAGGGAATCAGAGGAGCTTGGTGTGTTCTGTATACAGGAGGCGTAACAACGATTGATGGTAAAGTTATCTTGGGTCGACTTGAATCTGGAAAGTAAATCCTTGATACCCATATTAAGCGGTGAAAAGTGAAGGACTATACATCGTACCCGATGCGAATTGATCGATTCCGCGGTACACGATCCATCCATATTGATAGTTAGAAGCCAAGTCCGATACTTCATCTCTGTTCTCATCGAGGTGAGGCAGCCACCAACCATACTTGTGTCATGATTCGAGTTTCATCCGTCAACGCGTTAGATTCATATGATATGACAGAAAACGCTCCCCGCTTGTGAGATTTCAAGATTCGAAGCACCACGTTAAGCGAACCCATTCTTGACCAAAAATAGGACCGATTAAATGTTTCTTTAAGAGGAGAGGAAACCATCATGCTTTTGTCTTGGATTGAGTTTCGTGCGCCTGACTAACACCTTATTCGACACTTTCGAATATGCATATCTATGATTCTATCGAATTTTTGGAATGCCATTCTCCGTCGAAAAAGAGTGAGTGTTTGATGAGATGAGGAAAGATTGAATATATTTCGAGGATTTGACAGCAGCACAGGTTTGTACCTCATTCTACATGGGCAGCATAGCGTATTTAGTGAAGAGTACCCTGGGTAGCGAAGATTCCCTTTGCATTTTTGACACGATCTCGTCATCCATGATGAGAAGGGTGATCAAGGCGCCGGCCACTTCGCTCGAACATCGTTCATCTTTGTTTTTTCAACAGAAACAATATCTAATTCATTGCACCGCCATCTCCATCCTCTAAAGAATTATCGAGTATCTTAGGATCGATCATTTCCAGCAGTAAAAATGGCATTACCGGAGAGGATCCGCATTTGCGTTATGTTTCATTCATTTCATTTCCCCCATATGATATAATTATATCTTAACGATTTTACCCGAAAGAGGAAGAGGAAGAGGAAATGGCGATTGATCTTCTCTCTATATTTCAGGGTCAGCAATAGCAATTACAATACCAGCTCTTCCTCAGCTAGCTAAAATCTCCGAGAAGCTTACCTGACCTTGCATTCGGCCATTTCTTCAGCAGAGAGGGTAATGTAATGTAATGGAAGCCATGACAAAAGTTCACCTTCTCACAGCCAGCCAGCCATACGAAGCACACTACTTGCACTGGCACGTAACAATCCGTGATCGCGAGATAAGGACAAAACCTTTCGTAACATGATCCAAGTGCTTCCGATAAGAATTTGTCCCTCACAGGAGCAGAATCTCGCAAAGACCTCAACAAGATGAATGATGCACTGTTAGACAGTCAAAGACGTATGTAATGTTGCTCGAGCCTCGAGGAAGCACTTGATTGATGTTCTCTCTCGTTCTGACGATGCATGCACCAAGGAAATTTCCCAGCTTCTTGGGGTCGGCGGATCCAGAGCTTGACTTAGAGAAAGCTTGGGAGTAGTTGCTTGTACAGCAAGCAGCCTTACACTGCTTGTTGTCTGCACTAGTGTTTCCGGGGATTTCGAAACCTGTTGTGATTGTTCGCTCGTTTGCTCGTCGGTTCTTATATTGATGTAGCTGGCTGCTGTGTAAATTCTCCTGGCACTTGTACATCATAAAGTGTAGCACATGGACGAGTGATCTAACTACCCCATCATTAGCTTAAACATTTCGGATACAAGCACAATTCTTGAGTCACAGCCACAGCTGCAATTTAATTAGTCTTTTCAGAACAGGAGGAAAACAGGAAGATGGCATGTTGAGAAATTATTGGATTAAAAGCTAGAGTGGAGACGCCGACAAATGCTCAGAAGGAAAACACGAACGATGCAGTCCCAGGGTATCCCAACCAATACGCTCTATGAACTCCTCCAGACAAACCAGCCCATTCCCAGGGTCCCCCCAGCCAAATCAAACCAAATCCATCCAAGCACACCCACCCCCCACGTGTGAGCCAGGCGCCTAAGCTCTTGGTTGATCGTGAGCATGAGTCATGTAGTAGGCATCCCACGCATTCTTGTGATTCTCACCCCACTTGGTCTTGAAGTTGGACTTCTTGAAGGGAGCCACCCCGTTGGCAGCACGCCAGTCGCGGATGGCAACGTACTCATCGCGAGAGATACGCACAGGCTTCTTTTCGCCCGCTGGCACGTTGGCAAAGGTCTTCAAAGGCTTGTAGGCAGAGCCGCGGACCATCTTGACTTCGTCTTCCGTGACACAGGGTCGGGGGGTGAGGAATTCGTGGCGGAACTCGTACTTGGGTGTACCGCCGGGGCAGCGAGGAATATCGTCGCGGCGGGTAAGAGGGACGGGACGAGTGTATTCTGGGAGAAACATGTTGTACTCCGGTCCATACGTAGTGGGCTGAGACATATTGGACAACTAGACTATAAGATGACTTGAGGTTAACGAGATTGATCGACAGGGAAAGATGGTTGAAACGTGTATTGTGAGAGGGGGACAGGAGATAGAGCCACAATGTTCAACTTGAACTCGTAGCTCAAGCAATATCAGTCAAGTGGAATGACGCAATAAGCTTCCGTTCCTTGACTTTTGCATGGACATGCTAGCTCTGGGATGAGAAGGCATAGCATAGAGTGCTTTTGGAGCTCTTCAATGTGCAGTGTAAACTAGCACATTGAGTGATGCTGCCTTAGCCAAACATATCGAAAGCTTCCAGTCTTTGACCTTGACTTGATAATGCTAGCGGTGGGTTGATAAATAAGAGAAGAGAATGCTTTGGAACTCTTCGTTGTGCAGTTTGAACCGACACAACGAGATGCTGTACACCAAACAAAGCAGATTGAGGGCTTCCAGTATCCTTGCTATACCAGTACAATACAAGTATCGCGCTGAATAGTATAGGCGCAGAAGCTCTCAATGCCATTGTCATAGCTGTTGAATATGGGCAAGAGAACAAAGACAATAGGGTGAGAAGTTCCTAAAGTCCAAGCTATGCCAATACAATGTGGTGCAGGGTATGAAGAATAAGTGGGGAGGGGAGGAGGGGGGGCATGAAGAGTTAAGACTTACCGGCGCGGGAGAGGGTAGAACGAATTTATCGCAGGTTTAAAAGCTCGAAAATCTGCAAGAACAGCGCGAAAGGGGGATCTTTGTGCGTTCTCTCGTTATTGTGGACTATATGCTTGCTGTCAGCTATATTTGATCAAATTGGAGCCTCAACAGTGGGTTTCTTACCTTTGTGTGTTTGTGTGTGTCGTGTTTGAGGAAGGAAGGAATCTTAAACATGGTCGAGAGAACTATAATAAATACAAAAGCAGAATGAAGTTTATTCGACTAATGCAAGCCATTCTATTGGCTGCACCGACGAGATTTGATATTTGAACGGCCGAGGAGCCGAGCTGTCTCTTAAATTACATCTACTTCCAAGACAACAAGGTTCTGAGCCACTTCTCGAAGGCTTATAGGTTTGTTTATTATTGCTATGAACACGTGGATACCTTGATTGACACAATTCTGACTCATACTATCATCTTCCAAGGAGAACAAGAGGCAAATTCAATACAATTCACCCCATTGCCTCATGGTGTCATGAAAAATTCCGATCAAAAACAATACCCTTTCATCAATCGGGAAATTATAAAACACAATCTAAGATATTAACAGTGAATATGAAAGGACTCCATCATGAAGTTGTGTATGAATCTACCCAAATGAATTTCTACCGTCATGCTAGCATATTCTAGGAGACTCCTCATCATACAGTATTGAATAAAATTTTAATAAACAGGAGTTTCATTCATAATTGATTTCAGTCTTTATGTGATACTAATACTAAGAATATATTTATGTATTTCTGAGCCAAATATGAACTTAATTGAACTCTATAATACATTCAACATGAACCAACAATTGTGACACCAAATCCCTTCTAGAATCCAATCGAATCTGCAAAGTGAAATTAATGTTTAATTGAAAGCCTAGGTCCGACACATAGTGAATAGAGGTCAAGATGATTGCGAGGCAACAGCACAATACCAAGAAATGACGTTGAAGTAAAACGGCATTTTCCTCATTGGCAAGGGAGCCGAAATAACCCCGACCAAGGTAAGTATTCAGACGACATCAAAGTATGTTTGTTCTTGTTGGGACTTAATTGATACCAAACAAAAGACAATGAACTGTTTGTATGTGTAAAAACCCATATGTGGCCATCTTTGAGGACAAGTGCTACTCTCCATATCACTTCTTTCATATCTACCAACACAACCCTTCACACATTTCCCATATCTGGGGTTCTAGGAACATCAACACACTCGTATTTTTCTTACAGATGCCGTGAACTACACAAGCCTGACATCACCTCCCAGAAGCAATTGTGAGGATCTCAAGATGGCAATGGTTCCTTGGAAACCTGAAGAATAACAAGAGATACATCCCAGAACCCAGAACCCAGAACCCGTTTCCCAAACCTAATTCTTTGCATATATTTCACTTCTGCAATCTTATGACGTCTTATGATAGATATACTACTACTTTACAAACTTTGCAAAGATCCAACAGCACAAACATGTCTCTTTCACGAGGCTGAATTGGAATTGAAGATTGGACAGAAGTGATTTGAGGCAACAAATCCAAAGCACTCCTGACTAGGGAGCACAAATAAAAGGCAGCGGTTCGTTGATCTCCTGCTAGAGTAACGATTCATAGCTTTGGAAGGGGGTGAGGACCCTAGAAGTTGCCAAAGCATAGCACCACATCTTCAATTGAGTCACAATTCCTCGATATACCTACTGCGGCAACTACATGTCTGAAATTACTGAAACCAGACCAGTCTCAAGTGTCCGTATTTATGCAGCCATTGAGGCCTTGCTGGAGCAACGCCTACCATTCAGAACCAAGATGGTTGATAATCGGAATCCGGGGGTAGAAACTGATTGATATCCGCAGGTTGGTCGCCAGGTATCTCAAACTGACTGCTTCGGGTGTTGATTCAAAATACTCTGCACATAGATGCGTACTCATTACACGCCACCCTCCCTGAAATCGAATACTAACATCTATCCTTTCAGAAAACATGTCATCGAGTGTGTTCTTTCCAGCTCCTATTCTGCCTTCTGCAGTGCTACCATTCAAAAATAGCCATTTCAACCAAACAATTAATTGCCTCGTATCAAACAATTGTCGTCAATTGTGGGCTGCAGTTTTTGGTCATGTTTCCAAATTGACCCAGCAGGAGCTACTGGTATTCAGACAGAGAAGGCCTTGAGGTATCAAAAATGACATATCGCATCTCCGGATGGTGTGAGTTTCTAGCCTGGACACAGAGACAGCAACACACGATATCAGGAATCAGAAATATCATTCCACAGTTCCTTCAAGGTGGGATGCCGCTATCCGTTTCCACTCTTCAAGCCAAGCACGGAAAGTCTCTGGAATGTGATGATTGAGTATCTATCAGTTTTCTCCAAGAACCTTCATCGTAGATGGATGTGCTCTCAACTACAAACAGATATGCATGATGTACATAAGTTGGAAGTGATGATACCAAAGTTGGATCTCACTCAAGCTGCTCCGATCATTCGATCGAACTCGGCCTCTGCATCTCTTCCTCCAGTCGTTACACAATAAGCGCAAGGATCGGACTGGCATCGGCATCGGTATCGGAATAGCATCGGCATAGTATTGGCGTCGACACGGCATCGGCATCGATACGAAAGCTCCTGATATTTTCCAATTCCGATTGACCTGTCGAATTACCAAACTTTATGCGATATTGTACTAATACCACTCCTAGTCTCTCTACAATGTTCCTGTACTCAATGCCTACTCCATCTTCTCGACAAGTCATGCGTGTTGCTGTTTCTTGCCTTCCGGCGGTACAATATTGGAACCCTCAATTCGGTTCATGTTCATGTCGGGCAGGGGCATCTTTGCTAATCGGAAGATGGATAATTTTTTCTTTCAGCTGGCTCCGATATAACATCCTTGGAAGCTGCAGAGTTGATGGCAATGAGGGTGAAGGTCCTGAGTACATCATGTCGAGACTTTTGACTGCGTGTCAACGTGGGGACGGCAACATGTGATAGCTCCCGGTCGACCTAACACTGGCTTCATGAGTGTAGAAATATTATTGTGCCAAGTCTGATACAATTGGAGAGTGGTGTGGTTTAAATGCAATCGCTTTCCTTTTAAGGACTGGTGGGATTTTATGTTGGTAATTCAAAACGATGGGGAGATTGATGTTTGAATTGATAACCATGGCATGGCCTGTCGCGGATATAATGAAATTCTGGAAAGTCCAAAAGACATGAAAAAGCTTAGGATTGATAGGATTGATTACTGATCTAATGTTGCGTTTCTCAATCAAAGTTGCAATCATCTAGCATAATCTTCTATGTGTACCGGGTTGCTGAGTAATAGATCTTTCATACCCGGTTAAAAGCCGGATATGCTGATTTCTGTTGGATCATCGTGTTCTTTCAACCAATCCAACGAGACCAACAGTTGGTTCTACACTCTATTTCAACGTTCAGTTATGTTGATGGCTTATGATATCGATACGCTAATCTCCTTCCAAGATCTGTTTCCTTCTCTATTCCTTCAGCTTGCTTCAATAACGAGATTCAAATCTTCAAATTGGTTACATTATAATGTTAATGTGGAATGGGGGGTAACCGTTAACGGGCTGAGGACCTGGGGGTTCGGGTTCATTAAACTAGTTTGACTAAGATCTACGAATACTGTAACTTCAATTCCCATCCTACTCATAGAACAAGATGATCACTAATCTAATTACAAGAGAAATTGTATGAATGTAATATCACATCTTTTGAAGCCCTACAAACGCCATGAACTCTATATACTCGAGTACCGGCGGTAGTATAGAATATTTAGTATGATTATAAGAGCTGAAAAGATGCTTTCCTTGTCAAAAAACACGGTTTAAACACCTCGGTCCTCCTCGGTTACCTCCTAGGAGGGTAACTAATGTAGCCTCTAAATGAATACTGTGGGTCAATATGATTTGTACATAGGTAGGGTAGGTTGTATCATTATATCGATCCAGAACGTTTCCCTCCACGATTCCTAAATCGAATTAACTTAAATTTCCAAATAGATCTACCAAAAGTCTCTATTATTTCCAAATAAGTCCTCAAACAGCACGGAGACGTACTTCACGACCCAATCCACATCACTTCGGCACCTCGATTTGAACAAATCAATGGATCTTGCCAATGCCATCAACAAATCGTATTTTTCCGCATCGTCTTCGCCAGTATTCTCCTTTATTTCTCCCTAATACAGCATACGAGTCTGTTTAGTGATACGTATCACAATTGTCGGGAATAAGCCGAAATAGACCGAATGGTGCTGTTACATACACTGTCACTGGAAATACTGTTTTAGATTCCATGACGCTGCGACTGGCGAGATACGGGAATACGAGAATCTAGCTTGAAATATAGAATATGGCTTGGATTGCTTCATTATTTCCTAGTCAGGATGAATATATATATACCGGTATATGTGTTGATGGGTAAACAATCCTCATATCATGGAATCCAGTCGAAGTTCAGTATTTCTGTATCTTGCCAGTTGTTTTTGTATATTAGTACAGTATATTACTAGTACAGTGCATCTGTGAGCAGACCTGCGTACGAATCCCCTAGGGCCTAGACTATGTAACTGCGAGCCTGGGCCCTTCAACGACCCCGGTCTTCATTTTAATCACACTCATCTAAATACTGGCACGCTCGATCGAGATCCACTCCCTGAAACTTGGGCGAGTAGAATTTTTCACCGGCACCTGACACACCGGCACCTGACACTTGGACTTTTAAAGAACATTTGAAGTCATTTTGGAGAAGAAAACAGGAGAAGATTTTGAAGGGTATAAACGTGTTAGAGCTCCATATCTTATATTTAAACCCGAAGTTGAAATGGTTTAGTCGCTTATACCCTTCGAGATTAAAATATTTTTTTAGTTTATAGCTTGAGTTGAAATGCACTTGAGTTGAAAGGGCAAACATTTCATCTCAAGAGTAATGTTGCCAACGCAGGAACTGAAGCCATCCATATACTGTACTGTACTCAAAAGAATCTACAGAAACAAGCCGGGGATACTGTTACATGTGAGATCTTATTGATTGCAATCTAAGCTGTTCTGGATATAGCTGTTCTGGATATAGCTGTTCTTAATTTAGTAATGACATCGGTGGACTGGTGGGAAAGTTAAGCCACGAAAGTTGAAACTCAGGGAAGAAACCTGCCAGAGCAGCTGAAGAGCCTGTACGTTGAGTATGCCTGAACAATTTCCTCCATCGTCCATTGTTGGATCCTTTCTAACAAAGTGTCTGGAGATCCTTTTGAAATAATGATGCCGTTGCTTGTCTCTCAGTCAATGGAACTCCGGATTTGTATTCTCTACTTAATTATGTGGGTGTTTTGCTAATAACAGAAGCATTACTCAAGTTCAAGTTCAAGTTGGCAATAACGATAAGAAGCTTTTCGGTTGAAAATGCCACAAAGGTGGCTAGGGTTGCTCTGTCGCAAGTTTAACCATTCCAATTTCGGTGTCCTGTTGGCAGATTAAGGCGGGAGGGAGGGGTAAGCATGCAGGATCAATAACAGAAGTCTGCACTGCGTTTCAAATTTGAAAGCCTATAATGGTCGAAAAGGGTTGAATCCTTGGGTAAAGCTTAATAACCTGAGTGCATTCATGGAACCAAATGATCCAAGCACCCAAAATCTTTTAGCACTCCGGACGGTTGGAACACGGGGTCAAGTACTGTAACACATCCAGGGGCCTAAGTTACTTGTCCTATCAATAGATTCAATGCTAATCTCCGATCTACTGTGTGCGCCACGTGTATGCCAGTGCGCAGAAACTCAAACCTGCAAATGGTATGATATGAAATGAAGACGAGGCTACTCTGCTGCCCATGATGTCCTCGACAGACAGTGTAGTATTCTGTTATGCGCATCAAACTCAACATGCATGATAAAATGTAAATAACATGGAGGGAAACGTAAGTTTAATTTAAATGAGGGGAGTGCAGAACCGATTTCAGATCCAAAATCCAAATGATTTCAATAAGATTGAAGACGCGAAAGCCACTTGACGCGGAAACCTTTCGAAAAGATAGCCCGAGAGCGAAACATGAGCAACTGCGACAGCGTGACAACATGGTACATTGAGAACCTACCCACCGTCGCTAGATAAATCAGCCAACTCTCGGCCCCGTGATCCTATGGAGGGGGAGGGGGGGCTCGCCTCCTCGCTAGTGACCACACCCGTGTCACTGTGCAGGTAGTGCTAGTTGACGTACGGGGATTCCCGAAAAATGGGGTGAGTTGGGCCCCGAGTTCTTCTAGTTGGTTCGGATACTCGCGTGGCGCATGTGTAATTTTGACCAAATATGGAGAAATGAAAAAGGGGGGATTAGCTCAAGGCTGTGCCAAGGGTTCCAAAATATGATAACCACAGAAAATTTGGGAAAATTAGCGATGAAAGTAGGTTTTTCAAACTGTTTTAACTGGGTTTAGCGTTGGGAAGAGTCTAAGAGTAGTCAATCTTAACTAACTGTATGATTTATTCTGAGAGCTTTACTTTAACCGGCCTTTTTTATTTTTATTTTTTACAATTCTGGGTGTTTAATTAACTGATGCTTCAGGTTGATATAATTACCTAATATTCATATCCCCAGAGAGTACGAGTATGAAAATAGGAACATGAAGTAGGCAACAAATCTTAAGCCATTGGTTTTTGCCCAATAAATCCATTCAGTTCAAAAGCGCCATTCGATCGATCTTGCAAATTATTCTACTTAATTACCTTCATCTAGGCAACTTTATTGGAAGATGGGTGTGGGAGTTTGGGATGTGGTTTCTATTTCCATACTTTCTGGAGGCATGCGTGCGTACCTTTAGCCTGATTGTTCTAGATCGTATAAAACTAAACCTACCAAGCCATTAAAACCTGGAAATCTTGGACACCCAGTATCTAGATCGATCTGAACCCCCGCAGTAGTGGCTTTTGAGGGTTCTCGGCTTGCCTTATGCAGTGATAGTAAGCCTGTTTGAAAACTCGTGATACTATTCGACAAAAGTAGTCTACAGTAGAATGCAAATGCCTCGGAAAATTCATCGCGTTTAATCTGACCGACATACACACGGTCCAAATATAAGCATATACTGATTGTAGAAGAGAATACTTGAATCTTTCTTTCTGGAGATAGAAATGGTATTATGATACTAAAACACTTTTGAAGCTCCAATTCTGATCCAAAGAACACTCGTTGACTGTCTCCTCAATCGACAAATGAATAAAGCTCCGATATTGCAAACATTGACCCAATGATCCCCAGAGCACCGAAGAAGTCCCGTTATCATCATGATATTCGTAACAGTTCCACCAAAGTATCACATGTGCCCATGGCTTAACTCCTATCCCATCGCAACAAAGGAACTCGTAAAGATCGTGAACTTCATATGCGCTACGCCAACCACAGCCGCGACCCATCCTTCAGAGTACTAAAGATCTCTAACCGGATCATAAGGCTTGACCTGTCCATTGTCTCGAGCGACCGACGATGTGTACACTGCGTATGAGGATGTGTACGGTGCATACGTTTGACTCGATGAGTAAGTGCCATATTCACTGGTAGACGAATTAGGTTCTAAGGGTAAGCGTCAGTATCCTAGAACAGAATGGATATGGGGGCAGGAAGATACACACCAGTGGGAGAATAGTCGTACCCCTGGCCTTCTCCTGTCTATAGTTAGAAGGGAGCTCCAAATCTTGATTCAGTGCTTGACTAGTGCCAATACTACTGTGCAAAGGGTCTTTCATGCAAGTCTAAGCCATGCATACGTTTCACAAGTATCTTCCCTTCGCTTCTGCTCGTGTGGATGATTGTGGAAGGTAATGGTTATCATACATACCTGTATTCATGGACGCACCTGGATAATACGAAGAGTAACTGTGGTGGTCCTCGACTTCGTGTACTGTTCTGTGATGTGTGTAATATGTGTGGTGCGAATGTCGATGACTATGATGATGATGTTGTGGTGGAGGAGCCGCGGAATGAAATGTGACCGTATCCCTATTATCTGCTTTCAAATTGCGGTTCCTCCCATCGCGATAGCGGAATTTGTGATATAAAAACCATCGAGCGATCCAATTTGGACAGTCAGGCGTTGGCCTGGCTAAGTTCCAGTAGTATACAGTCTCATCAGTCCCTCCTTGTGCTATCAATTTCATGGCCTCATCCTTCGATCTCTCGACAATATCGCTCCAATCGTACGGAGGTTTTCCTTTGCAGTTCTTCTTGAGGTGACCTTTCTTCGATATAAGCCACCTATAAACCTTATCCGTCTCCTTCTATATTTCCCAAGATAAGTAAGCACTTTACTGATTAAGCTTCTCAATTTGGTAATGGGGGCTTATTGGTTGAAGTGAATGCTTACCGCCATCAGGGTATAAGTCTCTGCACCGATGTTGAGGTGCTTTACCAGGTCGTCTTTTGTTTGACTCATTGCCAAAGGGCCTAGGTCGATTGAAGCCATAATGAGGCTTGTCGAATAACCGCTTTTTCGAAGACTAGAGGTGCAGTCTTGATAGAGGGGATTGCAATGCTCATAGCGAACTTACGAGACTATGGGTAGAACTATACGTAGCCGCGTTGCGCGCAGGGCTTTGCGTATTACAGAGTGGCGAACTGGAGGTTTACAAGCACTCATAGAGGATTGGCCAGTGCCAAATTCGAGTCTGGGAAGCCCGCATCTCCCAATGCATGACATGATGGCATGGTATCATTGACCCCCTGGTTCCTTTGGCGTGAGGAGAAAGAGAGGCATGTGGCAGGGAGACAAATATTGGTTGGGACATCTACTGATGGAACTGTGGCAGAAATGTGTTCACCAATGATTTTTTAGCTTGCATGGGAACAAATGAGTAAAAATCCTAGTCAAGTAATGAACGAGGATTGGCCGGAAACGGATGCCGTCCATCTCAAGTTCGGACAACCGACTGATGTCGGAGAGGTTCCCGACGCCGAAACTACTTCCTCAAGTCGGAATTCTCCCAGAGACTCTCCCAAAAACTACTCAGTTGCACAGAAGACCCTGCATAGCCATTTTAATGGCGTTATAAACTTAAACGTCGCTATGAGCGGGACTTCTACAGAAAAGCAAGTGACGTAAGAAATCCGTTGAATTCCGTTGAACGTATTTGACTGTCGTATTACCTCAGGTTAGGATCTCTTTGCTCATCTCTTTTGCTCACAAGAAAAACAAGAAACAGCTCCCCTGGACCTGGAAGCTCTTAAATTACAAACAGCTAATTTTCCTGCATCTCAAACTACTTGTAGTGCCCGTTTCAATATCTAACGGCAGGTGCTACCGTTTTTGGCAATGCTTGGTAAGATTGTAATTGGGAATGACCACTCTTGGCCTAGGATGAATAAAGTAATAGATCTACTTTCTGATCTGATAAGAGCTGACAAGACATAAGGCAAAACAAACCCGATACTACAATAGTGATACCGATACCCTCTGAGGCTCTCGGAGTGAGTACAGCAGGTAGGTAGGTAGGTAGGAGTAGGTAGGTAGGTAGATAGCTAGGTAGGTAGGTAGATAGCTAGGTAGGTAGGCAGATAGCTAGGTAGGTAGATAGCTATAGGCTTTATCACTGGCTCGACTAGATACCATTGATCACTAATCCCAGCGGGGGAAGACAGTATTATATAACATACCGGTAATTCAAGGCCTGTACTTGCTCTATAAGCCCCTAGAAGCCCCTAGAAGCCCTAAAAGCCCTAAAAGCCCTAGAATCCGGTGTCTAGATACCTCAAAACTTGACGGTGGCAATTATATCACTCAATGATGTAACCTCAAACCCACCGTAATGGTATTGTATACACTAGTTTCTTTTATATTTTGCAACAAACCTAGGTAGTGCTTGCTTCAAAAGTACTACAATGTTGGCAAAAATAATATTAATCTCAACCTCAACAATAGAATAACATTAACAAAATTGAGCCTGCCTCGCCTCCAATCCATGCCAATTATACAATCATGCAATATATAAACAACAATTGGGAATATCAAAAGATATAGCCTTTTTATCACAATATACTAACTAGCAAAGCAAGATCGAATTACTCACTAGTAGATAGATTTATAAAAGAAATCTGTATATTGATACACTTTCATGTTATGACAGGTGTGTTATACAGCACTTGTCATGATTTTTGAATATAACTGGCTGGTTGACTGCATGGCTCCCTTTTGATATTAATACCGGCACACATTCTGCTGTGTACCAGAAACTAGAAGAAGTTGTACTCCCTTGTAAGACTTACCCATACTGACTGGTAGTATCTGTTGATACATCACGTTACTCGAGAATTCTAATAAAATTCTAGACCCATTTCTCTAGTACAGGATCTTCTGCATTTATATATCAAATATCAGATACAGATACAATACAACCAACTCTTTGATGCGATCAATCCTCATATACCTAGAATCTGTGAAAAAAGAACCAAGGTACATAACATACCCAATGGTCACCAGTATTCTCAATATTACCCGCCAAGAAAAACATATGAGAACAAACATGGAATCAGTATTTACAATACCTCTAAATACAAAAAAATACACGATATACGCGCGATATCCTCTTGGGTCTTGATATCTACCTCACCAGGCTCACCTACGTCACAGAAGCCTTTGCTGGTTGGCTCTTTCATTGTTCCACTCAAGCTACTCGCATTACCAATGACAATTTGTGCCTCCCCCACCTCGTACCACGCCGTACCACCCCATCCCGCCTCCTTGCTCTTCAAGACATTTGGACATTTGCTTTACTGAACTTATGATTACTTATTAGCACATTTATTGCAAGAATAGTCAGGCATTATGGTTTCTATCAGCACCGTTGTGCATCTGCCAAATGGCTACCATATCACAGTGAACCCTGTTTTTGGCGGCTTCTTCTTCAAGGCAAACGAGTTGAACACACATGGCAGTATCTTCCCTGCTGGCTGGACCGTCAATATACAGACCGAAGATTGTTCGGATGAACACCCTTCTAGTAACGGTTCCAGCGACACAGAGCTCCAAGGCATATCGACTGAACAACATCGGCACATACACCCTTTCAGACTTCCAACTTTGCGCAATGACAGCCTCTTTATATCTTCCATTTCGAACCCCTCGAGCAATGATTTCAAAGCTCCTATCAGCCCCACCCGGCAGATCGCGATGATGCTCTGGGCAACTTTATACTGGTATTTCCATCAACCAGAACCTTCACCACATATTACCACGACCGCTTCGAAAAATACACCCGATGCCGGAAAGCCAAAGGCAGATTGGCGCATACATATAAAAAGGGAGGGTGTGCTACGGGGACGGAATCTGATACAAAAGCTTGATAGAATGGGGTTGATTACATCGGACGATTCGACAGTTGGCTTGGCGATAGATGAGAATACACCAGAGGGATGGTCAGACATGTTCACTTCAAGAAGAGCATTCTGGCAACTGTCCGCAAGGCTGTTTCTTTTTACTTTCAGTCCAAATATCTCTTTAGCTTCCCCACAAGGTAGCCGGCCGAGCTCCCCTGTTTGTGGTAGCAACCAACTTCCCGGTAATAAGAGAGATTCTACCGAATCATCTGCTTTTTCAGGTCTATGGTCACCAACGTCCATTGGCCCTTTCTCATCTGGAAGCCATTTACCGACATATTACCCACCACCCCCCATACAATATACAAATACGTCGGGTGTGCGCCACCCCCTGCGTCCTAAGCCACCCCGTCAAGGAGAAATATTCTATACACGGTACATCCCTAGTCTGGGGCAATATTTATCTTTTCGAGTCGCCTCCCTGTCCCCCAAGCCTGTAATATATAATGGCCCAACTCCAACCCCATCGCCTTTTCGACATCATGCCAAAAGCTCATCGCTCTCATCTATTGGAGCTCAATTGTCCGCAAATTCTCAAACCCCGCCTCTCAGTATTAGTGCACAGCAAAAAGAAGATACGGCTGACATGACGGACCTCCAGCTTTTGAATCGTTGGATGAATGTTCCTCGGGTCAATAAGTTTTGGGGCTGCTCTGGTCCCATTGCTACACAGGAAAAGTTTCTCAAAGAAAATCTGACTTCTAATCATTCATTCCCCGTCATCGGTCTCTGGAACGGAAAGCCCTTCGGATACTTTGAAATGTATTGGGCGAAAGAAGATATCCTAGGGAAGCATGTAGGCGATAGCGTAGGAGACTTCGATCGTGGTGTCCATGTTTTGGTTGGAGAGGACGAGTATCGAGGAAAGCATAGGGTGCAATGCTGGATCACTGCTTTGGCACACTGGGCTCTGGTACAGGATTACAGGACTAACTCTTTTGTGCTTGAGCCAAGGGTGGATAATGAGAGGTACCTATCACTTTCTCCAGATCTTTCCCCTTCTCTGTCACAGTCCTTTCCTCTAATTTACCCACAGGTTCATCTCACACCTGCAAGAAGCTGGCTTCGTAAAAGAACGAGAAATCACTTTTCCTCACAAGCAGTCTGCTTTCATGAAGCTGCGAAGAGAATGTTTCGAAGCGCCTACTGTGTGATTATCTCAACATCTTTTCTGCGACGCCCGAAGAATAATAAAATGTTATTTGTCACGGGCAAAGGTCTAAGGTAGTGATATGATAATAAGATGGTTTGATGGCATGTATCTTCCTGTGGTGAAATTCATGAAGTCTGCGGGTGGTAAGTCAATGTTCGTGATACGTTGGTGGAACCACAACACTTTCAAGTGATCAATGGTGCCGCTCAAATCAGACATTCTCTTTCTGTTTTCATTACATACCCTGCATTTACTCCTTGATCATATGTTATGGGGTTGTTGAGTCTCCTTACCTTATATCGCCGAGTTTTGATGGGCGATTCCAACGACAACCTGCGATCTCCTCGATACTTCAAAAGCCAATATTCACACCCGCCAAACAGGAGATGTGGAAATTTCAACGCACTCAAGACACCTCGACTTTGTAGTCAGCCATCCCAGTGTATGATCCAATATCGCAGTGAACATGTCTGGCTGCTGCATATGCAACCAAAACAGCTACTCATGCCGCCAGAAAGTCCGCAACTAGGGTAAGCTAGCACGTGCCATATGATGGTAAACTACAGCAGGAATAGCCTAGTTTTTAACTTCCCGAGTTGCAAACTTTCTGGCAGCATGAGTAATTTCTCGGCATTATTAGTCATTGGAAATAGAAGCATTTTCTGAAACCGTACCATATTTCCTCTGATGTTTAGGAATCTGTCCGTTGTGGGAAAGAGAAGCGGACTGTACCATGCTAAGCACAAGCTCCTTCATGCCCAAGGACCTGTTTTGCCAATGTCCACATGACTGCTTGGCAATTGAAGACGAGACAACCTAATGGAGTACCTGTCTTAAGAGGAAATAATGGATCAAAGAATATCTGATGCACATGCGATTTTTTTTATCGCATCTATTTTAAGCATTCAAAATTGCCAATCAGATTGGTAGCCGAATCTGCTTGTGAAAGTTTACTCTTATTATACACTGCTGGTCACGACGAGTATACCGGTACAATGGTGTGATGTCAAAGGCTGTGGAAGCAAGTGGTAGTCTTTTCCATGAATCTCAAATTTCAGGATAACCGGACCCTTTCGAGGCATGTTTTCAACTTTCATATTCGTTGGCAAGTTCACATCTGGCTCGATTGTACATAGGTTATGCAATCACCGGATTTGGAAAATTAGTCGATGATATAATTATGCCAGATCTGTATGGGGTCTGCCGATTTAGATGGGACTATATTAACTTCTCTAATGCCTTTGCGTTGTTCCCCTATTGAGGTATGTCTGATTTATATCTCATCTCACTACCTTAGCTTCCGGCGTTGATTTGTTGGGGAGGATAGATATGAGCCGGTTTGTGGCCAAAAGTGAAGGCAGTGGAACGAGGAGGAGGGTTTCCCTCCGTGCATAATGATTCAGTCCGGGATTCATCTCACACTGCTTTGATTTCCTAGCAAAAGCAATATCACAAGGAATATTCCCGCAAGAGGCGCCACTATAATTCATATTAATCAATCAAGACACGGAGACTGCGTCGTGTAACGTTTCATCTAGCCTTCAGACGGAATAATTGGGACGATTCATAATAATGTGACAGTGACAGTGACAGTGATCACGGCCAAAGTCGATCGGCCAGATAGATAGATCTTGATCGCTTCAATCGAGATACTGTACCGGTATATTCGATGAGCTCGTGTCGCATGCCGAATATCCACCCACACATAGTAAGGTAAGGCTTAATATTGAAGTGCCGATATCCTCCTCTCCTGGGGGATACTCGAATACTCACTCACTCACTCTCATGCCGCCAGGGTTTCTGGTAAATGACCAAGCTAAAGCTAATAAATAAATTCTCAAGAGTTTCCTCTTGTGTAGTAGACTACCCGAGGGCACGTGCCAGGTTCCATGATTTTATTTTCAGATAACTTCATGAGTGCCGGTACAAAAAATGTGTAGGCGATTTGATTAGGCGGTTTGATTACCTAGGCGGTTTGATTAGGCGGTTTGATTAGCCGATTTCGAAAACTATTTTTGGAAGACATCTTGGTTCATCTTTTATTTCTGCTCTGAGGTGTAATGGATTGTACGTAGTATTCTGGATTGGGAAGAGCCTTTGTTGGCTAGCTAATTGTATCCAGGACGCGGTGGCCATTTTACGATCGCGATGTAGGGGAAAATGGTAGTCTTCGAAGGGAGATGCGGGATGGGAGATGGGATGTTAGGCGTGGGAGTGTAAGGACTTGGGAGAGGTTGTTTTTGGTTTATTTTGAGAATAAGCATAGACAGACAAATATCGATGATGATGATAATGATGATGATGAGTTTAAGTTTTTCCTAAGAGTTTTGATTATAGTTAGGTATATGATTTGTGGTTTTTCTATGATGTACGATTGGTTCGAATTAAGGAGAAGTCGGTGGTATCGGCGTTCGCTTTCACCGACATTGAAGATCAAAGTCATGCAAATCTCTATCCCTCTAACCTAACTTGAAAATCGCATCTTAAAAAATCTGAAAAATGAAGAGAAGTATTCATGCTATCGGTTTCGATTCTTTACACTAACCTCCATAGAGCTACCTGGGTAGCTAGGAATACGTTGATCTACCATCTACACTTCCTTGTTAATGTACAAAATCTTGACCAAGGGGCGGACAAACGCCACCTCGAACGTCAGAATACAATGGGACGACCATCGGTCCTGACTATTTGACGAGCCCGTTACTACTTACCGGTAGTCGTAGAGCGGGGTTGTATGTTTAAGTTAAAAGGTTGCCCCCCTCAAACCTTTCCATAAGACTCTCTATACTCTTGAACCTGCTATAACTCTTCAGCTTCATTACCATTTACACATAACTCGAAGGTTTCTACAGCAATACTACCAGTACCGAGATACAAAGATTAGCTTCGACCGCAGAGATGGAGGCACAGATAACTCAACCATGTTATATCCCACTGTCTCAAAGATACGCGCATGTTTGGAAGGATACCGAAAGAAAGTTCAATGCCAAGCAAATCGAAAAGGCATCCCCCAAGCCTCCCTTTATTTCCGAGTGCGAGTATCAAGTCGAAAGCAGTAACATTGGCGACCTGTTACATCCACCACCATCTCCGGCATTATCATTTGAGCAGCTCTTTGAAGGTTTTGGTCACGGGACCACAAATGACAAATTGGGCGTTTCGCCAACCAACTTCACCCGTTTTGAACAGCTTCCCGCTGAACTTAGACTAGAGATCTGGCGCATGGCATGTGGACAGGGCCGAAATATCAAGTATGAAATGCGCCCATTCGGCACACAAGGTGAATGTGTATGCAATTCCGTATCGAATACACCTGAGCCCGGTGTCCTCTCGGCATGCAAAGAATCGCGAGAGGAGGCTTTGAAGCATTACAGTCTCTGCCTCGGAACGAAGGCTGATAGGACCACGCTTCGCTTGGAGGCTCAACGGAGGATATGGTTCAATTCCAAGGTCGATACTATGTGTGTAGGCTTGGATTTCAGTCTCTACTGTATTGGCGCACGTAGTGGTGATTTCTTCACGACGTGCGCCACAATGAGTATGAGCTCCCTTGCATTCAATATCTACCAGCGTTACTCTTGGGGTGAACCCGTTTGGGAAGTCGATTGGAATGACATTTTCCGCGCCATTGATGCTTACGGGGCTCGAAGCTCTGAATTACAGGAGATCATTTTGTACTATGATATGGATATTGAACCGGAATATCAGTGGGCAGGGTCGGAATTTGTGGAGCTGGACTGGAGCGCAATGGATCCATATTGCGAAAAGATGAATCACTTGCAAACGGTGCAGAGAGAATTGTTGAGAGATTCTCCTGGGTTGGAGCCAGATTGGCGGGCTGTGACACGCGAGAGAATGCTGGAAATTTGGGGGAATATTCAGTCGAAGGTCATATTGATGGATGTAAAGGTCAACAACGATAGGCAACCTCGTCAGATGGATTGAAGAGGAGAGGGACGGCACACTACAGTATAATAAACAATGTGTTGAAATCTTCGATTAATTCTGAGATCTAATTCTCTAGCTATAGATAGCTATCATCATGAACATTATAAATACATTTTTAATCAACCTATTCTATGCGAAAACAGTCAATTGTGAGTTCGACAAGGAGCGATTAGATGTGTCACCAAAAAAAGTTACACATATTACGCTTCGGCATTTTGATAATGCAGAGGGTTTTTGGTACAGTAACTAACTAACCACTCTACGTCATCGATGACCTAACAGGGATCAATTGTTCGAGCTCATATTTGGAGCTTCCAAGGTCCATGTAGAGAGTACTGGTCAGCTTGAAATGAATGATGAAATATCTAATTGCTTCTACAAGATTACTTCCTTAGTATTGTAATAGGAGCTAGAGTGCTCACCAATATGCGACGAGTCACACAACTTTTACCACGGAGTATATCCCAAACGACGTGCCCGCCAACTTCATTTGCAGGTAACTTTCGAAATAGAGCTGCACCGCAACTTTTCATAAAGCCGATCGCTCCCTCATGTCTTCGCACATTTACTTCGACTTATAGCTGGAGAAAGGAGAAGAGTTACACGGAGAAGGCTAAAGAATTGAATCAAAAGGGATTAAATAAGGAAGAAGATTGGTTCCACAACCAGCTTGATGAAGCGATCGGCGAGCAAAAGGAAATACAAGCAAGAACGCCATGGCATAGAGAAGGCTCTGATAAACCTCCTGTGAAGAGAAATAGAAGTGCTGGGGCTATGACAAAAGGTTTCATGATTCGATTCTCCCTGTACCTCTGCCAGCATCATGTCTAATAGTTGTGCCACAGGAAAACTTCTTACTACCCCCTCACGACTCTTGAAACTTATCTTACCTCTAACCACGCTGGACAAGAACTCCGATCGTAAAGACATCGAACCATTGGCTCTTCTCGTCCATCCTCAACAGCCTCTTTCCTACCTCGAACGTCTTATACAGTCCGAATTGCCCATGATAACAGCCAAAGATGGCCATACCGAAAAAGTACCCGAAGTGTATTTCCGAGCTGAGGATTCCGCACAAGATGAAATTAGAGCAGATGCGAGAAAAGACGACATGGACGAAGGAGGTACGGACGAACAGATGGTTGATGGGAAAATCATGAAACTCGGGAAAATCAACAGCTCGAAAGATAAAAGTATGTCTAGGGAAGAAAAAGAACAAATACAAAGCGAATTAAGAGGGGGACCTGGCGAAGGAGGCGTCGAAAGTTATTCAGGGCATGGACGTGAACAATCTTCTGAAGGGAAAGTAAAATTCGTGCGTTGGTCTTCGTCGACTGAGATTGGAGATTTCATTCGCGATGCTGCGCGGGGAAAGGAATTTGCAGTAGAGATTGAAGGATCATCTCACGAGATTCGAGTTGGGGTTCCATCGTTCAATGATCGGACTCATTACCTCCGAGTGCGTTTACGGAAGACGAGCCGGAAATTGGCGGACTATGCCAAAGTCAAGAAAGAGTGCGATGACCTTGCACATCGAGGAGCGCGACATATTGCCATGGGCGGGTTTGGCGTGCTTGTTAGTTGGTGGGCGGCGATTTACTATATTACGTTTCAGACGTCTTATGGATGGGATACTATGGAACCTGTTACTTATCTAGCTGGTCTATCGACTATCATCCTGGGTTACTTGTGGTTTCTGTACCATAATCGCGAAGTCTCTTATAGGTCTGCGCTTAACTTGACGGTTTCGAGAAGACAGGGCACGCTGTATCAAGCGAAGGGATTCGATTTGCAGAAGTGGGAGGCGTTGATTGATGAGGCGAATGCGTTGAGGAAGGAGGTCAAGAGTATTGCCGATGAGTATGATGTGGAGTGGGATGAGAAGGCTGATGAGGGGAGTGAGGAGGTCCATGATGCGCTGAAAGCTGAGAGAAAAAAGTCGAAGAGGAGGGAGAAGGAAGATGAAGGGGATGAAGCTGAGTCGGATGAGGATGAGGATAAGAAGGGTAAAAGGAAGTGTAAGGATGATTGAATGTGTGTTTTTTGGTCGATGAATTGGAGATGGGTAGCATTTGGGTTGGCGCATAACTTATCAAAAGGATTTGATTTTATACCACAGCATAGCATTAGAGAGGATAGATAGAAACCATGTACAAATATTAATATTCTTATTATTATTCAAGTACATCACCCAACTTCATTCATCCCATCCCATTCTAATCAATACCCTCGCCACCCTCTCCTCACACCCACCAAAAGAAATATCGTAAAAAAAAAGATGTCATAAAAGCTCAGCAAACCCAAGGCTCATGATCCCAAAAGAATTCAGCCCTCAGTTTATTCCAAATCCATACCCACGAGTATTACCCCGCCGATACAAATCCAGGCGCATCACCAACATTATAGAATTTTTTTTTTCTGGCATGGAAATATGACCGACTGGCCAGTTGATGATTGGATTCCAGTGGTTGATTTAGTCATGCGATTTAAGTGTAGGGAGGAAAGAAAAAAAAAGAGAAGGAAAGGGAAGGGCGAAAGGGGACGAAGGTTATATGGGATGAAGGATTTTTTTGGGGCTAGGAGGGGTTGGGGTTAGTGTGGATCGGATTGGATTAGTATGGATTAGTAAGCTGGGGGGGTATTTAACGATGGGTTTTTTTTTGTAGGTGAGAAAATTTAACAACAACGACAATGACAATGACAATAATGTCTTCGAGGACGGGAGAGCAAAGAGCGATGAATTGGATTTGGTGATGCGATGTGATGTGATGTGATGATTCATATCACACACCTCTCTCATCCATCCATCCATCCAATCATCCATATCAATAAACGCTCTTCCATCTCACTCAACAAACAGATTTGTATTTTCCTTCTTCCCCTCCTCCCCTCTTCCTCCCTCTACACCAATCCACTCTTCACCAACCAAAGCAACACCAAAACAAAAACAAAAAAACAAACCACATATTGCCTACTTCCTGTTCTCCTTCATGAACTTGAGGTCACTTATTTTTAAATATCGTTCGTGGGATATAGAACCAACGGCCTAGACAGCCAGTCCAATCCACCCTGCTGGCGTTGATTAGTGCGCTAGGAGGACTAATCGTGACAAACAAATACATACCAGAGATTCAGATAATTGAGAGGTAGGAGGGAGTTGGGAGAGTTAGTGGTAGATACAGAATATAAAGTTGTTTTACCATGCAATTTTTGAGTTTTCTTCTGTGATTAGTTTGTTGTGATGTGGTGCAGCAAAATAGGTGTTTTGTAGATTTCGGAAGAATTTTCTATCTCCTGGGTGATTTGACTTGTGAATATTCTACATGGTTGAGATGCTTGAGTGTTGGATGGTATGATTGACACTGAACTCTAAGACCTTTAGTTCGACTGTTGCTGTAAAATAAGACAACCCAGATCAACATAGAACGAGCACAATCAAGTTTCAAATCTGTCTTGTCATTTGTGCTGTATTTCAAAAAATAGTGGTTTCTACTGCCAATAGTGTATTTCACCACGGCAAGACCGACCCCAAACGCCATTGTATGCATGTTATACGACCATTATTCTTCCTTATCCATATCCTCATCCATATCTCCACCCGTGCCAAATAAGTCATTCATATCACCAGCGCCCTCCTCATCGCCTTCGAGATTGTCCTCTTCCGTAGCTATAATGCCCTCCATGCCCTCTCCAATCGGCCCCTCCTCTTCTCCATCATCCTCCACCCACTCATCCTTCAATCCCCATGGCACGCCCGTAAGAACAAATCTCTCGGCCGGTAATCTCACACCCCATTCATTTTGTAAAACTCTTGGAAGCGCAATTTTGTTCCTCGCCTGCGCAGTTTCTAATAAGAACTCCTTGCTCAATCCGCCACCGTTGCCGGCGCCAAATTGATACTGCAATCTGCTTTGAATGGCCAATTGCACCGCGTTTGCGCTAACCTGCCCATCTGCATCTCTAAATCCACCACCGGGTGGCGCATCGCGTGCGCGTGTTTGTTGTGATACGTAGGCGTCGGAGGAAAGATGTAATGCATCGGAGAGAATCGAAGAGGAGTGGCGATATGCGAAATCGAGAAGTTGGAGAGGAACGCGTTCTTGATATGCGGCTACGCCGAGGGAGGAAAGAAGCATGTGGATGAGGCGAGCATCGCGGGGTCGTTTGGATAAGCCATTGTCTTGGAGAGAGGTAAGAGGGACGTTGGGGCTTGCGACGGGGGATAACGAGGCATGCGCAGAAGAAGAGGGATGAGCTAATGTGGCAGGCGTGGCTGTAGGTTGACTTGGGGGGGAGGATGGAATGTGCCCGTTTTGACCATTTGTATGGGGGCCTAAGTCGCCATTGATGTCGGCCATGATGGAAACGAAATGGTGGAATAGCTTCCTCGCGCTCTAATAGAGTATGTGTTGTAAAAATCAACTGAGCCCTTTTCCAAATTGGTCGCAGATGTGAAATAATGTTAAGATGTGGATTGTGCAAGTCTTTGTCATTCAGCAGGACTGTTGTATCGCTTGTTAGGCTCAAATATCTTCTAGCCTGACATCATAGTCTTTAGATCAACTACCTAGGTATGGATAAATGTCGGGTCTGGGTACCTAGTAGGTATAATATATGATGATGTGAGTATATCTGCACCTGGAGCTCAAATGTCTGTGATGCCAGTGGATGTTTACAACAATCAAATGCACACATTAACAATTCCGAAAAAGCACAGACCACACCTTAAATTTATCTTGTACCCATCATTGACCAGTTTCATCAGAATTCAATTGCCCCTCATTACATAACCTCTTATTCATTTATCAGATTGAAACTTTTTTTGGTTGACTCACTTCACTTCAACACTCTTTTCAACCCTCGCTGTATCTAAAAATATCAGTATACAAGATGGATACTACAACATCACTTCCTTTTCTTCCTAGTGTTGATCTTGGTAATGGTCCTGCAGAATCGAAAGTAGGACTTACAAGAATTCAACTATCATACTTGGGCTGTGTTTACTTTAAGGCGAACAACGATACCGTCGATATCCTCCTCGGATTCTTGCAGAGACATGTTGGTATTGAGACTTATGTTGATGTTTCTGCCATTGAATCTACAGACGACATTGTAACAATCTTAGATGCTGGAGCCCGCACAGTTTTTGTGAAGCCATCCCAGCTTACTCACTTAGAAAAGCATACCGACCGTGTTCTTCCAATCATACCACAACCGCAGACAGATGCCGAATTTCCCAATGGAGGGTTACTTACTTTTGTGGATGAGGCCTATACTCGATCCCTATTGGAAGAATTCAAAACCAAGAAAATATCTCCGATATTCCTTCTATCAACCCCTGAAAGCGATCTCGAATTACTCGTTAAAGTTGCGAAGGAATTCTCTGCGATTCCAATCATACCTGCGACACATCTGAGCATTGAAGGGGCTACGGAAGGTCAAGTCTTCCTTCCACAATTGGTTGCGGATTCATGGACTTCGGACAGGGCAGACAAGTTGATACCTACTGTGGTTACAGATGAGAGGGGGGTAGCTTTGGGACTTGTATACAGCAGTCAGGAGAGTTTGAAAGAGTCACTGAAAACCGGCACCGGAGTATATCAAAGCAGAAAGCGTGGGTTGTGGTACAAGGGTGCAACGTCTGGTGACACACAAGAACTTATCAGAGTATCTTTGGACTGCGATCAAGATTGTTTGAAATTTGTGGTTAAGCAACAAGGACGAGGATTCTGTCACCTACCACAGTCGACTTGTTTTGGTGAATATAAGGGAATTTCTAAGCTTGAGAAGACCCTTATTTCGAGGAAGGCTTCGGCACCTGAGGGATCCTACACAGCACGTCTCTTCTCGGATGAAAAGTTGTTGCGGGCCAAGATTATGGAAGAAGCAGAGGAACTTTGTGATGCCAAGGACAAGAAAGATATTGCCTTCGAGGCAGCAGATCTCATTTATTTTGCTTTAACCAAGGCCGTTTCTGCCGGAGTTAGCCTTGCAGACATCGAACGTAACCTTGATGCCAAGAGTGTGAAGGTTAAGCGAAGACAAGGTGATGCTAAGGGGCAATGGGCTGCAAAGGAAGGAATCACGAACGGATCTACCGGCAAGCCCGAGAGCGTTAAGGAGGTCGTCAAGGAAGCTGCTTCTGTGCCAAAATCCGCAGAAGACAAGGCCGGACTCAGGAATGGACGCATCACGATGAGACGGTACAATGCTGCAACGACATCAGAGGCCGATCTCAAAGATGTTCTGCAAAGACCTTCCCAAAAGTCTACTGATATGATTATGGGCATTGTAAATCCAATCATCAAGGACGTACGAGAGGGAGGCGATAAAGCATTGCTCGGCTACACCCACAAGTTTGAAAAGGCAACTTCTCTTACCTCTCCCGTACTCAAAGCTCCTTTCCCACAATCACTCATGGAACTTCCAGCAGAAACCATTGAGGCGATTGACATTTCTTTCGAAAACATTCGCAAATTCCACGCCGCACAACAAGAGGATCCTTTGCAAGTCGAGACAATGCCAGGGATAGTATGCAGCAGATTTTCAAGACCGATTGAACGAGTGGGATTGTACATCCCTGGAGGTACTGCTGTGCTTCCAAGCACAGCTCTTATGCTAGGTGTCCCTGCAATGGTCGCCGGTTGCAAAAAGATCGTATTTGCATCTCCTCCTCGAGCTAATGGTAAGATCACACCCGAGATCGTTTACGTTGCCCACAAAGTAGGCGCGGAAAGCATTGTTCTGGCTGGAGGTGCTCAAGCTGTCGCTGCCATGGCATACGGCACTGAAAGCGTCACCAAAGTCGACAAAATTCTTGGTCCAGGTAATCAATTCGTTACGGCGGCAAAGATGTACGTTAGTAATGATACAAATGCTGGCGTAAGTATTGATATGCCAGCTGGACCATCTGAAGTCCTCGTTATTGCGGATAAAGATGCGAACCCAGCATTTGTTGCGTCGGACTTGCTTTCCCAGGCAGAGCATGGCGTTGACAGTCAGGTGATTTTGATTGCCATTGATCTTTCCGAGAAAGAATTGCAAGCCATTGAAGACGAACTCCACACACAAGCTATGGCGTTACCAAGAGTTGACATCGTCCGTGGTGCCATTGAGCACTCGATAACACTTGTTGTTAGAGACATTGAGGAGGCAATGAAACTCAGCAATGAGTATGCACCAGAGCATCTCATATTGCAAATCAAGGATGCTGCGAGCGTTGTAGAACTGGTTGAAAATGCTGGTAGTGTTTTCATTGGTGAATGGACGCCAGAGAGTGTTGGCGACTATTCTGCCGGAGTCAACCACTCCTTACGTAAGTTTATCTCTCACACAATTCGGCGAGTGTACTAACTATTCAAATAGCTACATATGGATTTGCCAAGCAATACTCTGGCGTAAACCTTGGATCGTACCTAAAACACATCACTAGTGCACACCTGACAACTCAGGGTTTGAGAAATGTTGGCGGTGCTGTGATGCAATTAGCGAAGGTCGAGGAACTGGAAGCTCATAGAAGAGCCGTTGAAATAAGACTGAAGTATATGGATGAAAGAAAACTATGATGCCTTGTATTTAGTAGGTAGATGAATTTAAAAGTTTTCATCCCGCGCTCTCGGTTCACTGGCCGATTCACCTAACTCGCGATCAATCACCTGCCGTACAAAACTTGCCACTGCAACCCACCAACTTAAATATCCCTCCACCGACCACGAGATCCTTCTCAAATTCATCCAACAATACAAACTCCATCAGTATTCATCTACTTTCTGGTACCTACCTGAACCATATCAGAACAAACATCAGCACGAAAGATGGTAAAATACAAGCACACACATTGCCCTTGCAACAACTGGTCCTACAATGAGGATCTCCTCGATGTTGACTCGATCGCCACTGCAGTTGTGACACCACAGACGTCGGATCACGACTTTAAATCAAACACGACGTCCAACGAAGTTACAAGGCATGTCACTCGAGTAGCTTCATTGGCCGTGGATGAGGAGGAGATGAATTTATATCGCGCTAGCACTCCACGCCGCACCGGTGGTGAGCTGGAGGGTAAGCCAAATAGTCGTCCAATGCTAGCAACTTCTAGCTTGATGAGCCATTTAATTTCTGCGAGTAGAGAAAAAGGGGAAGAGGAAGAAGAAATCGATTTATATGGCGCTAGTCCTCCACGTCGCACGAATGTTCGGCTAGAGTCTGAGGGAGATAGTCGTCAAGCATCAGCAACTTCTGAGAATAAAGGAGTGAAAAAGGAAGAGGGAGAATATTTCTATGGCGTCAGCCCCCCACATCGTGCGGGTAGTCGAGTGAAATCCGAGCCGAGTAGTGATGAGGCTTCGACGGCTTCTAGCACATCATCAATTCGAGTGGCCCCGCAATTCACCCCCTCTACTTCGTCAGCCGATGGCATGGAAGATGATCTCATAGATCTATACAGAGACTGCCCTCCACGCCACGCCGGTGGTAATTTATATCTAACCGGGGCAATCATCGAACACCAAAATCAATCTTCGTCAAAAGAAATTCTTCCACACAGACAAAAGCATTTACCGCTCTTTGTCGAGCCCATCAAACATCCACTCCAGCCACCATATCCACATGCACATGCACAACCACCCCCACCATCCCCAAACACGAAATCTTCCTGCACAATCTTCCATCCAAACAAGCTTCCGTGACCGAAGTCCGCGCCTGGATCACCAGCTGGTTTGTAGGCCGCGATATCCTACCGGAGGTTCCGTGGAAGGGGGGTGCGGATATCGGTATTCAACCGTATATTGACTGTATCTGCTGGAGTGGAGATGACGTGCATCGTGATGGATCTCGCAGTTTGGAGAGCGACTTGAGGGGCTGGTTGTTGGGTGCTTATGCGAGACATATTGTGAGGGATGTGGAGAGGGCGAGGGAGTTGGAGAGGGATAGGGAGTGGGATAGGAGGTGGGAGATTTTTGTGAGGAGGTTAGGGGATTTTCTGTGGGGGCTTGTGGTTATGGTGGTTGGGGGATTTGTTTTGCTGGTTGTTTTGCCGTCTGTGTCTGTGGGAGAGGTATTGACGGTTCTTTCTTTTTTGATGGGTGGAGATTATTTGTGCTTTGGTAGCTTCTTTAAGTGGTTGCTGAAGGGTTAGCAGGTGATCGTGAAGGACTCGGCATATCCAGACAGAAAATTGGCGAGTGAGATTATGCATAGGCAATAATAGACAAATTCTTCAATAAGCATAGGCATAAGCACATATGATTTTCTTTCTTGATGATGATTTATATCACTGCAATGAGCAGTGGAATTCAATTTCCATGTCAACAGATTAAATCCAAGTTTCCAATGTGCAAAGGGCTTTTGATCGCTAAGGATGATGCATGATGGATGATGGATTATATATTAAGATAGGGGGGTTGGATGTGATGGGAGTATTACTCGAGTAGAAGATACATACCAATACAGTAGTGTGCACTGACTGTGAAGGCGCATTCTAAAATATCTGTTCTCAGGCATAGATATATAGTTCTACTCGTACTCATAGATAAAATTATAATTCTTCCTTCAGTTGCAGAATGGGAATAACTACCTAGTATCCTCCCCCTCTGCATATCTAATACTAAGTAACACTATCAATATGTGCAGGATAGCAAAATCCCCGTGTTAAAAAGTCTGATGAGAGGTACAGTTACAGTTACAGTTACTTTCAGGAGTAAAAAGTAAAGAAAGAGTAAAGCTGGAATATTGAATTGAACTGGGTTGGAAGTTCTTGTAAAATTTATTATTATTTCCTTTGTACTCGAGTATGTTGGTATGTTGGTAGGGAGGGATGTCCAAGTGCTATATATTTTGCTTAACTTATTCTGAGGGTTCTACTTACTAGGTATGCTCACTTGGAGTTGTATATATGGCCTAAGAGAGTGATCGGTCACTGGTAGGGCAGGGTAGGTAGGGTAGGGGTTTTACAATTTTACGTTACTAGTACATTATCTTCTACTGTACTCGAGTAGAAGTAGGTAGCGGAACTCAATATTCTTAAGATAATGTTCATAATGGAATTATGTACCCCGTGGCCATCTATCACTCGTGAGGCTCTCTCTACTCGAGTATCAATGGTGCTGTAAATCTAGAACATTCACCACAGCGCTGTTGAACTTGGTTGCAATTGGGAATATTTGGGTGAAGGTTATATGTATTGAAGTTGAAGTTGCTAGCTATGCTACTACGAGTATAGCAAGGAAAGTTTAGTGCACAGGAAGTTCTTTGGAATTTTCAGAATCTGGGCTTTTCTAAAAGTATAAATAATAAGATATACTGTATGTAAGATGAGATGTACGAGTATTATGTATACAGAGGAAAAAAAGACTTTCTTGAGAAACTGCTAAGAAGTAACTATGTTCCATCTAAAGTACAGATCCCGATTTGGACCTCCTTCCTGGAGATAGACTCAGATATGCTCTATCATGATTTAGATTACTTCAGTTTAGTTTACAACGCCTCAAGAGTCAACACTCACTTTATAACTCATAGCCCGGACGGAATAATACTGTACTTCAAACTTCCAACTTCAAACTTCGAGTTGTTCATATTGCTGTATACCATCTAAAGCCCAAAACAAAAGGAGAAGAAGAAGGAGATAAGGGGTTCTAGATGATTTTTAAACGAGATGTATATGGCCAACCTCATCTCGCCTCGTCTAGCTTCATCTCATCTAGCCTAATTGAAGCTAAGCTATTGTAGGTACCGGTATACATCGAAACTTGAACTCGAAAAGAATAAAATTTGAGCGGGTATGTATGTATATACGAGTACCACTTGAAGAATCTGAATAATCTAAAGATTCTCCAAGGGGAGCTAGTCATGAAGTAAGTAGGTAAGTAAGTAAGTAAGTAAGTAGTGGGTTATGATTTACTGTGATAATAATGAATGATGAATGATGAATGATGAATGATACAGTTACTAATACATACCAGATTTATGCACGTATAGTAAAGGCGCGGGATTATAAGATGAGAGATGAGAGACAAGAGAAGAAATCCCTCCCAGAAATTTCCAACGTCACTGTAAGGAATGTTTTGGGCAACTATACTTTGTATATCGATTCGAGTATACTCGATTAATATAGTATCACATACAGTATGATCTTACCTAGTATGCCATCCATCCATCCTATCTCACAAACCACTTTAACAATCTCTATCTCTATCTCTATCTCCATCTCCATCTCGAATCATGTTTCTAACCACTAGTACATACCATACCATACCATCCCATCCCACACAATACCATACAATACTCAACGAACACAAAAACAAAAACATTCCAATACAATATCCTATCCTATACTCATATCATACCTAACAACAAAATAACAATAATAAAAACACAACACAACACAACACAACAACAGAAAGGGAAAAAAAATACCCTCCCTCCCTCCACCCCTCTACAATCCGATGAATAAATAGATAGATAATACTACGAGTAGGTTGTACTCCTCATATCCAAGTACATATTACATATTACATATACTCGAGTATATCAACAAATCTATCTATCTATCTATATCTATCTATACGAGTATAACTAACCATCGAAAAAATAAAATAATAGGTACTGACTGTATGCTCAATATATCCAGGACCAGTTAATATTAATATACTCGTATAATAAATAAGATAGGAAAAGATAAATACTCACTGGCACACATCAAATTAATAACTATAAAATCATTACTCGAGTAATGATCATCATCAATATAACTACTATAACTACTCGAGTAATAAGAACTCGCTAATGGAAGCGCCGCCCCTGTCCCTGTCCCCCCAAATAGAACTTATCTTATATAGTAAGGAGTAAGGAATTAGGAATTAGGTGAGTATAGCTAGAGGGAAGAGGAGAGAGGAGAGAGGAAAGAGGAGAGAATGTATATTTTACATCATCATCATCATCACCATCGTCATACCCAGTAAGCATACATATTCGAGTACTATAATCAATACAAATCCGTATTTAACAACCAGAACCAGAACCAGAACCAGAACCCAATCCACACGCAAGTATTCAAAAGTATCTCACATATCATATCTCATATCTCATATCTCATATCTCATATCTCATATCTCATATCTCATATATCATATATCATATATTGATTGAGCTACCGGTATTATATATCTGCGAATACTCGTAAAGATAGATAGATATGTTCTCCCCAAATCCCAAATCCCAAATTAGAAAACAAAAGTAAAAGTTTCGAAACGCCTCTTGATGCCCGCGACTACCTATCTACACAACACAGATCATGGATAACATCGTGTAAAATAACATTATGCATCGTCAACCATGTCCTGATGGACTTTTTTTAAAAGACAGCCAGTTACTAGTAGCAAGTCATTAAGTCCGTTTTAAAACCTGTTGCAACCCATAGGTATTTCCTCTTGAAACATAAGATAAATGGGAAAGAAAGAAGGCCCCTTGAAACGCCATCCAACCCTTTATAGTACGGTAGTTAGGTAGATTACTACTACTGCCATTGGTTGAGCACCTTCATATTCTACGAGTGAAATTGGCTTTTCTGAAAACTCTCTACTCCAATATCACCTGCCTTTCCAGCTACAGCAGGAGGGGCCACCATTGCTTTTGCTGGGTTAGCATGGCCAATACTTGAACTGGTCAAGGTACTCGTGCGACTTCCACTTTGACTCGCACTCTTGATTTCCGCAATAGCTTGACCAGGTCGCCTTGCTACTTCCAGGTATACACCGGGGAGGTATCCCATGCGACCATCTCGAGCACGGCAGCGCCACCATTCGGATGGATTGCCCATCGGGTCGCTTTTGCTGATTACTGCTACTAAATCTCCTTTCTTGACATCGAGATCCACACCTTGAACCGCGGCGCCGGATTCGGGTGTAAAATCATATAAGACACGGCAGAATTCGAGTTTTGAAGGGTCGAGTTGTGCAGGAACAGGTTGGCCGTCAGGACCCATTAGATGTCCCGATGCAAGTTGTCGTTTTTTCTCTTCTTCTTGGGAGGCAGCGAGGCCTTTAATCAGTTTACCCATGAGGTATGGGAGGCCGAAAGCGGCTGCTATGAAGAAGAAGAAAGGCTTTTTGGATGGACGAGGTGGGGAGCTACCATCTGGGAGTAGTTTGCGACCTTCGAAAGAGGCAAATGCGGAAGGTGTTAAGGAAGTGGCATCCGCAGGCATAGGACGGCCTGTGACTTTCGCGAAAAGAGTGCGCAACCAGCGCATCATGGTAAATATTCCTAGGATGGATCCAAGGGTACTGCGCAAGTTTCCGAGCTGTTCAGCAACGGATACCATCGCTATATTTGTCAGTAGGGAACCTTCCAAAAGTGTATCCAGGGCAGATGAGCCTACCAAAAAAGCTAGAGTGTGTAGCCATATAGGTGCTCTCTAACATTTGAGCAAATCCTCCAAACGCTCCAACTATACTTTCGATTATTTGGAAAGTAGCCTGTGTGCTCTGCGTGAAGCCCTGGGTTAAACTGTTGGCATCATTTGGACCCATTCCTCCCATGTTCCCATACATTCCGCCCATACCTCCTCCGCCATACATAGATCCATACCCTCCTCCCATACCATATCCTCCCATGCCTCCCATGCCTCCCATACCTCCCATCCCTCCCATTCTTGAGTACGGCGACGAATATGATCCCATACCTCCCATACCTCCCATACCATATGGCGAGGCCCCTACAGCTCCTGGTCTATTTGCGCCGTATGGAGAGTATGCGGAAGCGTTTTGATTGACGGTATCCACGAGAGTGGATGGCCGTTGGGGTATGGCTGGTGCGCCCGAGGAAGTACTAGTTGTGGATGATAAGACCGATGGTCCAGCTGAGCTGCCCGATGTAGCAGAAGTAGTCGAAGTCATGGCTGGGCAAAGAGATTCAAATGTTAGCAAAAATGACCATGGAACAAATGAACTATAGATCAAATATACTGACCAGGACTTGGGAGTGCAGCACTAATTGCAGCGCCACCTCTTTCCCATGGTTTTGGCGGTGAAGCCATAACAAATTATTTAAATGAAACACTCTCGTCTAGACCGTGCCAACGTATCTACACAGACCTCAAAGGTCTTTCCAATATAAGGTCGATAAATATTGGTCGCAAAGTTGTCGATTTGATGGTGCGATAGATGAATGATTTCTAATGAGATCCAAGCTCGTGATGGCCGACCGACGAACAAGGCTAAGCCTAGGTATGTATGTATGACAGTGTTTCGTACAGTACCGGTAGCTGAGTATAATTATTTTGCGGGGTGAGTTGGATTGGCTAGAAAAGCTTTCATACGTTGTTGATTGAAAGCGGAAGTGAGTTTGGAATGAAGAATTTAGATATCTTAGAAAACGATTTACAGAATTAATCTAAATGTGGTAGAGAAGAAGAAGAAGAAGAAGGAAAAGATTAGGATTAGAGTTATTGATTGTTCAAATTCCATTCCTTATGGAGGTTGGGTTATTTGGGATGGCACGCTTAAGCCCGAATCCGCTAATAATACCTCGGCATTTCTTTCTGCCACCCAGGCGGTCAAAAAAGCCGGTGAAGGTTTGCATCAGATCCCAAGTTCAGTCAGTCTATCTTACTTATCATCTTGGTGGACTTGTCTTCCGATTTATCAAACTACATAAATAGATCCAGTCATTCAGAGTACGAAAATTTGAAGATTACCAATTATTTTCATATCTAGAAACTCCAAAAGCCTCCCATGTTATTAACTCCTTCAAGACCTTACTTCAACTCGGCAAAAGCTGGACTCTTTGCCATAAACTCCTTCCATGTTGTCAATTTGTCCACCAAGATCTAAATGAAATATCAGTATGAAAATCGAAATAAATCCCACTTGAAGAAACTTACTGATTGACTTTCCTCCAAAGAATCACCTCCGTAATATCCGAATTCGTTCAACAGTCTCATATTCTGTAGCAACTCCTCTTGAGCCTCGTCATTCAAGCCAACACTCTTAAGGATGCCCTTGTAGACATCATGGGGAAGTTGAACGTTCTCAGACCCTTCACTAGCGACAGGAAACTGTTCCTTGAATTCCTTCAAGATCTCAGTCAAGGTGTAATACTTAGTGGCACCGTAGATTCGCTTTCCAAGAACCTTTTCTCTATTGAGAAGGATGCCTTTGACAAATTTGCCAGTGTCCTCAACTGCGATATATGTTAGTGAATGACCTTCAGCAAAATCTAACCGCTTAATTACTCACCAGTAGCAAGAAGTGGAATAGGAGCTGAAGATGGGATTGGAAAGGCAAGTTTCCATTTGTTGTCAGGTGGTAATTGTCGCAACATTTGACCAGGAATATTGGACATATAGAATCCAGCTAAGAAGAAAGTCGCGGGGATTCCAATCTGTCTAACATATTCCTCGATGTGGGCTTTAGAGTCAAAATGTGTGACCTTAGGGAGAGCTCCTTTGGTGAGCTCCGTAATGTCCAACAATGAGCTCCAGATGAAATGCTGGACGCCAGCTTCCTGTAAGTCGATAAAATTAGACACATACTCTCTCATCTCAATGCGTACAATTGATCTCATACCTTGGCAGCATCCGCAATTGCCATTCCTTGCTTCTTCTCTACTTCTGCACTTTGGCTTTCCCAAAAGTTGGTAACGGCAAAGACAGCATAAGCTCCCTTCAATGCAGTTTTGAGAGTCGCAGCATCGTTCAAATCAGCCTATAGATATTGATTAGTTTTAGTACTGCAATATAGATGAATACTAGGAGACTTACAGCAACTGTCTCAGCACCGAGAGCCTCGAGTTTCTTCGCGGAAGCCTTTGTGATGTCTCTAGTGACCCCTCGAACTGCCCAATTCTCCTTCAATTTAGGATCGTTGAGGATGTTCTGAACCACCGAGCCACCTTGTGCTCCAGTTGCACCGAAAACGACAATCAAGTTCTTGGATGCCATATTAATAGTGAGTTTTGATATTATTGATTGAGGAAATTGGATGTTAGTTATGATGGATGTTGTTGATTGAGTTAATCTGCTATTGAGCTATTTGGAATGAGGGGGGTGAAAGTGAGAGGGGTAAAAGTGATGGCACAAAGGATGAGAGTAATAAGTTCCAAGGATTTGAAGGTTGAGAGTGTATGAGTGATTGGAATGTTAGTCTTTCCCTTCGTTCTTTCTTGATCTTATAAGGAGAATCATCCTCACCCCCTCGCCCTTCGGCCTTCCATATATCTGCATCCATCGAAGACAATGACGCCGTCATAAAAATAGCCTAACAGTAGAAGTCCATGGTGGTGATTTACTATTACAAACTTCCAAATAAAACCGAAAGAACAATGTGAAAGCTTTCTACGAATACTGAGTAAAATGGGTTGAGTTTACCAATCAATTTGAGTTTCGCTATTTCGCACTTCGCGTTTTTATTATAAGAAGAGGAGTGATGTGTTGGTTGGTAAGGTTACTATGCATTGATTATCAAGCCATCATGTCTACTAAGAATTGTAGAATTGTTCCTAATCACTTACTCATGAATACGACGAGTATAACCAAGGGGTCTCAGGGGACTTATTGTATAATGAATATGGATAATAGCCAAAACTTAGGTAAACTTACCTACTTCGAGTATATATAATATATATAGGTATGTAGCTTTCTCCATAGTGATACGCTAACTTTCAAGGCACGGTCCAACAGCAACGGTTTTCTCCTGTCTAGATCTTCTTCTTCTTCTTCCTCTTCTTCCTCTTCTTCCTCTTCTCACCTATGATCCTTCATGTTTAAGAGTTATCTTATCTACTTAGCCAGATTCATCGATTTGAATCAAAAGTCCGCCTTACCTTTTCAAAAGCAAGTGCTTGTTGTGCTAATGTAAGGATATTGGCCTTATCACCAATCCGGAGCAGTATGTTAAGGTAGCAAGCGCTTAAAATCCACCAATGAACTCGTTCATTTTTTGGTGACTTCAAGCATTGAATATCTCAGAACCAAACTGTCGGATTCAATTTCGACCATCTTCAACAATTCTTTGGCTAGCAGTCTGTCTCAAAGTGTGAGCTATAGGCGTGTAAAAATGCTATAATTATAGATTTGAACCGGATTGACGGGTTCTGCCGCTCCTAGCGATGAACTCTGGGGAGCCAGAGATCATCAAGATGTATTGGGTATACACGCTTCAAACTCAAACATGACCCTGTTCTTTCGCGGGTCCGCGTTTATGTGATTATGGTGTAGGTTTTCAAAAAGTCTCGGGGTTTCAGTAGACGGGCTTGTCTATGTACAGCTTCATAAGAAGATTTAACCCAGCTTGTCACACAATTGTTTTCAATCACAATTGCTTGCAGTCATTCAATAGTATCATCGTTCGTGATTAATTTATAGAGAGTCCTCTACAATTGAGCTGCTGCAACTTAAGTACAGGATTCCGTGATTCTTCAGAACAGCCTAGCCGCGATGACAACCGGAAATATACCTCCTGAATCTCCTCCTATTTTACCAACGGCTACTTGGGCTCAGAAACCAGGCAGAGCAGGTACCCCGACCAGCGTCTATTCGAACACACACTCTCCTTTGATAGGGGCTCCGATTTCTCCGACAATTACAACTTCTTCCAGCCCCCGAGTGGGTGTAACTTCTGGAAGCACCAGCCCGACAATATCACCCATATCACCAAATAGCTCATCACATTCCAACTTTCCTAACTCTCAAATACAGACGACGCCGCCTACGAGTCCGACTATTTCAACGCATTCCGGACTTCCTGGCCTCCAAATACAGACGACACAATCTATAAGTCCAAATTTTATCGTTTCGAAATGGGGAATCGGATGGGAAACACCGACGATAATGATATCGTGTTATGTACTTGGTAAGTTTCTCCGTAGAGTCGAATGTTCTAAGTTCTTACCATTCTCATATGTAGCTCTCGCAACCGCTCTACTTCATTTGTTCTTATTCATCTATATCTCGGGTAAAAAAGCCGACGGGAAAGATCGAGTTGCTCCTCAGACATATGTCTCCACAGCTTCCAACATTCTAGCGAATTTTTTCGCGTTATTTCTCAAGACGGCGTTAGCAATAGCTTTTATCCAGTATCTTTGGCATCTTCTTCGTGTCCAAACTATGAAAGTCTCCACGATCGAGACTCTTTTTGATCTAAAGTCCAACTTTTTTCAGATGTTTACGGGTGCTGCTATTCGAGCTAGTCCTGTTTTGTGTCTGCTGTCTATGATTATGGCCAGTATGACGGTTGCACTCAGCTTTCCTCCTGGCGCTATCAATGTTGTTTCGGCACAGAGAACAACGTATAGCTCGGTAGTTGTCCCTACGTTCAACGCATCATTTGTGAGTATATCCTGGAGAAATCCAAGTTTTAACTCATCGGCTGACTGTACTTTATTAGATGGGGAATGGTTCTGGTTTAGCCGCTAACCAGTACTCTCTGGATACATTATCACCGGTACCTGAAAGCGCAGATGGATCTGTGTCTGGGTTTTCATCAAGGTACGATATTTTCGAATCCTGCTCTACTATTCACAATTACTAATAGCAACATGCAGCGGTCTAAAATCAGGAAAACACTCTAATCTACTTCCTCGCCTCGCATTTCAAACAATGATCACAGGACAAGCATTCGATCAACCCTCACCATGTGGCATGAATTGTTCCTTCGTCATAGAATTCGAAGGACCAACCCTCGAATGCAATTCATCCAGCACTACATATAGCGAATTTTTCGAAGGCACGATTGGATACCCGAACTTCACCATCTACTCCGGAAATTGGTCTGATCTCACACTTAATTCCACACCTCGCTCCCTATTTTACAATGAAACTTACTCGAATGCTCACTGGCAAAGTACAACATTAACTCTCTTGGACGCAGAAGTAGATACAGTTAACTCCATCCTGAACACAACCATAACACAAAATAACCTCTACTGTATCCCCGGCCGCGCACTCTACACCGTAAACAATACCTATGTCTCCAACATTCTTACACGCACTATAACTACTGCTCCCATATCGCCCCTGATCAACCTCGCGCTCTCCACCCAAAATAATACGGTCAACGTGCCCGGCTTCACCAACGCCTCTGGTATCACAACTGGACACGAATATGGAACTATCCCCGCAGACTGGAGTGCTGATGCTCTAAACTATTACCGTGATTTGAACATGATGACAATCCTTGATACCATGTTCTATCACCTCGCTGGCGAATATACCGCGAACCCTGCCGTTGTTTCAAATTTGGAAAAGGAGAGGGCGACCGATGCTATCAGTGACAAGGGATGGGGGGAAAGCACGCCGACGTTTGGAAATGCCGATGCTGGTACTTCTGGAGGTATGTCATTCAACCCCATAATCATCAATGATCCTATCCTACCCTCATCCCAAACCCCAACCCCAAATCCTCGAACGCTTAACTAACATCCCCAGCACTCAACGGCACCATAATCTCGCGCACCCCTCTCAACACAGCCTTCAAACACTACACCCTCAATTCCTCCGCCAACCCTAACTTCCAACTCACGCAAGAATCGCTCAACGCGCTCCTCCAAAACATCACCCTCAGCACGTCGCTCTCCTACGCCCTCTGGTCCACTCCCACCAACACCAGCATCCACACGACCGAAAATATATACAACTTCTCGCAACCGCTTAACCTCTTGCTCCCCTATCTCCTCTCCCTACTCCTCTCCCTCCCCTTTCTCTTCCTCGGCCTATGGGCTCTGGTTCAAAATGGAGTTAGTGCTAGGGATACCAGCTTTACCCAATTATTATGCACTACCTCCTCCCTTTCCTCTCTCTCCTCTCTCTCCTCTCTCTCCACACTCTCCACCTCTCCCTCCACCTCCATCTCCCAAACCTCCTCCCAAACCTCCTCCCCAACAAACGCAAACTACCACACCCACACCGCCGGAAACACACTATCGACCCTCACCCAAGGCGCCTGTCTCGGCAACCCCCAATCGCGTTCGCAACCCCTGAACGATTTATACATCCGATACGGCGAACTCAAGAATGTGCATTTGCATTTGCATTCGGGCACCACTCTCAATGACAGTGGTGCGTTGGATATTCGAAGAGCCGGGTTTGGCTTGGAGCATGAGGTGCGGCCGTTGGTGAAGGGGGGGAGGTATGGGGTTATGGTTTAGGGTATGGGTTGGGATGGGAATGGGTTGGGATGGGATTGGGATGGGATGGCATGGAATACGATGGCATACGACGTAACGAATATAATGAATGTCTCAAGACTTAACGCTCTATGTAGTATAATATCTAAATCTTCTACTCCCAAAAAGAGCGAGAGAGCGAGAGGGATATCCCTTCCTTCCCTCTCTCCCTCAAAAGTGTATCATACATGTACGAATATGTAATATACCCTACAGGCTCACACCCTATTTATATTTATATTTCAAGAGCCAGACAGAAGAACCAATAACGAATTATTCAACATATGAATGAAGATGAAGAGATACTAGTTACCTACCAAGTGAAAGTGTTAAGGATTTCAACCAGCTGAGGGAATTACACACATCACCTCATTACAACTCATCATTCGCAAAGCATTTACACCTAGGCATCACGCTTATTTATCACAGGAGAATTTTTGAATCGCCTGGAATGTTTTATATGTATATCATGACACTAATCCCTGCGATACTGCAATGCAGCATGGAATAGTACTACCGGTATCCTACTAATGGCAGAGGTCATCCCTTTTTTTTTTCGTACGTTAACATACACAAGAAAGAGAAGGGTATCGTATGAACAAACTTGAAGTGATCGCCTGCTTACAACATCGGTCTAAAGACTTTTTATCATCGCCTACACGGAAATTCCCCCCATGACAATGAATGGGTAACCAAAGGAAGACTCCATATCCAGACCAAGATCATTCAGGAGATAGCAAATTCGGAGAGCTTGGTTCCCGTACTTGTGCCACAGATGCTCTGAATGGCATCTGTTGTTAAACTCGTGGGGAAGTCGTAGTTCGTAGGCAGAACCTGAATATGTATAGTTGAGCTGGCGGAACTGAAGACAACGGCAAGTTTCATTGTGCTAGAAGTCGGGCGTACAAAGTAGTCTGAATCGCCTCCAGGCTTGTTTGTATGGAGTGTGGACTTCAAGAATGTCGAACCAGCGTTGAGTGCTTCCGCAATATCAAATTCGCCGCATCCAGATTCCCAACATGAGCAACTTGCAGCTCCGTATTGAATTGTACGCGGAATCTGGGCGTTGAGGACCCAAATTGATGGCATGTCGGCATTGAATCCAGAGGTCCCATCTGTCGGCATGCTAAATTCTAGAAGAAACACTTTGTTCGCTCCATTGAAACCATCTACAAATGTTTTAGTGATGGGAAATCATTATCGCTGGCATGGGAAACTTACGGTAAGAAACAGATCCAGGTCGTACGTAACCGCAATCATTGTTGCATTCTTCGTCGAGCATGACAATAACCTCGGAATCCGATGGCAACGTGGTATCAGCGAGTATCTGAGGTGACGATGCACCACCTGTGCCACTGCTGTCTGTGAAAGAAAGTGAAGCTCCATAAGCTTCATCGAATACACCCGAACCTTGACCCCCGCTAGTGAAAAATAACAGTTAGTATTTGAGACCGGATGAGAATATGGTGAATTTAAGATGAACGTTGAATCAAGTTTACAAATACTTCGCAACGGTTAAATTCAATTCTGTAGAGACAGAACTTGCATTTTGAAAAAGAATTTATACTTACTGATTTCCAAGAAATACCAAATTGTCGAGAGTCTGCTCAACAGCATCATAATAACCTATTCTGCCATAAGAACCGGATGCTACAGAAGTGGCGGAAGTGGCGGAGGTGGGTTTGCTTGCGGGAGCTTGAGGCGCAGCAATAGTTGTGCTAGCGGGTGCCTGAGATACTGAGACGGATGTGCTGGCGGGTGGGATGGTTAAAGATGTAGCTGCTTGGAGATGTCAGCAGCCTCATACTAATAATGGGGGGATCCATTTCGTACAAGTCTTTTGAGGCTTTACACTTGCAGCTGCACCTTGAGATACACCTTGAAACACGGTAGTGGGTGCTGGGTGTACTGATTTCGAAGTACTTGATCCAAACCAGTTGTTGGCCCACGTTTGTATCTCGTCGTTGATTGTGGCGGTAACTACTTTTGCAGCACCATCATAAACATTAGCAACCGGAGTTGGCGAGTTATCATCCCAGGAGACAAGCTGTCCGTCAATGGTAGCAGAAATCTTGCCGCGCTTCTTATTGCCTGCCTTGACATGTTTGTCAAGATGTTGATGATAGCGACGACGTCTAGCGGTCGAGCCCTCACGTTTTTCCTTGCTGGTAGTAGTGCCTGGGGTATATGCTGCGAACTGCTTCAGCTGAAGAGGACCTGGATATTTTGTCAGTTTGTGAATTGGGGGGAAGCAAGATCAGAAATCATTTTTAATTACCCCGAAAATGAAAGGAAATTTCTTCATCCAATGGAGAGATCGGGCCAGAAAAAGACTTTGGTGTAGAAGAACAAGTTCCATCAGAGGCCATGTTGGTGATTTGATTATAAGTTCCTGATGCGCCGACATTGCTGTATTCAATAGCTTCAACCGCATTGCAAAACCAGTTTCCCAAAACCTCGGAGCAACCACTAACAGAACATATTGTCGACGATAAAACGTAGACTGCAGCCAAAAGGTTATTGCGCATGATTGATCTTGTAAGATAAAGTAGGTGATTGTTTTGATTTCATTCGAGTAAGAAAAGAGGAATAGTAAGTGTAATTCTTGCGGGTCGTAAGAAAAATATGAATGGTTGCCTGTAGGTGATATTTTCCTGTAACTTGAAGGTCGTACGATTTGAATTATAAAGAGGGTTGAAAGGCTTGCGACGACGTGAATGCTGTGAAGGCGTTATTGGGGAGATTGCGTGTGGTATTGTTTGTATTGTAGGTAGGTAGGACTGGATTTGTTTGAATTTTGTGATTGGATTGTAGTATTCGTGAATAGTGAAATAAAATGAATGAATACTGAGAATGAATAATCAGAATCGTCGCAAACAAATACAATTATGAGAGGTAGAAAGGCACCAAAAAGAGTGACTATAGTTAATATGTAAGTGAACCACAATCTGGTTAAAAGCGAAAAGTGAATAGCGAAATGAAGGTGGAGTGAGGTTTGAAGTAAGAATCTGAGTGAAGTGTGAATAAATAAATAGTTGTGAGTTGAGGAGTGAGTGAGTTGACCTTAGGTTTAGTTTAAAGAGAGAGGCAGGCAATGAAAAATGTTCATAAGAGAGACACAAAAATGGCAGAAAGGATCGTGAAGTGATTACAGAGATAGAGAGATACAGACAAGACACCATAAATTACGGGAAATGAAGGATCATATCATTTATTAAAGAAGGAAGGAATGAAGGAAGGAAAGAGAAGGGCTGAAGAGTTATTTAGGAAGGAATCATAGGAACATTAGAGAATAATAAACTTCCAAAAATAATAAGAATCGCCGTCAGCAGCAGGTCAATAGAGGTCAATAGCTGGGTTAAATAGCCGCCGTGTAGTTACTAACTAACTAACTAACTAACTGTCCGTTCGTACCTGCATCTGCCATCTGCCATCTGCCATCTGCCATCTGTATGATGAGAAGATTAGTCGCATTACACACAAAACTGTAACTAACATCAACCAATCAACCAAACTAATCAAAGCAATCAACCAAAGCAATCAGTCAAACCATAGGTACGTATGTATAACATCAAATCAAAAGATCATCAACTCAGTACTGGTACTAGTACTAGTACTAATATCACACAAAACAAAATAAAACAAATCACCTATACCATACATACCATACTAGGTACTAACTAGGTAAGTACTTACAACATTCAACATTCTAATCTTCCCAACTACCTAGTAGTATTTTGTACTCAAATTCCTTGGGTTTGGGTATTGATATACGAGTAATATGATAACTCCTTTTCATCAATCAAGAATTGTGTCGAATAGATATATATATAACAAATACAGGAGTCCTTGTCATTCATTATCTGTACTTCACCTGCTCACTTCACTTCACTTCACCTATTCGACTTTTCAAAGTTATATCTCTACTACTACTCGAGTACAAGCAGCGTGGAATTCTTGTTTTCGAGATAGATCATTGGGCTAATACAATACATTCCTTCTTCAATTCAAAAGGAAAAAGATTCGAAGTTATATCTTTATTACAAGCAACATAGAATTCTTGCTTTCGGGATAGATCATTAGACTAATACAATACATTCCTTCTTCAGTCCTAAACGAAAAAAGAAAGGAATTATCGCTTTCGAGATATCTTTTCGAACGATTACCTAGGTACATTCCTTCTTCAATTCAAAAGGAAAAAGAAAAGAATTCTTATTTTCGAGATACATCATTGGGTGACTGACTACCTAGGTATATTTCCTTCTTCAATCCAAAAGGAAAAAAAAGCAGAGAAAGACATCAATACACAAAACAACATCATTTCACAGAAACATTTCAAGTCAGGTCAAAGACATCAATATAAGATACGAAGACTTTTAGAATTGAATCGCTTATAAGTTCAAAAAAATGCATACATTATATATAAATTGACAATGCAAGGTATTGTTCAATGGTATCCTGCCTCCATACTCCATCCTGTGAAGAATATATCAAATAATATTCCCATCATAGTAACTACTACTCTGATCCAACTCGCTCCACCAATTCAAGTCTTGTCGAAGTCACTTGTGCTCCACAAAAGAGACTATCATGAGTAATTGGTTGGAACAAAATTCGCATTTCCAAATCACGCTATGTACCACTCAGTATTCCTCCACCTTACATTGGTCCGGCCATGAGAACTGTCAAAGTGGCAGTATCTTGTGAAATGAAACAGCTGCCGTCGCTGGTACCAATTGGCTGGGTATCAGTCAACCAGTAGTTTTGGGTGGGGTCACTGGTGCAACCTGAAGCTTCCTCACTGCTGATGGTCATGTTGTAGTTGTTGCCAGCTGAGTTCATGATGGCAGACATATCGTATCCAGAACCAGACTTGAGGAATTGAGCCTCACCCCAGGTGGTATCGTAGGCACCGGAAAATGCAGTTGAACTGCAGGCCTGGGCCCAGGCGATTTGAGAGTCCTCATCGAAAGCAATGGTCTGAGAAGCACCAGCTGCGAGAGGAAGGGTGAGTGTTGTGTTCTTTGGCGCTAACGCAGACCCGGAAAGTGGTTGCATATCAGGACCAACTTTGTTCCAGATGTTGACGGTGATGGCCTTGGACTGAGTATTGACGAACGTAGCGGTGAAAGAGTAGCTGGCCGAGGAGTCGACCTTGATGACGTTGGATCCATATGGACTACCGTAGTTTCCAAGGTACGCATCGGTGGTTCCTCCAGCAGCGGCTACGATGGTACCGAAAGATGTTCGAGTATTGGAAGCTCCAACCAAGTCATCGAAGAGTTCCTCGAGTGCATCGAGAAGAGAAGAAGAGGTGGCGGAAGATTTAGCGGAGCTTGTCTTGGAAGACGAGCTAGTGGCAGTGGCACTGGCAGCTACTGATGAAGTAGTATATGCAGCGGCAATCTTGTTACCCGCGAGTTCGGCGTAGTCAGCGTCGGCGGCGACGGTAGGGACAGCGGCGACGGTAGCGACGGTGGTAGCCTCGGTGGTAGCGGTAGGAGCTGCTTTAGAGGCCTTGCCTGCTGCATAGGCGGATGACCAGTTGATACCCATATCCGCCCAGTCTAATGCCTCGAAATCAACCACGGCACTATTATCATCCTTATTAGCGACCGCTCTTCATATTCACAAAGATTCTATTCTTACGCTTTCTTCTCATGTCGAGCACGGTGAGAATGGGTAGGTGAAGCTACGGCTTCACCAATGGACATGGCAGCCAAGACAATTGCGGTGGTTGAGTAACGCATTTTCGGAATGTTATGATAATTTTCTGGTATTTGCTGACGGGTATAATGATTGATCTAAATGATTTAATCGTGAAAAAGTCCGTTGCTAAAGAGCGTGCGAGCGATGTATTGCTCAAATGATTGATTGAAAAGACAAAGGAGTGTGTCGAATTGATTGAACTGAAAATGCGATGAAGGAAAGAAGGAGAGAATACGAAGGAGCGGGAGGGTTATTTAACAATCATCTTAAATTGGGGCGATTATTAGTTGTCTGGGGGTGCCGATGGATAAGTTGGGCTTCTTTGGCCAACTAGGCCACGATTAAAAGACTTAAGACTTATTCTCTTATTCTATTCCCTCCAAGCTACGAGGTGCAGGGGGGGTTCGATTGAGATGAACCCAAGCAACGCCGGGGGGAATTAAGACGGTCCACTAAAAACGCGTTCCTGAAAGATCAACTCCGAGAAAAAGGGGAAATAGTTCAATAATTGGTCAGATCATTTACATCTCCCACTTCTTTTTCGAGTACGCTTATCCAGGGGCAAAAACTGCCACAGCAGATCAACCAAAAGAGTCAAGCACGGCGGTAGGAAGGTCACTTACTCAGTTCAATCAATCAAGTTCACCACTTCTTAGAGGCCTTCGTTTCATATACTTCTACCCGATTGGAGCCACGCAAATTAAAGAAACAGAAACACCAACTTCTTTTTTCGAGCAATATTGAGTGAAGCGGTTTGGTCAAATTGATTGTTTCTATTTTCGATAGCAATCACAGTATTTTTGAACTATTTCTACTCGAGTATGGATGAGAAATGATTTTGGATAGGGTTGCTGTATATGTAATCATATAATCATGGATACAAACTCATGGATCCGGTATTGATTCTAACTTGAATCATTGAAGAAGAACAAGTTTCTCGTTCGTAGAGACACTACCTACTAGAATTCCTTGTAAAAATGGATACTGTATATAGCAATCAATCCAGACCTTTTTTCTTTAGACTCTTAATTAGGCTCTTAATTAGACTCTTGAGAACTGATCCAACTTTCAAGGTTCTTTCTCATCGAACTCATTTCTTCAACTGAGTTCCTGAATCCTGAGTCCTGACTGATGAAAAAAGTCTGAATCACGAATTTGAATTTGTGCAGGGCGTGCTTGTGATGTTGATCAGCATTATGTGTAATAAATGCAATACATACCTAGTACCCTATGCAGTATGCATGTGGGTAATAAATCACTTCTTTTATCTTTTATCCTATAGAGAGTGAGGGATGAAAGTACTGAGTATTGTGGATCATTGTGCAATCTTTATGCAGAAGATTTTTTCTTTCTTTCTTTCTTTCTTTTTTGGGAGGGGGGAGGGGGGAGGGGAGGGACGGAAGGGATGGCTCTAGAATTCAAATTCAAATTCAAAATCATAACTGACTTTGTTTGAATGATTTGAATCGGATCGAATTAATTTTTTTTTTACCTCCGATAGATAATCCGATACAGTAGCGATCCGATAGCAATGCATAGCGGATATCTATCAAGCCTGTCAAGAATGAAGAATCAAGAATCAAGGTGCTGAATGGAAAGAGTTTAGACTTTAGACTTTAGACTTTAGAGTTTAGAGTTTAGAGAAGCTTAGGAGGCCTAGAAGCCTGAGACTATCTTCTAGGCGCGGAATTTTTTCGGTGCAGAGTTTTCTCTTTTCCGAATGATGGATGATGGATGATTCGAAGTTCGGCATTTTATTACAGGTATGATACAGATCACAGTAGGCTACATACTAGCATACTAGAGGGCTAGCGAGTAAGAACCTCCTTCCTTCCATCCGATGCCACAATCAATTGTAACGCCTATACCATGTACCATATGTACTTGTAGCATTATTATCGTCCGAAGGTTGGTTCATTAGTCAGTTGACAACAGTAGTTATTAGAGGTTTATTAGTTACTACTTTCTCCTTTCCCTTGTGCTTTTGCTGGTACTTTGCAATTGCTGGGTAGGTAAGTAGATATCTTGGGAAGTAGATATTCAAGATATCTATTAGTAGATACAGTACTAAAGTATCTATCGATTTGCAAATATAGAATAGAATACTCGAGTAAAACAAAATTTCCCTCTAAATTCGACTGTCTTGAATTTTTATATACAGTTTCTATTCCCGTCTAGTATAGGGATCGATCTCTCTTATAACTAGAGATTTTGGAGGTCTAGTACTATTACTATACTATACTGTAATTCTAGAATGAGAGGATAGTTTTTCGATAATTATACGAGTAGAAGAACTTTGATCTTTTGATATCTATTGATATCTCATATATCGTTGTATAGTAACTAATTGGATTCCATATACAATTAGTCAAAAAAAAATCAGAGTTGAAACAACAAATGTTTTATTAACCTACCTAGGTACACATCTAGACTTTCACTTTCCAGCCTTCCTATCAAAAAGTCTTGGTTTTAGGTAGGTGATTCTATGCCGTTCGCTGTGCATATCACATTGTTTCAGGGCTTGCGATAGGACCAATAATAGGTTTCTAACTTGTAAATTTAATTGATGGCTAAATTGTTTTACTATTCAAAAGAAATATTGTATTGACAGGTCTGATCATATTGCATATTGCTACAGGAACGATTTTGAAATGAATCATATCATAGGGATTCAATTGCGGATTTTATCGACTTTTGTTAGATTTGGATATAGAGTAGTACTGTGATTCTGTTGGGGTATCCGGTATTATATCGTTTTGCTAGTTCTGTTCATCCCTAGTAGCTGGTAGCGATGTATGTACTCGAGAGTACGCTTACGCTTATGACTACCTAGTACGATGCTGGAGTCTGGACGACCACATTTACCGATACTTTAATATAATATTAAAGTTTGTTGATTCTCTATGGAGTAAATACCTACTCGAGTTACTCATGCCGCCCGCCAGAAAGTCCGCAACAACTCCTCGGGTAAGCTAGCACAATGCCAGGAATCAGGCCTAATCTTTAACTTCCCGAGTTGCGGACTTTCTGGCGACATGAAGTAGATAACTATATATAATAAGATTTAAGATTCCACGGATGGATATGATGATATCGGTATATATACTCGTAGTAGTACTGTTATATATATACGATTCAGAAGTCAGATTCAGATTCAGATGGAGGAAGTTTAACTTTTTAAATCTCTGGGAGCTATATGGTAGAGTACCGGTAGGTATTTACTGTAGGTAGCCTGTAGTCTGTCAAAGATTGATATATCTTACGAGGACATATACTGGTTCGGTTGGTAGGTAGGTAGGTAGGTAGGTAGGTAGGTAAGTAGGTAGGTAAGTAGGTAAGGTTCATGTGGCAAATGATACCGATCGATTGATCGTTTTAGTTGTGTTAGTGTTAGTGTCAGTGTCAGGATCAATGTCAGTATTAATATCATATTGGTCACCAGGAGTATTTCCTTATTAGGTAGAAAGACTACTTAGATACTCACCCACAAGTTTACCTAATCTTACATCAACATAGGCTATTAATATACGAGTAAACGCATGGTAGAAGGCACAAAATACCAAGTAGGAAGCTAAAATACCGTTATAGATACTCAGTAGCGTGTCTGGTTTCCAAGGTCTTTCTTTTTCCCTTGATCCATTGCATAATAAATCTTTCACACAAGTGGTGAGATGTGAGATGTTTCTATTCTGATGATATAGTAGGTAGGTAGGTAGGTAGGTGGGTATTGAGGATTGAGGATCGTGGGATACGAGGGAGACTGGCTTTCCGAATGTTTGAGCTTTTCTGGCGGTGGAAATGTCGATTTCTTGGGCCACGGAGGAGAAGGAGAAGGAGAGGGAGGGAAAAATTTGTACATTGTATGATTTGATGATATGATAGGTGGCGTATATGCATTTCGTTGGTTTCCAAAAGGTGATGTGAGAGATGAGGTAGGATGACTATATTGACAAATCAGATCAGATGAGATTATAATTAACATCACTGAGGTAAGAGAGAACAGCATCCGAGGTATTCGAAGATGAAACCAATCTCCCTCCCCACTTCGATGGACACAATGATGATATATTATCCCAAGAACTATACACCATGTATGGAGATCTTATGGTACAGAACTACTAAGTCCATATATCCATCCCATCCATCCCATTCCATCTCATTGTTCCAGCTGTTGTATTCTGTTCGATTCTATATGTCCATTCGCATCTGATCTCACGTATTAAATATACATTATCGATATTCGAGATATCTGAGTCTTGTATCATATTCATGTATTTTATAATGATTTATCTGTATGCTGAACTCGAATACACTGTACTCGTACAGGCACGTCATCTCGCATGTTTGCTTCCACTCTTCTTTGATATATGGACTTAGATGCTCCGTGTAATTTATGTCTTTTCCTGATCCATGTCCATACTATGTTTATATCCATATCCATATCCGGTTCCAGTTCCAAATGCCCAACACCAAACCCACCTTTCTTGAACATTCGTGAATAGCATAAGCATAATAGAGGTAGTAGTGGCATACGATATCTATTCTTCTCTACCCTCTGGGCTTCAATTTTGTCCACCCACTCGTTCCAGGCTTCTTATCTTTCTCTTTGCCTCTAGTCACTACCGCCCCTGCCCTTAAAGTGTCATCGCCTTCCCCTTCTCCTCCTCTATCCTTATAAACACCATTCGCAAGTCCGAACGAAAGCCTTTCCGCAATCCCGGTGCCGATGACAGCGCCATTCCCATCACCCACCATTTCAACCGCGTCCATCACCGTCCGCATACTCATAAAACTCTGCATCCCAGCCATAAAGTCACTATCCTTTCTTAAACCACTAGTCCCCACCCCGGACCCCTCTTTCCTGGCTCCCACTACAACCCCATCATCACCCATCTCATCCTCTACCGCCCACGCATCCTGATTCAGAACTTCCCATTCCGCGTTCGCCACTTCGCTCATGAGTTTGTTCTTTAGTCTATCAGCTAGTTGGTTTGGACGTGGAAGTTTAAAGCCGCGTATAAATTCTGCGCCTTCTGCGCTTCCGAGGAACGAATAGGCGGAACCGTGGCTGGCCCAACCGAGAAGTGAACGCTCAACTTTGGAATTCTTCTTTTCTTCGCCTTCAGTGTAGCCATTGGGATCGAGATGATTGGGGGGAGAGGGAGGGAGTGATGCGGAGCGGGGTGTAGGTTGCAAATGAGGTTTATCGCCTATGAGGAGTTTCCATAGATTTTTCCCTATGTTGCAGATGTCTTCGAAGGTTGTGGTACCATTTTCTCCTACAGATACCCCTTGGCTTTTACATAGCCATGCTATATTGTAGGCGAGGAGGATTGCGCCTTCGAGAAAGGAGGTATGAGCAGCCGAATCTTCATTTGCCAACAGGGGCAGAGGCTTGTTGATCCATAAAGGTCGGGGTCGAGGTTGACTAGAATTCTCATTATGGCGAGAGGTGGAAGGACTGTTGCTGGATGAGCTAGACGTCCCCCCAGGAAATGGTACATTGGTATGTAGATATGAGGAAGGTAAAGAGAATATCGTAGGTAAAGGATAATCTCGGTGAGGAAGGATTACTTCTGCAGGTAGTCGAATAGCTAGATAATGGGTGGCTAGCATGAGGGTGTGCGTGATGTGAGACAAAGAGGTAGAGATTTGGGCAGGGCTTGCCGCTGAAAATGATTGTTAGCATTATACTTATACGCAGAAAAGGAATATGTACTGTTCATCAACCTCAAATCTACAATGCCGATTCCACCTATCTTATATTCTTCCCCTCCATTAGCTCTCCCGACTCTCTGAAGCCCATACAATTTGGCAGCTTCGTAGCAAAGATAGGCCCTGGAACCCCCGATAAGGTTATATGCTTGGTTCCATCTGTATTTCGTCCGACGAGTAGAACCTTCAATGTCTTGTATTTGCTTCGTCCTGCGAGCTTCAACGCCGCTTGAAGCTGAGGTAAGTTCTGCCCGTCTCTGATCGTTTGCAGCCTTCTTTTTACTGCGCTCCTCCTTCGCTCGCTCCACCTTCGCCCTCAACTCATCTGCATGACCAATGATCTGGTTCGTGCGGTCTATGATCTGCTCTCGCTCAGCAAATAATGCATCGTAGTTGGACTGAGTGGCGACCGCAAGTTGTTCGTCTTCTAGTCTTCCCGATTTCGAAGGCGGCGGCGGAAAGCGCCCGCTGATTTCTCGATCAAGCGCATCCTTTTCTAGGAGAAAGCCAGCGGTTCGAACTCGGGTTTCGTATAGCTGGTTGCGCGCATCTGTCGGACAAAGGAATGGGAGCTTATGCCCGCCTATTCGGAAACATATATCGCACTGCATCTCGTGCAGCTGCCGACAAAGGTTTGCTGTGTAGAAGTTGTAGGAGACGATGTAAGTACGGATGTTATGAATTTGGATATTGTCAAAGAGTGTAGATTTGAATAATTCTAGGGAGGCATATAATACATCATGCGAAATATAAGAAAGCTTCGTGATCAACGAACTTCTATGGATTATAGATGGATATCCCAAGAAGAAAGTTTAGAATATATATTGGAATAATTATGGTATAGACGTTAGGCTCAATGACCTCAGTACAAGTGATTCAATGCCTTGCCTTATCTCTGCTCGCTTGCTTATCATCACATGATTGCGTGCCATTTTCGTGGTTGAAACGTTAAATTTTGAAACGAGGCTGCTAAACTTTAGTTCTGACCTCAATATTACGGCAAGTGCGACGGTATCACTCACTAAATCGGCTCCTTCCGTTTATGCCTATACTTTCCTTAGGGCCGATTTCATTTTTAGCGACTATCCTTATTCCACTTTCCCGATGTCTGAAATAGACCACTCTCCTCCAAAAACTCCTCGTCGACCTATTATGGCCATCGTGAACGAAAAGCTTGCCGAGAAATCGGCTGCCAGAGGTACTACTCCAACTCCAGGTCTAACTCCTGCTTCTTCTTCAAAATTGCCTCAAAAGATTCGAGGTGTTGGTCAGCGCTTGCTGCCCATCAGTATTCAAATTCCTGCAACGCCGCAATCTTCAAGCCCATCACCCTCCAAAGAGTCACATGTTCTGCAGCATCACGATCACACGGATGATGTTAGCCAAGATGTAGATATGGATCCACATGCAGAGCCAGAATCAGGGCCAGACGAGACGGTTGTCAGTCTAGATTCATTAGAACCCAAGAGAGGAGACTTGGGCCCATTTAACTGGGAAGGCTTTGAACAATGCTATGAGATGGCTATCAAGGAAATGAGCGACAAGGAGGACCATTTGATTGAGGATTTTCAGAACCTTTCCGAGGTTCGCTTCCTGACTTGCCGTATATTGTCGACGCTAATGGGTGTTGAAGGCCTTCACTATCTGGGCAGAATCTTCCTCGGAGCAAGATAATGAGAGGGCATGCAAGCGGTGAGTTGTACTTGAACGTGATTCATATCGACTTACCAACTAATATTTGCTTAGTCTAAAAACGAGAGAAAGATACGTGCAGATACAAGAGATGTCATTGAATGCCAAAAAGCAGCACTGTGAGTGGTTTTCCGGCATTTCCATTTTCAATGCTAAGATCTTTATAGATACGAAAGTTGTCGAAGCATTCAAGCAAGCTCTCCAGTTGTTTGGAGAATGACTTTTCATTTTGCTGTTCATTTCTACATGTCATAGTCACAGGGTCAGTTTCACGGAATCTTTGTTTTTGCTCTATTTGGTTGGGACATAAGGCGCAATAAGGAACTGGTCGTGGTCGATATTTGCTAAGATACCCCCATATTTCTGCTTGCTCATATATTGCAATACTATTCGTCATATTCATCCTAATCGCAATCACACTAATGTTGTCAAATCAACAAGATGTACTTATCTTTTCTGCATGGTTTAGTTTTCCAAGGGAAGCGTTATCAAGACCAAGCTATTTAGAAGCAGTGGGAGTGAACTACATTGATGCGACAGAGAATGGAAATAAGATATGTTAAGTACATAGCGTCGGCACCCATGATATTTCTGATCTGTGTCCGTCGTGGTGACCGCTGTGTCATAATTTGAGACATCCAGTAATATCATTGCGCGTGAATAAGCTTGATGGACAATTGTGAGATATACTCATCTCAAAATTCATAGATGCTACCCAGATTTTTTTTTTAGAATAGCCAGAAGATAACAGGCAAAGTGTTGGTATTCACCGTCATTGATGGATGGGCCAGGGAGACAGAATATGAAGCTTTCGAAAGATCACAGAAGCAAAATAATGGAAGACACTTCCGGGGTCGCTCAATTGCATATCTTCTAGCTTTACGAACTTGACAAACATCCATTGCATGACTTTACTGTTGAGAAGGTTCAAATCTCCAGAATCTTATAAATTATTCTGGAAGATATACTCGAGTAAAGGATTACTCCTCATGCTTCTAGCCGTGACTTTGTGAGTCGGTCTCAGTTCAAGCTGCGTATATAGAGCCTCCCTCACCTCCTTATGTTCTTAAAGACTTCAGGGGCCTTTAATTCAATGTTTAATTCAAGAATTTGATCTAGCAGCCCAAGCACGATCTGTCCACCACACCAGGGGAAAAATTGTCCCAAGTCAATTATCAAGTTGGAGTTTTAAATTTATTCTGAAATGAGGTTGTCGGCCATTCTAAGCCCGATGTCTTAATTTCATGCGGGTCGAGAGCTTATACGCTAGACTTCACGCTAAAGTCTCGGCCACCGTAGTCTACCATAAAAAATTGAAAACTTACTTATTTTACAAGTGTATGATTCTCATCCATTAACAAATATGACAACACAAGCACCAACAAGCACGCCTCACACTGCGCGTCGCTATGTCTGCGCCGGAGGTAACACAGGTTAGTTCCTTCTACTCAAATAAGTTTTACAATACTGATCAATCCTAGTTTGATCTCTTGGCTTTCCAATCTGCTCACTTCGGTGATACCTCAACTGAACATTTTGCACTTCAATTTCTGGGTCCTGTACAGGATACATATGAAGCAATCGATGACGATGGTCTTGGGTACTACTCTGACGGAGTCAAAAGAACCCTGACTGATGAACAAATCGCGATCTTTCGACATTCCGAGATTCAAACCATTCTTCGAAAACGTAGGCATGCCGAAGAGTCCAACCAGTCTGACGATGAACGCGCTACATCGGAAATTCCCAAAACCGATCATTTAGAACAAGTCAAGGCAGAGGAAGAAGATGGAGAGATTGCCGAAAACTTTTCGCATCCTGAGCCAATCGGACCTGCGCGACCGATCAAAAAGTCAAAGAAGGAACTGAAGAAAATAAAGAAAGCTCAAGAAGCCAAGGAGAAAGGCTGGTTCAAACAAAATATCAAGCCCGACTTACGAAAGAGGACTTGGGATAAAGTAGAAAAGTCTATTGGGTCTCTCGCATATGATGACGATGATGAGGGTGGTGGTAATAGCCATGCCTCAAGTTCAGCGCCGCAGAGAAGAAAGATCTCTTACGATGATCCTTGAGCAATTCATAGCTTGATGCTGCTCATACTTCGATGAAAGCTTCATCATTTCAAAAGGTCAGTGCTTCTTCATTCCACCCTGTTCACGTCATCGATCAAATGATGAAAACCTTTCGTATCGTCATCCTTAGTCGGAACTGGCAATTATACTATGGCTCTTTCGGCTTGCTTTGGCTTGCCTTGGCTCGTCGATATGGGTTCTTGTATACATCTGCTGGTCGTGATGAGACATAATCTTCTCTCTGAAATATTGTTGAAGCTTCCACCTTTCACATCATTACAAACGCTTTTTGAGAACCCATACTGACTGTAGTAGTCATCAAACCTGGTCATAAATCCTGCATCAGCATAATATGCTTCATGCTTCACTTTAGCATGTGGCAATATGCATGCGCTATAGATTGTCCAATTTTCTCAACACACTCTTCCTTCCGGTATGTATCAAACATTTCACTTTCACCCCTCGCTTTTATGATGACAAAGGGCCATGAGGCCTGAATAATCCCAGCTCGTCGAGTGCCTCACATTAAATGTAGAGAGCATACTGAGATAAGAAACCCGTTCTGAAAAGCAATCACTATTTTATAATTGAAATTAATTCCACACGCTGTGTGCTAATTCTCATTTCTAGCTTAATTCTACCAAATATCGATGGTTAGAAACCCGTCACCTCACCTAGAGAGAGACTGCACAATGTCTCACACGCTGTCAAAGCCAGCACCTGGCTTTCATGCCATCATTCTTTGTAGATTTGTATCATCTGTCCCTATTTTCACTTCCAATCCAGATGAGATCTTAGAGGCGTCTTCTGAAGTTAGTACGGTGGAGATGGAAGATATGAAGGGCGGAATGGAGGCTGAAGGTCTATGATAGTTGCTCGTAAGAGTGTATCACCCCCTTAGTAGCTACTTGAGTACTTGTCATGTCTGCAGAAATGTAAGTGCAATGGAAGACTGAAAGTTTGCAATTAATTTTGTAAATCAGCAGAGAAATGTGGTTCTGTGGCCATAGCAAATAAGACAAGGCTGTTTTTCAGCCTTAGAAATTTGGCATCGATCAAAGCTCCCACTTCTTCCAATACTACAATTTGACCAACAACATTCATCGTTCCATCAACCTCAAAAGTGAAAATGTGTGACCCTCCAAGTTATGACCAAGATCTACTTAATCGGCTTAATGCGTTAAAGAAGACGAGTATTCAACTCGATGCATCTCCGTAAGCTGGATACCAATATGGCCTTGTTGTCACATGCTGAGTCCTTAGCCGTCCACCACTAAATGTTTTTTCAAAGGAGTCGACACCTGAAATAGACTTGTCCGAGAGACTTCGGAGCTTACGAAGCGGAACTCCATCGAGAATCTCCACCCTTCAAGCTTCCGCGCCCGTTAGCACCCCGTCGCCTCCACGACAATCCAGTTTCTACAGTCAAACCATAGCGAGCGATGCCGCTCCCCTATTTTCAAACGATGCCCATGATGATAAATCTCTGGATGAACTCTTAGCAGAACTTGGGTCTGGATCCGAGTGGCTCAATCCCGATGATCCAAATGATATTCAGAAACTTCTTGATGAAGCCCAGAAAGCTTTGCCAGGTCATGATGACGTCGCTTCAGAAGAAGAAGTATCAAAGGAGGCATCAGAAGAGAAGCAGCACAAACAGAAGGGTAATGTCTTGACAAGTGGTCTTGATATGTCGGTATTTGCTGTAGATGACGAGGAGGAGCACGGAGAAGCTAGGGAGAAACAAATAGAGGGCTTGGACAGCGAATCACGTGAAGTGCAGGATATAGTTGCTAGATTATTGGATGAGGTGAAGCTAGAGGATGCGGTTAAAGCTGAAGAAGAGCAAGCACGGGAAGCTACTAACGCAGACACGGATAGGAAATCCCTCTCATCGTTTCCAAAATACAAACAGAATGATGACGAGAAACCCGATATCACTCTCCCCTCGGCCCCATCAACACAGCCCGAACCGAGCCGCAAATCCCTCGATTTCGAATCCGATATCACGGCGCGAATGGCTGCACTCAAGGGTCTTGAGTCGAGCAGTGATTCTCTCGGTTTACCTTGTTTACCTTCAGCGCCGACCACCAAACCGGTTGATAAGCATAAGCAGCCTGTCACTGGCAAAGGGTCTGCGACAGGAGCATTGCAGAGGTATACGGATGGGGAAATGGATACGTGGTGTGTTATATGTCAAGATGATGCGGTGGTGATATGTGTGGGTTGTGATCGGGACTTGTATTGTGCTAGGTGTTGGACGGAAGGCCATATGGGGCCGGATGCTGGGCTTGAGTTTAGGGGGCATCAGTGGAGGAAATGGGATGCATCTACGAGTAGATAGTTGGGGATTGGTTGGTTGTGGGATTGATGGGGTTTGGTTTTATGTCATAAGATTATAATATAATCAATTAGTCGTCAAATGTATCTTATTCATTTCGATCCTTCTATTGGGTGTTTCAAAGGATCATATATGCATGGTGTTGCTTAAATCATTGATCACCACAATCAGGTGTTTAGAATGTTGAGATGGGATGATGCTAACCATAAGTGGATAGACAGGAAAGTAAAAAGACGGTATGGGATGATTGGATAATATGGATATAACCTTTTTGGGTCTGGGAGAGTTATGGGCCAATATGGTAGATCTGAAAATCTCAGAATATACAGTGAGACAGAGGAAGAGAAAGGTCTAAGATATAGAAATGAAGATTGGGATATTTCTTTTACACACGATGAGTAAACAAAAGACAATTCGATAGTTACAATTGAGGAATTTGTAAACCGACTATACAGGCTTTCCTCCCTCATCTCGCTATTCTCATCCTATTATTCTGCTTACTGGAGCCTAGCAGTATTGATTGCCATTTTGTGAAGGTCTCAATAGAAACGTGTGGTCCTGCTCATAACCGTGTCCAAATAGCCAAATGCAAAACGAAAAAGAAAATCCTTAAACAAAGCGTGTATATACTGTACAAGATACAATTTCCCAAATCAACTCCTGCTTGTTTCCAATCCCATCCAGACCCAACCAACATCCACCAAAATAAGAAATAACAATTTCAGTAAGAAAAGGCTAAGGAATTGGTGGAGAACTAATTATCATTAAGATCATCATCACCACGGATTCCTCGGCCAGCGGCACCACTGCTAGTATTCTGCTTCTTGGTTTTGCCACGGATATCCTGCCATGTCGCACCAAATCTTCTGCCGGTACTGGCAAGAAGACCTTCTTCCTCATCAGCCTCAGCATCTTCATCAAGCTCGCTGATATCTAATCTAGGAGTTCGAAAGAGTGAAGTGACGAAGACGATCAAGAACACTGCGAGGAAGGCGAATTGAGCCCAGAATGCGAGTGCACCGAAGAATGGGAAGTTGACGGTAAGTCTGTTGAGGAATGTAGAGACAACGCTAGGAGTGCAAACCTTCTCGGCACCTTCGCCAGAAGATAGCTCACTGCAAGTCTTAATCAACTCGGGATGGTTGCTACAGTCTGGTTGATCGCCGGGAAATCTAGTAGGGTTGGCGCAGAAGGTTTGAGCGCCATATATAGCATATTGCGGGGCTATGATCATAGCAATCGAATAGTTGATTGCGAGAATGATCAAAGTCAACATGACAGTTGCCATGAGAAGAGCTTGGGGGGAAGTGTGGCCTTTCCGTATCTCAAAGAGCTTCACCCACAAGAATCGGAGACCGATCGCGGCAATACCTGTCACCGAACTGCTGAAGAGGAACAAGACTAGAAGTGCCATCAAGACATAGTCAATTGGGAAGACTACAGATGACTTGACGAAAATCCAATTAATCGGCTGGAAAATGTTGATACTGAATCATAAATTAGCAAAATTGTCAGTCATGTCAGAAAACGGATGCCTTTACCTTCCTAGGATGTAACCACAATGCTGTTTGCAGAAGGAATTCTTCGCCTTATCAATTCCGGTAATGAGCATGGAAACCCATATAACAACAGCGAGAACAAGGAGTAGTATTCCTCCAACCAATTTGAGGGGCCTGAAGATTGCGCAGGTTTTGGTCCATGCTCTCACGATAAAGCTCTTCCCTTCTCCTCGGGCTTCTGAGGCTAGACGTTCACGTCGAACCAGAGTGCGTTCCTCACGGTGTAATGCCTCCAGCTCTCGCTGGTCTTTAGCCGGCAAACCGCCGTTTCTCCCGGCATTTCGTCCTTCGAGTTGACGTTGTCGTTCTCTGTTTTGCTCTAGAGCTGATGCGGTTGTTTCTGAAAGTTGTGGTGCACTAATGGAAGGTGCGGATTTAATGAAAGAGATAGGCAATAATGCCAATCCAACAGCAGTGTAAAGGACGTACAACAGCGTGCCCAATGAAATCAATAGTCCTAATGCGAAGGTCAAGGCGCGCTCTCCATGATTTTCAGCCAGCAGACGTTTGAAATAGTCTAGGTCCATATCGGTTCCACGATCTTTTGCAACAGGTACAAAAAATCCAACCAGGAATACGATTACGACAAGGACGACAAAGATTAACGTATATTTTGCAGCGCCGAGAAATCTTTGGCCGAAAGTCTGTGTGCCTTCCTCCGCATCGACTTCGTCATATTCCTCATAGAAGAAGTAGGTAAATGGGATGACGAGGAGACACAATACAGCATCCAAGCTATACAATGCATAATAAACGATTTTGAGAGTCAGGACGATGTTGTGAACGGTTTCGGGAGTTGCCCAATCCTTCTTTGCGCCAAGCTTCGAGGAAGTAGTAGAGCTAACAAGGGCAATATCAACAGGAAGAAGTAGAACGGTTGCCAGTAGAGAGGTCAAGGTGATGATAGTAATGGTAGAAACCAGAGCTGAACGATCGCGTGGTGTCTGATAAGTATACGTAAAAATGGCTGCTATGAGAGCTACGATGCCCACAGCGACGGCATAGGCAACCCATATGAACGCAGTCTGTATGAGCGCCATGTTTGAAGGCGAGGATTTGATACTAAAATCGCAGATAAATGTTAGTAATGCTTGCGTTAATGATATTAGAAACCTTTCTGTAGTTGAAGTAATACGCATGCGGAGGGAGCAATAGCAAACCAAAATATTACCTAACGGATGTACCAGACGTACCAAATAAATATTGATATCAAGTTTGTTGTATTATACTCGTCGCCAAACAATGTTGTGATACAAAATATTACGAAGTACTGTAGATTAATTGTGTTGTTTCTTGTTATTGTCTTTCAATCTATCTTGAAATATACAGGATTCTAGACGTCTGACGTAAACGAGCGTCTGCGGGGGTACAGTAGTAAGCTTCAAGGGAGGATGGATAGGATGGATAGGGCCAAGTGCTGATAACGCTAAAATTTGTAAATAGTGATTCGCGGTTCATGAACCACCGACAACTTGCGACTGGCATTCTCTGAATATATCAACAACTTCGAAAACAAATCCGAATTATCTCACCGATTGATGGCATTGATGCTTTACTTTTGATCATAATGCAATGCTACACGGAGCTGACACCTCCTACAGCTGTCACACATTCTTTGACTCTCCCATTCTTGTCGGCAGATGCCAGCAACCTCGTCGTCGCAAAAGCCTCATTACTACAAATATTTACAATTAAGACTGTGTTCGTGGATTTGGACCAACGTTCTGGAAAGGATACTTCGGCAGTGAACGATCCCACAAGCATTGATGCTAGGGTTCATGATGCCGATAGGGTTCAAGCTGCATTCCTTGGCGCAGATTCAATTTTGCAACAATCCGAATTAGCTCAGACGACGAAACTTGTACTTATAGCCGAATATAACCTTTCGGGGACGATCACATCTATTGTTCGAGTAAAAACTATATCCTCGAAGACTGGTGGTGAAGCACTTTTAGTGGGATTCAAGGATGCAAAGCTTAGTCTGGTAGAATGGGACCCAGAACGACCTGGCTTATCAACGATATCAGTCCATTTTTATGAACAAGACGAACTACAAGGAAGCCCATGGGCACCAAGTCTTGGAAACTGTGTCAATTATCTTACAGTCGATCCGGGAAGCAGGTGTGCTGCACTGAAATTTGGAGCTAGGAGTCTCGCGATTCTGCCTTTCAAACAAGACGAAGATGTTAATATGGACGATTGGGACGAGGACTTGGATGGTCCTCGCCCTACAAATTTTTCGACAAAGACTACAGCGGAAAATGGAAACCTCGATACCCCGTACGGAACCTCTTTCGTTTTACGATTATCTTCACTCGATCCGAACCTCATACTCCCAATCCACCTAGAATTTCTATACGAATATCGAGAGCCAACTTTCGGCATTCTCTCTTCTACCGTGACTCCATCATCTGCTTTGCTACAAGAACGCAAAGATCACTTGACATATATGGTATTCACCTTGGACATACATCAAAAAGCGTCAACTACGATTCTTTCCGTTGGAGGCTTGCCGTACGATCTCTTTAGGATCGTCCCACTGGCCCCGCCTGTGGGCGGAGCTCTGCTTGTCGGTACCAATGAGCTGATACATATTGATCAAGCTGGTAAAGCTAATGGTGTGGCGGTCAACATCTTCGCGACGCAATGTACTAGCTTCAGCCTATCGGACCAGTCTGACCTTGACCTACGGTTAGAAGATTGCAAGATTGACCAACTATCTATTGAAAACGGAGAAATGCTCATCATACTACATAGTGGTGATCTTGCCATTCTGAGCTTTCGAATGGATGGAAGATCGGTCTCTGGTCTAAGTATTCGGCGAGTGACTGCAGACTTAGGCGGCGCCATATTGATTGGAGCAGCCTCATGTGTAAGTTCTCTTGGAGCAGGAGCATTATTCGTTGGCAGTGAGGTATCAGACTCTGTCGTTCTTGGCTGGAGTCGGAAGTCAGGCCAGCCTTCGCGGCGGAAATCAAGGCTTGACAGTTCAGCAATGGTAGACGTTGATGAAGCCATGCTTGATGAAGAGGATTTGGAAGATGATGACGATGATTTGTACGGTGACGGACCCACAGTCACTCACGCGGCTGGAAGTATTACAGCTTCGAATAGTAAAGATGGAGATTACGCCTTTAGTATACATGATTCTATGATCAACATAGCTCCCATCACAAACATCACATTCGGAGAAGCAGTATTGAGTTCAGGTAAGGAAGAAGAGCTCAAACTCAACGATGTCAAGAGCGAACTTCAGCTTGTAGCTGCTGTCGGTCGTGAAAAGGGAGGTTCTTTGGCAGTCATTAATCGTAATATACAACCAAAAGTCATCGGCCGATTTGACTTTCCAGAAGCTCACGGTATATGGACCATGAGCGCAAAGAGACCGGCACCGAAAGGAATACAGGCCAATAAAGAGAAGACAACCATAAGTGGCGAGTGTGGCGTTGATGCCCAATACGACAGATTAATGATAGTCTCCAAGGAGGCCAAGGCTGAAGATGCTGTTGATGAATCTGCTGTATATGCATTAACGAATGCCGGATTTGAGGCTTTGACAGGAACAGAATTCGAACCAGCCGCTGGATCCACGATTGAAGCCGGAACACTTGGCAATGGAATGCGAGTTATCCAAGTCCTAAAGTCTGAGGTTAGAAGTTATGACGGTGGTAAGTACACTTCTTTCCTTGAAATTTTACCCCTTTTCTCGGTGTGTGTGGTCGGATGGGCAAATAGGTTGGGACAAGTCTTGGGAAATTCTGTATCGTCCGCTCGTATATGTTTGCTGCCTGGGCCGCTATCTGGAAATCTATCATATCCTATAGCATCAATGAAAGCGAATTATCAACATCACAACTGTGCCTCCATGCAATCTGCTCCCAGCGACATGTCTCTTCCCACAAATTTATGACAAAGACTGTAGCTGACCACGTACCTGCGGTGTAGATCTTGGCCTTGCACAAATATTGCCGATGCTCGACGATGAAACTGGAGCAGAGCCGAAGATCATCAGTGCAAGTTTTGCAGATCCATTCCTCCTACTGATAAGAGACGATGCGAGCATTTTCGTTGCACAATGTGACGACGACAATGATCTTGAAGAGATAGAAAGAGTTGATGATACTTTGCTTTCTACGAAATGGCTGACTGGTTGTTTGTATGACGATCATAGCGGAGCTTTCTCCAATAGTAAGTCGAACAAGGCCGGGGGAAATGTGAAGATGTTCTTGCTGAGTGCTGGTGGAGCATTGCACGTGAGTTACTTTCTAAGACTGCTGCCGGCCAATTTCTAATACTCACAGATTTACGCTCTACCTGATCTTTCTATGCCAATTTATGTGGCGGAAGGAATATGTTTCGTGCCCCCTGTTCTTTCGGCAGACTATGCAGCAAGAAGATCTGCAGCTCGGGAAACTTTGACAGAAATTTTAGTTGCTGATCTAGGAGATTTCGTCTCTCGGTCTCCCTATCTTATTGTAGGACTCCGTACTTTGCTTTACTCGATTATACTGACTGACTGTGTTAGCTGCGACCTTCGAACGATGATCTTACCATCTACGAGCCTTTCCGCGTCAAGTCTGCGTCTCCAGATCTTCTCTCGTCTACACTCCAGTTTTTGAAAATACAGAACACTCACCTGGCGCAGAATCCTGACGTGTCTGCTGAAGAGCAAGCAGATGGTGCTCAACAGACCAGTGACAAGCCAATGCGTGCTGTCTCAAACCTAGGTGGATACAGTGCTGTTTTTATGCCCGGTGGTTCTCCAAGTTTCATCATCAAGAGCTCTAAGACATTGCCAAAGGTTCTCGGCCTGCAAGGAACAGGAGTTCGCAGCCTAAGTAGTTTCCATACCGAAGGTTGTGACAGGGGATTTATCTATGCCGACACGGAAGGAGTCGCCCGCGTAGCGCAACTTCCTCCAAATACCACGTTTGCTGAGATTGGAATGTCTTTGCGAAAAGTTGATTTAGGCGAGGACGTTCACGCAGTAGCATATCATCCACCGTTGCAGACTTATATCGTGGGCACCAGCACTTTCACCGACTTCGAACTGCCCAAAGATGACGACAATCGCAGGAGTTGGCAACACGAGGATATTGCCTCCAAACCATTGATTGAGAAGTGTTTTCTTAAATTGATTAGTCCAGTCAACTGGTCCGTCATTGATACCATCGAGCTTGATTCCTGCGAGATTATAACCTGCATCAAAACCTTAAACCTTGTGATATCAGAAGTCACCAATGAGCGCAAACACTTGATCGCCGTTGGAACAGCCATAACCAAAGGAGAAGACCTCGCCACCACCGGTCGTCTCTACGTCTACGATGTCGTCACCGTTGTCCCCGAACCCGGTAGACCAGAGACGAATAAAAAGCTGAAGCAAATTGCCGCCGAAACCATCACCCGTGGCGCTGGTGGTCCCGTAACCGGTCTTTCTGAGATCGGTACCCAGGGCTTTATGCTTGTTGCACAGGGCCAGAAATGCATGGTGAGAGGTCTCAAGGAAGATGGCACGAATTTACCAGTCGCATTTATGGATATGAATTGCTTTGTCACGTCTGTCAAGGAGCTTCCTGGTACGGGCCTATGCGTAATGGCGGATGCCTTGAAGGGTGTTTGGTTTGCCGGATATACGGAAGAGCCTTATAAGATGCTACTTTTTGGGAAGAGTGCTACGAAGATGGAAGTATTGTGTGTGGATTTGTTGCCAGATGGAAAGGATCTGTTTATTGTGGCTGCGGATGCCGATGGAAACTTGCATATCATGCAATATGATCCTGAACGTATGTTATATCACTCTTTGTTTCATATTTCTTTTACTCCTCGGCGAATGAGGTTACTATCCTAAATGATGTTGACTAATAAATCTATAGATCCCAAATCCCTCCAAGGTCACCTCCTCCTCCACCGCACCACCTTCTCCCTCGGCGCCCACCATCCCACAACCATGACGCTTCTCCCCGCTATCCGATCCTTACCTCCATTAACCACGGCCTCCACACCATCTCTCAGTCCCTCTCCCCAAGAAGAATCCCCCTCCCCTTCCCAGCCCCTCCTCTTCACTTCTCGTACCGGCACCCTTGCCATTCTTTCCCCCTTAACTGAATCCCAATACCGACGTTTCGGCACCCTAGTCTCTCACCTTACAAACACACTCTATCATCCCTGTGGCCTCAACCCCAGAGCATATCGAATCGATAAAGATGCAAATGAGGGGATTGTAGGAGGAAGAACGATTATCGATGGAGGGATTTTGGGCAGGTGGATGGAACTTGGGAGTCAGAGGAGGGGAGAGGTGGCTGGACGAGTGGGAGTTGATGTTGCGGAGTTGAGGGATGAGTTGAGTGGGTTACTCGGGGGTGGTCTGGGATTTATCTAGAGGATGTCGGTTGTCAAAAATGTAACGCGATATTTTGCAGTTAGAAAATATAATGATCTGAAAGTTTTTCCCATAGATAAGCGAATCCTCCCTCACAGTGAATGATATGAAATTACAGTGAAAAAGGAGACAAGCGAACAAACCGACAACCAATACCACCACGCCTCTATTATCTCATTCCCATTCCAAACGACCAAACAGCATTCTGCTCCACGTCTCCAAAACACATAACTCCACTCCCCTCCCAGCACGCACTCCGAAATAGTAAAACTTCGACGGCCTTGTTCAGGTTTATGAGTCCCAATCAACTTCCCACTATAAAAGAGATATACGGTATACCAAACAGCCCCCTATATTTACCCAATTATTCGGGCCGATGCAAAGGTGTATATCATTGTACTATACAAATATACTGGTGTGTAGATTTCTATATATGATTAGCAGGAAGGCTATTCACTTGTTCAGATCTAGGATGGTGAAATATGCAGGCAGGCAGACAAGCAAGTACTATGTTCAAGCTGCTGATGAGCTTGGGTATCGGTTGGTTATTGTTTGGCGAACTGGTGTCTGTCATGTTATCTCGGTCTGTTCTCGTGTTTTCTATAAGTATGTATGTCTGTCGAATCTTTCTGGCTCCGAATGGAGTGTAATGGAGTGGAATGGAGCAAAGTTCAAAGTGTGAAATCACTGGAGTTGGGATGGAAGTCATCGGGTAAGTGGTTCATGAGTGTAGCTAACATCTTAACAGATATCAAGGAACGTAACAGAAATAGATAGGGCCTCAGAAAGTAATAGAAATAATACATTGATCGCGATGATTTGCATCTTGAGACAGTTTGTGAAGATAGAACATCCAAATTTGAACATCGATGTGACTTCTGCCCATTACTCGAGTTGTGTTCTCTATCTAGATTCCCTTTTCGAGTATTTCTTTCTGTTTCATGTCTACTCGAGCATTTTTTGTTCCTCTTGGCTCAATTACCCTCGAACAAGCAAGAATAATGAGTTCTGAAACACCTCTCTTTCAGCCGCCTAAAAGAAGGTTGTGTTTTCGAGTGACTCAAGTAGTCGATCATGCTTTAATTAGATATTTCGAAGCTCATGGAAGTGACAACGCCATATTTGATCCGTTCTACAGGATGAACGAGAAACAAATTGGAACACTATCTGCGAATAGAATCTCAACGAGTATTGAACAATATCGAGGCCGTGGCTATATATACGTAAGTAATCCCTATTAAAAAAAAAAGAGGATTTCCTCTCTCAACCTCATCCATCCGATAAAATCATCCAATCATCCAATCATCAAACCCAATAAACCCCATCAACTCCCTAGAAACTCTCCACAACCTCATTTCAACTTCACAATCATGCCATCAAAAAACCAATCCCACAACAACAAGCCCGAGCTCGTGATCGAAAAACCCATCACCAGCAACAGTTGCTCGCTACAACGAATGCTCAAGGTTCGGCGTTCCAAGGCCAAGTGGAAGTCTCTGTGCAAATTTAAGCATCCTAGAGCTAAGAGCTACAAGAAAAGAGCCGACAAGGTCCTTGCAAGGAAGATGTCTGGTTTGAGTATGTGAGCATGGTGTGAAGAGGAACGGGAGCCCTGAAACTGGAAACTGGACACAACCTAGAAAAATGTATGTGGGAAAGAGAACTAATACATAGAGGGACATAAGATGCAACCTTAAAAAAAATTAGGAAACAGTGACGAAACACTGCAAGATAACAGGGACCCTAGACTGGATGACTCGGTTAACTGGTGTTAATGATATGGTATTCACTTTGGGATAATGGGACTATTGTTTATGATCAGGATCCAGGGGAAGGGTATTCAATTTGGGAATTTGGAACGAGAATAGACCAGATCTGTTGGGCCAAGGTGTAGAATGATAGAATCAATGAATTTGTTGTCAAACTTCCTTTGAGGTATCTTTGTGAAGTGATAATATTCCGATAATATGAACACCATGATCTACTCCGACTTTCAGGAACGCCGTTTATACGTTCCCATCCTGTGTTGCAATGCGCCGTGAATGTCCCATACCGATATCCCCTATATACTCCTTCTCGCATTATTAACATTACTTGCGTGAGCCAACAAAAATTTACAGCATGTGAGTGTGAACTTGCACGCTCTGCTCCATGCATCATCTTGCGCTATACCCAGTTTTATACTGACCTCCCCTATCTTCTCCCCTTCGATTTTGTATGGTAACTTAAGTCCTCTTCCGGTCTCTGAGGTCCTGGCAGATTCTTGCTCAACAAAAGTACCGAGTTGGCGCATACATTCGAGGAACGCTTCCATCGCTATATCGAACTTGCGATGCATGAATGTGAGCCCGAGAGGCATGTCGCCAGAGGAATGGAGTTCGAGAATAGATTTCTTGGGGGGTCGGGTGATGTTACCGCGTTGGGAGCTCGAACGACTTGCAGACGGCGAGGGATAATCATATCGTATTATTCTAGAGGTGGAGCCCATGGGCTGAAGTTCATATCCTTCGAATTTGAAGCCGAGTCGGTCAGCAACAGTAGCCAGGAGGAGCAGTGCGTGGCCCCATGCTGCGTTTATTTCCGGCCAGTCCACCGGAACACTTGAGAGTCGTCCCAGCCGCAGGCCATTTATTGTGCCAAATTTCCCGTCGTGGCTTATACAAAATGTATCGTTATAGACATTCGTTCTTTGTAGTTTCTCGAGTAATTGTGAATCGTGATCATATTGGAGATTGATGCTATCCCGTATGTTTTGAAACTCTGAGAGCTTCATCGCAAACTCATTTCGATCACTCCAGAACTTCTCTTCCTCAATATCGAGAGCCCTAGCTTCTTCTTCCAACTGAGCATTTTCTTCAGTTACCACAGCAGTCTCAGCTTCGATCTTCTTCAATTCCTCTATTGCCGCGGCCTCATCTGCTCGTACCTTTGCAAGAAGATCGTTCGCTTCCACCACCTCCTCTTCTGTTGGTACTTCGGCGTTGACCTGCTTCAAAAAGCCAACGTATGCATCTCTTTCTCGGGTCGCAGCTTCTAATCGTTTTTGTAACCCATCAACAAGCATTTCTGTACACTCAACACAGATAGGATGATCTATATCGGATCGCGCCGTAAGGATCTCGAACAGCCTCGATACCCGTTCCATATCTTGCGACATTGCTTTATCCTCACCATCTGGTGCGTCTCCACCGGATATGTCATCTTGTTGTGATTGATTTGTATTTGTATCTTCGGGAAGTTTAATAATTGATGGAGGTACGACTTGAGATTCCGTCAGCATGACAAACGACATGGCTGGATTGTTCATGCCGCTTCTCATCGTATCTGATAGATTGGAGTCATATCGGCGGGGCGCAGACACCGTCCGCTTGAAGGTTGGCGGACCGGCATACTTCGAGACACGATCATAAAGTTGCTTTCGTTCTTGAGGATATGCTGGCCGTGAAGGGGGAATGTTCTTGGCTTGGTGTTGAGAGGTCGCGCCTAGGAATTAACACTTATAAGCTAGAGATCATCATGAGGGGTGGTTCCAGGAGATAATATCATCACGAACCGACTAATAAATCAAATGCCGCGGGATTCAGATCCTCCAGAGAGCCATCAAGTTTCAATGATGTGCGACACTTTTGACAATACATGTTGTGAATATCCACATTAAATCATCGGGAAATGGCAAATACGTATCGACCAAGGTATCTCTCGCATTTTGCGTGGCCAGAGGTATAGAAAGAGTTTCGAAATAGAAGTTTGCAGATTCACGCACTTACACACTTGGATTTGGCCATGAAGTACTCGAGTAGATGAAGATAGAGATAGATAACCAGTACTTTATACTAGCGCCATCATCATGCTTACATAAATTTCAAGCTACTTATGCAACTCCGCCATTCTAAGCTTTTATGCAAGCAATTTACACGAACTTCACGCGTCTTCCCGAGATACGTACAATACGGCCCGCGACTCGCGACTTTCATTTACTACCTAGGTACTTTCAGATCTTGATTTACTTATATGATGAAGGTACACAAATACACACCCTTTTAATTCTTAAAAAGCTCTCAACCTTTGGACATGGTCGCGAATTGTCAACATGGAATCTCCAACAAAAAGGCAGAAAATATCCGCGGAGCATAATGATGTCGACCTCGAAATTAACGATGATTACTCCGAGACCAATAGGGAGACTGAGGAAGACGACTTCATTGTTGATGATGAGTACGATGATATACTTTACGAGCCTGGATATGACCCCGATCAGGAGCTCCAGCAGAAGAGAGCCCGACTCGACTACAAATTAAAATCCACATTTGAATCTATCTTCGAAAAGTATGGGAAAGATTTCGAGGGAGTGGGAGATGAAATTGACCTTCGCACTGGAGAAATATTGGTTGATAATGGTCATCTGAAAGAGATGCAAGATGAGCGGGATGCTGGAAACCTGCTGAGAGCCTTGACTGTAGAACCAGAGAGTGTCACAGAGACATCTGGTGATGAATATAGCATTGAAGAGGAAGGAGAGGACGGGGAAGAAAGAAATGATGAGCACGACGAAACGGAAGACGGAGATAATGCCGTTGAGATTAGTGATGGGGACATGGAGGAGGACGACATGATTTTACGAGGCTACGATGAACCGAACCAGGATCCCTTCGTTGATGTGGTAGCTACCACAGAATTAGGACCCGCGCAGAATGATTTTCAAGACGTTTTACAAAACCGCCGAAATCTGCAGATCGATGGAGGAAGTGATTCTTTTCCATCGTACAACGAGCTTTTACGTTCATTTGGGCCAGAAGTTGCCCCTCAAATTGTGAATATTATTTCACGACAACAAGGCCAAGACGACAGTCACATCGAACCAGCCTGGCGGGTGCCTGAATTACCTGCATCGGAATCAAGAAAGCGTCCAGCGTTGAGAGCTCTCGTCCCTGAGCCAGAAAGTGGGCGCAGTCCATCTCCCGATATGTCTGAGTCGATATGGGCTTTACCAAAGGGTCGAAGACCAAGAGGACCATACAAACCGAGGGGACCAAAGTTTCTCGGCGACAAGAGATTACTTTCGGATGAACTAAACACTTCAGACTATACTGCGTTAAGTTCACCACGATTACGAAATTTTTTCACGAAAGAAGAGGATGAATCGCTCATTGCAAAAGTAGCTGAAGCACGCGATCAGGGTCTCCCATTCCTCAAGGAATCTATCTGGGAAGAACTTGAAAGTCAGAATGCTCGGCACTCGAAATCATCGTGGAAGACGAGGTATCGGTCAAAGTACTCACATCTGTGGTCTCCGGCAGACTCAACTAGACCCAGGTCTCGCGGGCCTTACCGTACTAAATGTCGAGAGGAGCTAAAACCTAGCATTAATTCTACGTCACGCAGTCCACATCCGGTATATTTTCCTCAGCGGCCATCTAGGACTCGAAAACCTACACAGCAGGGGTCAAATTTAGTTAGTTGGACAGATGCTGTCGCTACAATCAAATCCTTGGATCCTAGGCTGCACAAAGACTTGGCCAAAGACGCCAGTTTTTACGACCTGACTGATGTCAAACTCGTGGATGTAAATGAAGATGCCTTGAATTTAAGGAGCTCTGATCTGGAACTCTCCAAGGACAACGATGACGAGCCGGGACTTCCTGCACATACTGGATCTGGGGTTCAGAGGATTGCGCCCGTAACTATTAATCCTGCATACGAATTTTCGGATGAAGAAGCTGTACCGGATTTCAAGGCAACGCAACCCTCAGATATCTCAACATCCAAGCTTAAAGAAAAGAAAGGTTCTTGGCTCAAAACCCCCCAGCCCGAGAAAGGAATGAGAAAATCAAACAGTAGTACATTGAAAGAAGGAACCAGTGGAAAAATGAGATCTCGACACAGTAAGGCTCGGAAGGAGCTCAGCGCCGAATGGCCACAACTAGTTCCTACAGCTTGTCCGGAGAAATTCATAGCCCAATACGATACCGTTGAACTAGCCGATACGCCGAAAAATACCAATATTGATCTGTTCGATATCGATCAGCTTCCGGAAACGTCACCAAGAAGTGCTCTTGATGCACGGCAAAAATCTAGAACGAACAAGAAATTCAGCAGTGACGCTGTTATCCCTTCAACTTCATCGCAACTCAAACCGTCTCCCACTGCTGCGATATATAGGGGAATTCGCTCGAGAACCCAGCAGAGGACAGACTCTGTCGATGATGGCCCTGTACCACCTACCTCATCACTTATAGACTCCTCCCCTACACCCCGACCCAAGCGGAAATTCACTGATACCGACGAGAAAGCAACCACATCCCTAACAGCAACTCGCAAAGTCGATCAGGAGACCAACACATCCATGTCTGATACCGAAGACATGCCTCTCCAAAACATGATCGACGGCAACACAACGCCAACTCCCAAATCGGTTTTTGCAGGGGGCATTATCACATCGACTCACAGCGAAACAAACAAGTCAAGAACTCCCCTCCTTGATTTTACCACACCCACCCGAAGAGATCTAACGAGAAAAGGGGGATTGAGAGATGCATCACGCAGTCCTGGAATGGTGAAGACACTAGGAGGAACGATGAGAAAATGCGGAAAAGGTGGGTTTTTGTGCAAACAGTCTTTTTGCTTTAAATGTGGTGTGGGCTCCAAGAGCGCGAAGTGTTAAATTGTGAGGAATGGTTTAATTATATAGCTTTTTGCAGATACAGTATGGTAATACCGATATTTGCTGACTTACAATATTCAATTCAAATATTTAATAAGAAGCTTTTAACACATCAAAATGAATGTACAAGATACGGACGGACAATGGAAAAGTAATCTGTCTCTGACTCTCTGCACTGCGTCGAAGTTGTATGAGATGATCTGAAATGTTGCACATTGCAATACCACCTTTTTAATCAAATCAATCGCTTGTTTGGAATGGAATGTAAAGAGGTAGGAATAAAGGCAGGCATATTCTTTTTTGTCTCTGTGTACAGGTAGGTCATTAGATAAGTCACTCAAAGAGATATATGTCCTATTGAAAAGTAGGATACCGGTATGTATTTTCATTTTGGAAATCTAGGTTGAGACTCGTTTGCTACCTCGGTCAGTCACGCTACTTTCGCATGCTTTCAAGTACTGTAGTATTGAATCTTAAATCGGGTATCTATCATCTATCTACCCGAAACGGCAGTAGGTATAGAAAAATTCGAATTCAGGGGGAGCCTAGAAATTTGAACATCGACACGGAGTTCGCTTGTTGTACTCGAGTATTACAGATGTAAGTCTTATGTATATTATTACATCACAGGTCCCGATGCAGCCAGAAAGGGCCTATGAATTAGCCTGAAAGAAGGGAGACGCTTTCTTTCTTTTTCTCTTCTGGGCTTGCCGTGGTAATATAAAGTGTTAGGGCGGTGTGTATGGTTCGGGTTTGGTTGCATGGGTGAGTGATGAGTGATGAGTGAGTGACTATTTCTCAGCGAGTCCGATATCGGGGGATGGTATGGGATGGATGGGGGTGTAAGGAGTCAGGAGTCAGGAGTAATAAGTAACAAGGCACAGGGCGGGATTTCTTTGGTATGGGAATTCGATATGCCCCCGCCCCCATTGACATTGGGTGCGGGTGAGATTCAAAGGTGCAATTTGATGATTCGAAAGACTGTAGCGAGTGTAAGTAGGACACGCCTTGGGGAAGACATACCGCCACATACATGTACATACCTAGGTATGTGGAGTATTCAGGCTAGGTATGACAAAGATGATTCCTGGGGGGTGGAGTGGAGTGGACTCGAGTAGAAAGAAGTACTGTAGGATCAGAGGCATGGATGGTCCAGGAATGGGGAGGATGTACAGGATGATGCATTTCACATGGGAATTTTCGACATTTTATTAGGATTCTACATGTGAAATCACATCAAAGTAGAAAATATCGTACAATGATATTTCGAGAACAAATCCTTTCATCACGACATGTTGTGATCAATGTGATGATACTAATTCCAAGGATCGTATGTCTTCGCTCTAGAATCTTTCGTATACCCTACCCTACCTACCCTAGGAAGACAAAACTAGAAAGCAGCGCAAAGAAATTGCAAAAAATGAAAATTTCAATATGTTGGCTGGGTGTTTGATCGTTATGAGCAGTTGCAAGAGAGATATGTGTCAGAGGTGACCGTGTACGTTAAGTATTTGCGATGTTGAAATAGAGTGCATGAAACTTTGTTTAGTGTGGTGTGTACTCCGTGATCTTGAGGGGTTGAGGGGTGGAGAACTCGTATTACCGAGCGGTACCCTACCTACCTACCTACCTACCTACTTACCTACCTAGGTACACATAAGACGAGCCTTTCCTCCAAAGGTAGGAACATCCTTAGTGTTGTGGTTGTAAATGCCTTTGGAGGAAAGGTTGGGTGTGGGATGAGAATGTACTTGTATATGGACCTTGGTTATTGGATGGGTATCCATGTGAGGGGAGGGAGGGGAGATAGTTTTTGGTTTGATTCGTATAATGAGATGATTTTGGGTTCCACGCTTTCTTATTCCTGTTGGTTGTGGTTCGAATTCGAACTTGGCTTTGGTATTCTGGTTGTATCTAAAGATAAGTTGGTTATAAGAATGTCAGGTCTGATAATGATAGATGATAAGATCTCAGCCTTATGAGAGACGGACCGTCCGAGTAATGTAATCTTATATTCAATAATTAATAATCCTCTAATGATTTGGTAAACCGAGGTTATACAAATTACAACATATCATATCATGTCGTGATGAAGTGTATCAATGACTTGTATACCTATGTGAAGGGCGTATTGGATCTTGCACAGGCATTAATGAACCACTAATATTGAGGAATGCCAATTATACTAAATTAGTGCCCGTTTTCTCGGTTCACTTCCTTCAAAAGCACGGACTGATAACTTGACTTGGCTGGATTGATCCAAGAACACATTATTGCATTATTAACAGCAAGGGCGCGAATCTGACTACCTTGACTCATATTCAAGGTTCTTCATTGATGATCATTTCTAAAATGCTACTGAATATGAAAACAGTATTTAGGTACTAAAGGAAGTTTATTATTATATCGTATATAAAGGTAAGCCAATATCCATCCTGTTTTCAGACATTGAAGAAGATTCAAGAAGAAACGAAAACAGCTTCATCAAATTCCTCATTTGTCTGAAATCGGCATCTCACAACTGTTATCACTACAGTTGTCGATTACTTCCTTATCAAAGTTACACCCAGAAGGCTTCAGGGCGCATATTTCCCCGCATGATCATATATCCAATTGTACTTATCTGAAGATATCCCATCTCCCTCCTATATCGCACTCTCTTCTATTTTGTCCAGCTTCCTTTTTTTTCATACCTTCGGACAAAATGTCTGCTTCAAGTACCTCCTCTACTTCTGGCACAATTGCCAGTTATGCCAAGAAGATCAATACAACAAAACGACCAGATGTCGAGATCCATCTAGATGATCATCATGATGGAAAGACCTATACAACATTTGATGCTTTGTCAGGCAAGGCCTCAATCACATCTCCTCATGATGCACAATTCGACGAAATCCACATCACTCTCGAAGGAGTTACTCGAACATATGTCGAAAACATAACCCAATCCAGTGCAACATCCAAAACAACTGCTGTTCACAGATTTCTGAAACTTGTCATGCCAATTCGAGAAGCTACATATCCTCGGCCACGAGTCGTTGAAGCTGGCAAAATGCATACATTTCCATTCAACTTTGTCATTCCAGAACAACTCCTTCCAACGGCTTGCGCACATGTATGCGACGCCGATCATGTTCATTTGGCACATGTGCAATTACCCCCCAGCATGGGCGATCGCGAAGCATCGATATTAGATGATTTGGCTCCAGAGATGAGCAAAATTCAATACTCAATCAATGCCAGATTGATCAAATGCACTGAGTTGCCGAGAAAGCCGATCTCCATTGCGGAGGGCTCGAAGAAACTTCAATTAATCCCAATGGTAGCGGAAGCACCTCCAATGAGTATTTCAGCAGATGATAAGAGCGATTACTCGCTCTCAAAGACCAAATCCTTGAGGAAAGGCATGTTTTCTGGCAAATTGGGAAAAATTACAGTTTCGTCGGATCAACCTGGAGCAATCATTCTCTCATCTCCTAACAGTTCATCGGCGGCTACAATAATGGCAACGGTCAAGTTACAATTCGAACCACATGATCTGAACTCACAACCCCCTCGTCTTGGTGGTTTAGTCACTAAAATCAATGCAATGAGTTTCTACTCTTCCAAGCCGGCAAAGTCGCTTCGCTCCCGATCGGGTATGGCCACGAACTTTGAACCTGCCCGACAAGTCTACCCAACCTCTGTTCCTCTCTCATCGAGATGTGTTGAGCAAGTTTCATGGGTGAAGCACTTGCCACAACCAGATTTGTCCCGGCGAGCTTCTACCATATCATCGAGTTCGTCTGAATACTCAGATAACTCACAAATGCCACTAAAAGCACAAAACAAGGTCTACTATACCGCAGAAATTCTAGTCCCGGTTTCATTACCTTCGTCGAAGGTCTGGGTGCCATCATTCCACTCATGTATCGTCTCTCGAACATACTCTCTGAATCTTGCCTTGTCTGTTCACACTCCTGGAACAGGTGTTCCAGCTTCTTCGGTCAAGCTTTGTCTCCCATTGCAGATCGCAGCACAAGGCAATCGAACTGCGCCAAAAACTCTTACTGCAGAAGAAGCTGCTGCTGAGCTAGCAGATGCAAATGAGTACCTGAGACCAAGAGTCATTGACATGCCAAGAGAGGATTTGGTTGAGAATGGTGTTTTGCGATCTAGCTCTACTATTCCACGTCCGGAGTTACCTCCAAGTTATGAGCATACCGAGGAGCCAAGAAGGCAAGTTGATCCATCGAGGTGCTAATTTGAAAATGGCTCGATTTTCTTTTGTTTTCTTCCCCTGTATAAATGTGGGGAAAAGCATGTATGGTTCTTACGTTCAGTTCATGAGTCAGCGTCAGGGGTTTGGGATTATCAAATTGTTATTTGGGAAATTTGCTGGGAGTCACACATGTACGAACGACTACAAGATACCCCCCATACGTTAGCTACTTATATGGATTAATAATAATTTACTATTCCACGAACATCTTCTCCCATTCATCTTGAAGATCCACACTTCTTCTAGAATATCTCAAATGATCTTTTCCAATATTCTAAAGACGACCAGATTATCTAAGAGTTCTAAACGCCTACCATGAATCAGAGACCCCGCTGGTCTTCTGACGCCGTGTATAGCCCCGCGCAACCCCACTAAACTACCGTCATTTTAGGGATATTTAGCATAACGCGTCTAAATTTGACAGGCTCACAGGCTATTCCCCCTTCCAAGGCTTTCTCTGCTGTGGGCTCCAGCTGTATATCACAATTATACAATTATACAATTATGCTATGCCATGCCATGCTAGCATATATACCAGCCATTTCCATTTTCATAAACCAACAATACACAAGTCTGGAAGATATAATAATCCTCAAGAAACCTTTGTACCGGTACTACCCCAGACTAAAAAGGTGCACCTCATCCCACTTCATCGCTTGTCCCATCCACTTCGACGACCCATATCACGGCAAAATCAGCCTACGATACCGATACCTGATGATTTGCCAGCTCATGCCCAACCCACCAGATTGATTTATGACTGGTGATGAAAGTTTTGCACAGTAACCTGGTTACAATTCATGAAAAATAATCTTCCTACGTTGTACGAACCATTGATTCACGAATAGGATTTGGATTTTCTTACCTACCTACATTATACCTACATAAAGCTTGCTATACGCTCTATCGATGCGGACAAGACAGCCAGAGAACCCGAATGCGATGCTAAAGGAAAAGATCCAAAAACAAACTGATCTAGATCGTATTGATTGATTATTTCCATCAAATCGAGGTCGTGCGATACATATCGATATTATCTATTTGAACATGGCGCAACCGCGACCGCAGGAGAAAACTCCCGGCGTGGACACGAAAGAGTTCTACGGGTATTTGTTTGATGCGGAAAAGAGTCCGACACCAGTACTAAATGCGCTGTTGAGAGGAATCGCAATATATATTGTAAGGAAGTCCAATGTGCACCTCATAATAAATGCTTACAATCATCGCAGATAGAGAATGTGGGAAGTAAGGAAGATAAATTCTTGACTCCAGAGAAATTGGCGCTTTTCTATAAAGCTGTTGGTGGAAATTATGATTGTAGGTTCTATTTGAGTTTTTGGGTCCCCTCGTCTTCCTTGTCTATCCGCGATTTGAAAGTTTGCTTGCTAATAGCTTCCGCTACCTTTTAGCTCTTTTTGTGGAGACTACACATCCCTCGATATCGTGGATCTATGCCTCGATAGGTTGTCAACATGCTTTAAACCCTACGAAAGATGATTTCGCGCCCCCTTCAATACCATGTCTAACGGTACGAGGATTTGTGCGATGGCAATCAATAGAGATACTGTTGGGGCCGGAGGAACATGTGCCATTCATCCAATCCGCAGTGCGAGATTTTGATATCAAAAATCCAGATACAGGAGAGAGATTTCCGACAGAACTACCGAAAGAAGCTTTCCCATTGGTACCGGATGCAGATATAGAAAAATGGCATATAAGTTGTGCGGAGAAATTACGTCGGAGAGCAACACCAGATGAAGAAGAGGAAGCTCCCATTCCCGACCTCCCGCCTAGACCTAAAGCGCAAGAAGAATACGTTCATGTTAGACCTTCGCCCAGAGTCCCCGATCCCACACCAAGCAACGGTGCTCACCCCCGCAGCGGATATTTCGAACCTTCGACCCGTGAACCTTCGACTCGTGAACCTTCGACCCGCGAACCTTCGACCCGCGAACCTTCGACCCGTGAGCCTTCGACCCGTGAACCTTCAACCCGCGAACCTTCCACTCGTGAATCTGCCACCCGTGAACCTGCCACCCATCGACCCAGTCGACCTATACCTTATACACACGTCTCAGCATCTCGTCCTCAACGACCGACTCTCAATCGATCACCCACTCATCGAGACCGTGAATTTCTCGCTCCAGAAGAAACATATTCACCCCGCAAACCACGCGGACGTCATCGTAGTTTCCCTAATTTAAGTTCGCCCACATCAGAAGATGCGCCCACTTTTCACACCCATCCAGCACGCCCATTTGACCCCTACCATCGACATCACAATGACGCAGTTCCAGATCCTCCGCATCCCGTTTATCCTCGTCGACATAGTCATCCCCGACAAGCCCGGCATGTACCAATCGTCTCGGAAACCTCCGATTCATCGAGTGACACTAGCGCGACCTCTGATTCTGAAGATGACCCGTCCCCGAAAACTCGTACTAGTCCGTTGAAAACGTCTACGAATGCACGGCCGGTACCGAGACGTCCCCAGAGTACTTATATACCACGAATGGCCGGGCCAGATAGTCCTCGGGTCTTTGCATTCCCGTCTACAGCGCCAGGTAGTACGATGCCATCTCCGGTTTCTGATGCAAGGGAAAGAGAGAGGGAGAGGGATAGACAGAGGGATATTGAGGATAAATTTCGACGGGGTCAGTATCCGGCCAATATTGATTTGAATGGGAAATTGAGCGCGCCGTTCTTAGCTGGGAGGAGAAAAACGGAGGTGGGCAGGGAACCGGATGATGTGGGGAGAGAGGGTGATAGGGAGAGGGAGAGGGAGAGGGAGAAGGTGAGGAGTGATAGTAGGGGGGGCCAGGGGCTTAAGTGGAGGGATTTGGGAGGCATTGCGGAGATGTGGAGGAATGGGGGGACGAGGGGGGATGGAGTTAGCAATCATACTCATCATGTGAGTGGAGGGGGTGGAGGTAGTGGCGGGGAGAGTGGTGAGCGGAGGGGGAGTAGAGGACATAGTATTCGAGAAAATAGGGGAGATAGGGAGAGGGATAGGGAGAGGGATAGAGATCGTGATAGGGAGAGGGAGAGGGAAAGAGATAGAGAGAGGGATGATAGGGATGACAGAGATAGAGGAGATAGAGAAAGAGATTATAAGAGGAGGGAACGACTGAATTCACAGACGAGACATAGTAGCCATGAGGAAATCCCAACCAGGAGGATGAGAACTGAGAGGGATAGAGAAAGAGATGATGAATACGAAGGGAGGAGTTTTAGGGATAGGGATAGGGATAGAGTGAGGAGGGATAGGGTCGTAAGTCCTGTTAGGGGAGTGGATGGGAGGAAATATCCGGATTGGAGATAAGGTGGTATGGATGCGCGTTGGAAATGGAGTTTTGGTTGAATATATGGAGTGGGAATATGATGAGAATATGATGATGTTGCAAGATACCTGGATGATATGATATGACTTGGATGAAATGGAATAGAATGGAATGATGAAAAGGAAGGGGGGAGAAAATACAAGGTAGTCACTTACTTATGTATGCGTTGAGCTTTTGGTTTTTTATACAGATAAGTTAATAAATGAATCAATCTAAACTTTTCCGTTATATTAATAGGTTGGTTACCAACTCAACTCTCGTTTTAAAATATAGTTCTTGAATACTGTATGATCTTTCTTATATTCTTAGAGGAACTGTGTAACTGTGAAATTTATACTGGGTTGTATTAGTATCAGTATCAGTATCGATATCAATGTATTGAGTATTTCATTTTATATATTACGGTAGGTACTCGAGAGTAAAGTAGGTAGTGAGTATAGTAATGAAATGATGAGAGAAGATCTGAGGGAGTACTGGGAAGTTACTGGGAAGTATTGGAAGAGGAAGAGGAAAATTGTATGGATGGAGCGAGAAATGGGAAGCGAGGAATGAGAAATGAGAAATGAGAAGCGAGTGGAGAAGGGGGGGGGAAAGGGGCGGAGGGAAAAGGGGCGGAGGGAAAAGGGGAAGGGAAAAGGGGGAGGGAAAGGGGCGGATTTGATGGATGACTTGGAGGTGGAGGTGGAGGTAGATAGGTATCTGAGAAATGGAATATACTCGTAGATAATATAGGCTGTGGGAACTGGAAGGGTAAGGTTAATAGATAGATAGGTAGGTATGTACTAACTAGGTTGATGAGTCTTTTCTTTTCTTTGATCTTTGGATAAGGGTTGGAGAGTAGAGGGTAGAATGGTCGTGGGTTATGGAGATTATATTACTCGTGAGATTTTGTGTATTTATATTAATATTTATATAAAACTCGAAATTCGAAATTCGAAATTCGGAATCGAAAATCCAAAATCCAAAATCCAAAAAGCCCTCTTCAACACTTTACTTATACCTTATACCTTACATCTCACAACTTAGAACTTACACCTCACAAGCAAGCAAGCAAGCAAGCAAGCAATCCATAAATAATAATAATAATAAAAGGGGGATAGTTGGGGAAAGAAACAGACTGACACACACACACACACACACACACAAGCAAAGCAGATACAGTAGATACCTCGAGATTGAAAGAAAAAAAAAACGTCATCAAGGAGTTTCCGATCATTGAATTCAGAGAAAGGGGGGGGGGTGGGGGTTCGAGTCCTGAGGGGGAAAAAAATAAGATTACAATACCGGTTGGTACTCGATCGAGTAGATCATACGAGTAGATTGATGTTGGGAAGGAAGGAAGGGGGGTTTGGGGCAGATATGGTATGGTGTGGATGGTGTGGATGAGGATAGGGATGAGGATGGGGATGATGGGGATGAGGATGAGGATGGGGATGAGGATGGGGATGGGGATGATGGGGATGAGGATGATGTGATGCAAATTGGGAATTTGGGATTGTAAGTACATTCAGATTGTGAGTTTGAAATGTAGTTGAAAATGTGGTATTGAGATATTGAGGTATTGAAGGATGGAGGGATGGAGATACTGAGTGTAGAGGTATGTATGAAATATTTAATTCTTGGGATATGGGATGGGGGATGTGGGATAAGCTGTACTCGAATATAATGAATACTATTAGCCTAGTATTGTGGAAATGCTATGTACATCAAGGCTGGAACTGACCTTGCAGCATCTCTCCTCTCTCCTGATATCTCATAGGGCGAGAAAATATAGCTAGACTCAATCACAGCTTTTCATTCTTTCAGTCTCATGACGACAATACCATACTCGAGTAAATTAGATCAAGAAGTGAACACAAGATTCTATTGTATCAATTTGATTAATGTAAATACTGAAGGCTCTGTGGGTATCACATGCCACTGCCAGACAACCATTGGTCTTCATTCACTCAAATGCCATATGTGTGAACTTTCATCGAAGAAATACCCCCAAGCACAATACAAGGGAATCGTGGGTGATATTTCGACTAAACACCATGGTATGGTGGACCCTGAAAGCAAAATTCACCTGTACCTATGCACTCCTTAACCCCAAACCATCCATAATAAATCGAACTGAGAAGAGAATACTGCGCCGAATGCTGCTTATTCACGAGAACTGGAGAATATGGTTAGAAACGATGATGAGAACATAAAATGATTTGAAATGGTACATACCTTCCAACGATGACCGCAAACTTGACACTCGCAAAAAGTCGTCATAGGTTCATCAGCACTGCGAGTCTGTGCTTGCGAATAACTGACTTTCTTTTGCTGACACTTTCCACACGTTAAAGCATCACTGATACTCTTCTCAGCCATTGGTACCTGAGCTTTCTTCATATTCTCCAACTCCAACGCATCGTCTTTCTTCTTCATCTCCTCTGATTTAAGTTCCTCGTGCGTCATGACCACGAAGCGAGCTGGTTCAATATCTCCAGCCATGACTCTTTTGCGCAACTGTGTATTGGATGCTTGCTTGAGATTTTGAAAGAGGGAACGAAGCTTGTCTTTATATTCCTTCGTCTCTCCTCTAAAATGATCGAATGCCGCCTGCTCGACAGCCATCGCTTTAATAATAACCTGAGTAGGAGATTCTTCGCATTTGAAAGCAAGGCCATTATACATCAAACCAATACAAGCATCGCGAGTCGGGAGACCCGTACGCTTGGTATCGACTTTATCAGTTTCCCATCTTCGCTTCGAGGAATCTCCCTTGAAGGCTTTGGTGACCGGGGCGCTGAGCGCGGGTGCGGGGGAGGAAGTGCTGTGACTGCGAACTGCGGGGGAAGATCCGGATGCTGTCATAAGTTTTGCTTTGCGCTTTTCTTTTTCGGCTTCGACGGTTTTTTTCCACTTGGTGACAATTTCAGTGGCAAGCTTGGCAATATCTTTGTTCGCGTTTCCTCGTTGTTTGGCTACTACCATACCTGCCTTGGTAGCCTGCAGAATAGAGAGATTAGTTGATGAATTGAAATTTCACCATGGAGACACAAAGGCCCAGAAGAGCTTGTTCAGGAATGTAGCCGTTTGTAGACATACCCTAAGAAGTTCTTCAGTAGCATTCACATCTCTCTTCAGAGTCTCCATAATAGTAATAACATTCGCTGCCGGCTCTTTGTCATTAATCGCCTTTTGAAGGGCTGAGACCCGCGAAGTAAGTTCTCTTTGATCCATTGTGAAAGGAAGAAGATGGAGGGATTTTTGAGTATGCGATTGTTATTTGGCTATAGACGGATGGGAGATGTTCGCCGATAGCGAGGAATCGAATTTGGATATGCGCAAATTCTGTGTATGTTGACAGGTGGAATTGATTACTAGGAATGCACCCAGAAAAATTACAAAAGAAAACCTGTCGTTGAAGATTTGGATAATTGTTTTCTGGAAGTTTTGATTGATGAATAAATATCAATCGCAAGGCTGATGTTATTGCCAAAATGTTTATGCACGGACCTGTTTAACATATACTGTACAAACTTCCACAGGAAGTAGCAAAGTCATCATTTCTACCTTCAAGTAGACCTTGGCCACTGCAATCGATATATGGCCATTTTGTTTTGTTGTTTGCTGCCGGAATTCAAATTAACCATTCTATTTGGTATCTCCAAGGTCTTGAGAGGTCCAGTGTTTGAATATCCAAATATATATCGAGCATTCAAACCTTGTGACAATCCAGAACATTCTATAACTTGCAAGCTACGAATGGGATATTAATATATCTCTGCAGGAATCCACTCTCTTATCGTCGAAAAGTGTTACAGTAAATCAAGTGTTTACTTCACTCAAATCAAGGATATTCGGATATGCTTGCCTTTATCCCCAAACTTCACGGCGATGAGCAGGCTTTCTTCTTACCTCCGTTGTTATATCTAGGATATTGCGGCTATTGCGGACATGATTTGCAGCTCTACAATAGAAGTTATCTATGGAGTTTACGGCTTTACGTGATACCCATGGCGATTTGAACTCCACTTGTCTATGCCGTGTTATATGGTAAGCACCATAGTTTAACTCATTGTATGAGAACGAAAGTCTACGCTCTCCTTGAAATCAAGTATAAATACAACAAGCCTTCCAGCACTGTTTACATTTGCTATGCTATCCATCAAGTCTTTCTAGACCATACCTATTCTCCGAAAATCACAGCCATCCTGACCAATACTTTCCATCACCCTCCTCTCCCATCCCACACAATACCCACAAGATGCAGACCCTCGCCGGAAAAGTCACCCTCGTAACCGGTGGAAGCAAAGGAATCGGACGAGCAATCTGTCTCCGCCTCGCACGCGACGGAGCAAAAGTAATTGTAAACTACAGCAACAGCTCCACCGCGGCCGACGAAGTCGTATCACTCATTGGAAAAGAGAATGCCACCGCCATCAAAGCTGATGCCGGAAACGTCGAAGACATCTCAAAATTGGTAGATGCTACCGTTGAGAAACATGGAAAGATCGATATTGTAATCGCGTGTGCAGCGATCCTGAAGTTGAACGAGTTGGAAGATATTACCGAAGCGGAGTTGGACCAGACGTTCAATTTGAATGTCAAGGGGCCATTATTTCTAGCTCAGGTATGTAATATCTTCCAATTTCCGCGGAATAGCTTACTAACAGTCCTAGAAATCAGCTCCGCATATGGCTCCTGGTTCTCGCATCATTCTGTTCTCCACCACTCAATGTCACGCTAGTACTGTAACGCCAAATTATCTGGCATACATCATGTCGAAAGGAGCCATTGAGCAAATGACACGAGGTCTTTCGAAAGATCTCGCACGGAAAGGTATTACGGTCAATACGGTAGCACCAGGACCAACTTCAACCGAACTTTTCCTCAAGGGCAAGAGCGAGCAGCTTTTGAAAATGATTGCGGGCTTGAATCCTCAAAATAGAATTGGAGAACCAGAAGAGATTGCAGACGTGGTGGCTTTCTTGAGTAGTAGTGCGAGTTCTTGGGTGACGGGTCAGATATTTAAAGTTAATGGTGGCATGGCATAATTGTAAGAGGGATTTGCAATCATAATTTATGCATTCATTTAGCGAGCTTGCATTCGGTTCAATTTAAATCGCGGAGATGAAAATCTCATGACCAACGAGCATTCCTCTTTTATTCCAGTCTTCGTTATTTTTCGGAATCTAGCGAGGTTTCAACAACAGCAGCTTTATCAAAAGGATCATCGTCAGTCTATAGCCCACTCGTCTTGCTTTCAATCCCTCAAATTCCCATTACTCACGCTGCTCCTGCCTCCATCTTCCCATTTTCCCTAAGATCGGTCGTTCTACAATTATAAACCTCATGCTCCGGTTCCTCCTCTGATATCTCTACTCCTTCCTACTCTCACGTTAGTTTCTTTCCATTTACATCACTTCCCTTTCCTTCCCTCCACTTCCTCTTCTTCTTCTGCTCACACTCACAGGAATAGGCACCATAGCCCTCTTAACCCAAATATGTTTCGCCTCAGCCCAATCCAACCCCTCAATACATCCCCCCTTAACACTAACCACATTTTTCCCCGGCGTACTGTGGATTAGTCGCGTGCCACATGTTTTGCAGAAATAGCAATTTACTGTGTGGCCAGAGGCTGTGGGTCGGCTTTTTGGACGAGGAAAGGAATTAGTTGATGGGGGTTAGGGGTTAGGGGTAGGTGGGAGAAAAACCTGTGGGGGAAGGAGGGATGGAAGGGGGATAGAAAAGAGTAACACACGTATAAACTGCCAGAAACTCCGGACATGGTATGGGAAATCGTGGGAAAATGGCCGATGCTCCAAATGCTGAGGAGGATTGTCGTTTACATTCCTACAGTTTGTGAGGTTATGTTAACCTTTTAGGTATCTTATCTATTAATCCCTTCATCCCATCCATCCCACTCTATCTCACAACCACAATCAATCTTAAATATCATCAG